GGTGCTCCTGGCTGAGAAGCCTGCAGCCAGGCTTGGAATTGCTTGCTGACCTTTGTAATCTTGAGCACGGTGAGCAACCTCTCTGAGCCTCAGTTGTCCCCTCTGTCACCCAGAAAGGAGAAAGGAGAGAGGAGAGAAAAAAAAAACATAGGGGAGAGACGAGGAATGGCGGTGAACACATGTAATCCCAGCACTTGGGAGGCTGAGGCAGGAGGATCGTTGCAAATTTGAACTCACATAGTGAGTTCAAGGCCAACCTGAACTACACAGTGAGACCCTGTCTCAAAAAACTAAAACAAACAAACAGGCCAAAAAAAAAAAAAGAAAGAAAAAAAGTGGAAAAGGAGAGAGAAATCATAACCGGCCTAAGTCAGCCCTCTTTCCTAAACTGTTTTAATAATTGGCGGTGCGCTGTGGGGGTTAAAAGCTGATTGTCCAGATAGAAATGACAGAATCTTTTAATAAATACCTACCAATTGTTCAGTACTTACTAAGTGACAGGTACTGCAATAAGCACTTTACCCATATTCACTTACACACTGTAGTTCACAGGACAAGTCTGGAAGGTAGATATGATGTTTTGATTCATCCTTAGCTGAGAAGACAGGCACAGACAAATGAAGTAATTTTATTGTTTTTAATTTTTTAAATGTTTTTTGGTTTTTTGAGACAGGGTCTTGCTTTGTAGTTCAGGCTGCCCTCAAACTCACTATGTAGCCCAGGCTGGCCTCAAACTTTCGGGCAACCCTCCTGCCTCAGCCTCCTGAGTGCTGGGAGACAAATGAAGTAATTTTCACAAAGCTGCTACGTGGACTCACACTCAGGCATCTGGCTCCAGCTTGCCCTCTTTAATGATTATGCTTCTCTTCCAGACCTCTGGGGGCTCCCCCCCCCAGGCTAAGCAGGGATGGGAGCTGCCTGGAGGGAGAGGCTGCAGGCTGGGCCCTGAGCTGCTGCTCCTGACCCTGCCCGCCTCCGCCCCTGCCAAGGGCACAGCTGCTGGGGCTGGGGAGGGCACCTGACCCACCCATGCACTGACCATCAGCTGCCCCTCCCGCCCCTGTCACCTGTCACTCTGGGCTCAGCATCTGGCTCCGGGGCCTTAAGGAAAGACGGGAGCCCCCTCCCAGCGTCCCCGATTGTCTGACGCACGCACACGCGAAAAGCTGCCCGACCCTTTGCTCTTGGCAGAGCGGTGCGTTTCCGTTCAGGGACGGATGTCTGCTGAGCGCCTGCTCTGTGCCGGGCGCTACCGAAAGCCCGGTGTCCAGGGCAGGCACCAGGACCTGCCTCCTCCCCGCTTCCTCCCCCCGAGTCCCCTGAGGGCTCCTACTCTGCAGCTGCCCAGGGAGGGAGGCCGAGTGGCAGCCGCTGAGCTCGTCCCGGCTCGGCCACTTTTGCCTGTGTGTTTCACACAGGCTGCGCCCCAAGTCTCAATCTTGGGTCCTGAAGAGATTTACTGAGCATCTACTATGTGGAGCCTACTAGCGGGCGGCGGCCTCCACAGTGACCTTAAGGAGCAATGGATGGAAATTGTGTTGGGAGGTGATCTGCCCCTTGGGCTACAAGGAGAGGCGGGGGCGGGACCTGGTGCTGCAGCGGGCTAGGTGAAGTCTAAAATCTCAGATCAGGTGGGTGAAATGAGGGAAGGGCCTCAGGGAGGTGACCTTGATCAAATAAAGGTCCAGGGAGAGAAGCACACAGGCTACTCCAGGTGGAGTCACCGCTTGGGCAAAGGTCCTGGGGTAGGAGTGTGGTCGAGGCCTGGGTGAGGGGCAGGAGGAGGGGACACAAATGAAATGGTGTGTGAGATGGTGACTGTGTGAGGGGAAACCTTCATCCACAGAAGGTGGTCATCCAGGCCCCTGTCCCTGTGGCTGCAGGGAGCCTGGCTGGGGGCCAGGGGATGGGAGTCATTATTAGGCGCCTCTGCATTTGAGCTGTGCTCCTGGCCTGCCCCCGCCGGCTGCTGCGGTTCTGTGTCCATCCATGCGTCTCTAAGTCCAGGTACCCTGTGCTCCTCCTGGGGCCCATCTGCAGCAGGGGACAATAGGACCTGGGGCCCTCGGGTGACACGGACACTTAGCCGCTTGCTCCGGGCCGGGCAGGCTGCCTGGTCAGCCACCAGTGGGAGGGGGACCCACTCTCCAGGTCTCTCCCCAGAGGTTCCCAGATGTTGGACCTCGCCTGGGCGCTGTGCCTGCTCTCTGGAAAGGCTGCCGCTTCATAGTAAGGGACCGGGAACTCAGGCAATACAGTGGGCTGCAGCTGGCTACATGGATCCCGTTTTAAAATTCAGAGATTATGAACTTCCTCCTGAACCCATGGCAACGGTCAATGGGAATTGTTTAAAAAGTCTCTATTTGGCAAAATAAAGGCTTGGCAGTCATGTGTGCCCCTCCCCCTTTGTCTTGTGTTACCCCAGCTGGGCACTGCTGACCAAGTCCGCCCCTCAGTGGGCAGAGGGGATCCAGGCCCCCAGGGCTGCCAGGTCTGCTCAGGGTCACAGATGAACGATTATTTGTTCCAAGGATGGAGGAGCCCAGGGAAGGGTTCTTCTCGCCAGAGCCAGTGGGAGGGGACAGTCCCAGGCTGCTGGGGGCAGGCAGGGCAGCACATGGCAGGGAGGCCAGGCTAGGAGGCAACCAGGCCGCTGGCCAGGGGTCCCGAAGAGCGAGAGACCCAGATTTCTGGCGGGCTGACCTGCCTCCGCTGCCTGTGGACTGGAGACACAGTTCACCTCTCCGGCCCATAGAGCAGCGGGGTCACAATGCCAGCCATAGTTGATGCCTCCCCAAAAGTCTTGCAGCCCAGGGAGGGGCTGCCTGCCTGTGGGCCCCTCTTCTGTCCGAGAGTGCTGAGTTAAGGTGGCATTGAGCCTCAGCAGCCATACCTGTTCTCACCGAGTGCCGATGTCCAGCCCGCAGTGCTCACGGCGGGATCCCAGGGGCAGGTGCCCGAGGAGGCGGGTACTGCTGTGCCCACTTCACAGCTGGTGAGGAGGGAGGAAGAGCCAAACCCAAACTGGTTAGGTTCTTGTCATCTCTCTTCTACCTGATGGGGTTTTGAGCAAGAGACTGGAAAGGTGGAGGAGTCTCCATCCTAGAGGTGACTGCAAAAATTCAGAAACAAGTTGAGTGATTGACATGGGTGACATTTAATATCTTTTTTTGGTTTGTTTTCTTTCTTTTTTTTTTTTTTTTGAGACAAGGTCTCACTCTAGCCCAGACTGTCCTTGAACTCACAGTGATCCTCCTGCTTCAGCCTCCTGAGTGCTGGGATTACAGGCATGTGCCACCATGCTGGGTGGTTTAATATTTTAAATGTGGACTTTCTATCCTGTTAAGATGGGGCTCTTACTGTGTTCACCCCGTCTCCCTGCTCCCTTGGTGGTTGGCAAAGCAGAATGCACACGTGGTCCCTCAAAAATGTAGAGTGGGTGAATGAAAGAATGAATGAAGAGGCGCAGCAGCGTTTCCCATTGGTGACAGGAAGGGAAGGTTCTAAAAGCAGAAAGATCAGCAAGGAGACGAAGTTACCTGGCACCGTGCTGGCTTTCTGTGTGAGGGCCGGAGACCAGGCAGGAGACCAGGGGGCGTGGACTCCTGCACTCCGCCCACTCTAAGGGCGGGGCGCAGGCGCATGCTTCACCCAAGCGCTGTTGTTGCTCCTCCCCACTCCACCCATCTGGTGCTGAAAGGACTCATCTGTGTCTCTCCAGGCGTGTTGGAGGGGATAGGGCCTGGGCTGAAAGCTCAGTTTACAGGTCAGGAAGCAGATGAGAGGGGAAGTGGCCTCCCAGAACAACCGCTGTGCAACCAGGGCAGAACCTAAGGATGCAGCAGGTGCACGGCAAGAGTGCTAGATTCGCTCACATTGGATTCTCACAGACTCAAGAAGCAGCTCTGTGGTCATCCTCACTCGGCTGATGAGGCAGGAGGGGAACAGAGGAAGCTACAAGAGGCGAGGTGATGGGCAAATTCAGCGAATGTTTACATTGGAAAAATGTGTTACAGTAAAAGACACACTGCCATGAATCCCCCTCAAAATCCTCCCCCTCGCTTGGAACACACGCTTCCCGTCATCTTTGCTACTTTCTGCAGCAGCTCTGGAGTCCTCTTTTGTGAGTGTCTTTACAAGGTGTGATCAAAAATACAGTGATGAGGGCGAGGGATTTAGCTCAGTGGCACCGAGCCTGCCTTGAAAGCACAAGGTCCTGAGTTCAATCCCTGGTACCAGGAAAAAAAGAAATAGTGAGATGCTGCTGCTGAGCGCCATCCAATGAAAATGCAGGCTCATAAAAACATGAGGCTGGGCTGGGGATTTAGCTCAGTGGTTCCGCCGCCTGCCTCGAAAGCACAAGGACCCACATTTGATCCCCAGTAGCAAAAAAAAAAAAAAAAAAATGGCGCTGTGTCCTCATCCACCTTAGTCACTGGAACTGGCACTGGGACTTCTGGCTCCTCCCCAAAGTCAATTGATTATGGAAGGGGAACATTTTGAATGGATACAGGACACTGATGCAGCCAGGATGGCACAACTAAAGACACCCAGGAAAGAGGACTCCAGAGCTGCTGCAGAAAGTGGCAAGAATGATGGGATGAGTGTGGTCAGCGTGAGGGGGAGGATTCTGAGGGGAATTCATGGCAATGTGACTTACTGTGATACATTCTTTATAATCTAAACGTTTATTTGGCCCCACACAGCCCAGAGGCAGATGATGGGACCAGAGGGCTGGTCTCTGGGGCCCGAAGGAGCTCGGGCTTGAGGATAGCAGGGTGCGCTTGCCCTGGGCATGGCACAGGTCCCCAGGGTGCCTAGAGCAGAGGCCTGGGCAGCTCTGCCTCCAAGGGCTGCCAGGAAGCCAAGGACAAACCTAGGGCGAATGCTGCCTGGTCAGGCCTGGGTGCTGGCGGGAGGGGAGGCCCTGGGGCTGGAGCTGTGTGCAGGAGTCCCCGGTGCTTGGAGCCCCGTCCAGCGCTGAGCTCTCACCTCTGCAGGAGTTCCTCTGCGACCAGAAGTACGGCGATGAGGAGAACCTGCCTGAGAAGCTTACGGCCTTCAAAGGTGAGCCAGGCAGCTGCTGGCCTCCCCTTCGCCCCACAGCACCCCTCTTCCCGGCCGGCTCCACATGGGTCCCCCGGAGATGGGGCAGGCGTCTCTCCCTGCCACCAGGGCCGCCCAGCGGGGCTCAGGTTGGCTCCTGCCCATCCTGCCCAGCCCTACGAGCTACGCACTCCCGGCCGGTACACAATCCAGTCTTTGTGAGGCGTCCAGGCCTCTCCCCTCCGAGGCCCAGTGTCTCGGGATCCCCTGTGGAGAAAGGACACTTGTGTCGCCACAGCACGGCAAGGGGGCAGAGTTTCTGCCCATTGAATCCTGGCAGCACAGGATGAAAAGAAAACAGGGCTGGGGAGCCTGCGCTGGGAGGGGCAGCATAAAGGTCCCTGTGTTCGGGCCCTGGCTCTTGGTTCCCAGCCAGTGGCTCGGCTCAAAAGGAGAGTGGCCGTGCACGGGAGCAGGCATACCTGTCTTTCCTGCTCCGAGATGGGGTGTACGCAGGCCGCAGAGCCTGGGGGCTCCGGGGACTCGCTGGGAGTGTCTCTGGGTCACACACCCCCCAACCCAAGCACTGGCAATGCGGCCTCCGAATGCAACAAACTGCCCCGGGGCTTACAGCCGAGTCCATCTCCAGCAGGCTGTCAACCTCAGCCGCTGATGAACGATATTAACAGTGGCAGGTGTGGGGCTTAGCGTGTGTGAGCCGGTCCTGTGAGCCCCTCAAGTCCCCCATGGGGCAGGAGGGAGAGGGTGAGGTTGTGAATTCACAGACAGAGAAACCAGGCTCAGGAAGATGGGATTGTTGTCCCGGACCACCTATGGGAAGAGCTGGGACTTGAACCACTTGTCAGTCTGGCTCCAGAGCCCCTGCTCCTAACCAGAATGCTACAATGCTTTGAGAATATCAAAAAATAGGAACAAATAGGCGTGGTGGCACATGCCTGGAACCCAGCACTCAGGAGGCTGAGGCAGGAGGATCACCACAAGTTTGAGACTTCGAACTTTAAACTGTAACTCACAGTCTATAGGGGAGGCTTGGGGAGAGGGGCTCCCACCCACCCTCCCCAAATTCGGGATCAAGTTCCTCAGACACACGGGCTGGGGACTGAGAGGGGCAGCCCCTGCCAGCTTCTCTGTGGGGGCACCTTAAAGACATCTGGGATGACAGGGACCTGAGATGAGGGTGGCCAGGGCCTGAGGACCTGGTCCCTGGTCCCTGCCTCCCGCCTGACGCAGTTTGCTTGTGATTTCCAGAGAAGTACATGGAGTTCGACCTGAACAACGAGGGTGAGATTGGTGAGTGGGGCTGGGGACTTGGGCGGGAGGCACACCCTGCAGCTGCCCAGTGGCCGCGTCGGCACGCGCTCTGTCCTCTACCAGTTCCACTGCCCATGATGTTGCCCTACTGTCTGCTTCCTCCTCCTCAGCTCCCGACCTGGGGGGCCGGGACCTGGGAGGTGCGGGCCACGCCCTGCCCAGTCTCTTGTCTGTGTCACAGCTGCAAGGTATTCCATTATAAGCTGGGCGCAGTGGCGCATGCTTGTAATCCTGGCACTCGGAAGGCTGAGGTAGGAGGATCACTGTGCCTTTGAGGCCAGCCTGGGCTCCATAGTGAGCTCAAGGCCAGCCTGAATTGCCTCAAACCCCTACCATCCGAGAAGAGGGAGGTCTTGCGGGGCACCATGCTGCTCCCTTTACTGTCTGGCCCAGGAGCTGCTGGCTCTCAGAAAGGGCCTGGGTGGCCTGGCACCTGTGGGCCTGGCACCAGTCCGGACACCCTGCCTCTTGGGTGTGCGCTGGCCGTAAAATCAGCCCTGCCCAGCCCCCTCTGCTCTCCTGTGCTGCACTATTGTTCACCCCAGAACAATCCCCAGGAAATCGCCTCAGCTCTCAGAGGAAGGAGCAGGGAGACCAGGGGCAGTGGCTCCTAGGGGTGTCCTGACTTCTTGGTACCTCCTTTGTTTTTCTTGAATTTTATTCTTTGGTTGCTTTTCCTGCTCCGGGGATATTTTTGGCTCCCTCTCCATCTCCCAGCCTAGGCCGAGCCCTAGGACAGCAGGGTGGGAGTGGCGGGGGATGGGGGGCGATGAGTCGCCTGCCATGCTGTGCTAAGACATGGACTCTCTTTCCTCATTTGGTTTCTTGAGGCAGGGTCTCACTGTGCAGTTCACAATGGCCTTGAACTCACCATGTAGCTCAGGCTGGCCTCGAACCATGGCGATCCTCCTGCCTCAGCCTCCTGAGTGCTGGGATCACAGGCATGCACCACCATGCCCGGCCTTGGCTTTGTTACTTTCTTTAGGAGCCCAGCAAACCCATTCTGCCAGTGGTGGAGCAGGGTTCAGAGAGATTAAGCGGTTCCCTGAGCCCCACAGCCAGGACCAGAACAGCTGGACTCCAGCGGGAGAGGGTGCCCGCCAGGCCTCCGTGCGGGTTTGTCCCTGTCCCTGCTGACGCCCCACCTCCCGCCTGGCAGACCTGATGTCTCTGAAGAGGATGATGGAGAAGCTGGGGGTCCCCAAGACCCACCTGGAGATGAAGAAGATGATCTCTGAGGTGACAGGCGGGGGCAGTGACACCATCTCCTACAGAGACTTCGTCAACATGATGCTGGGGAAGCGGTCGGCAGTCCTTAAGCTGTGAGTGCCCCTGCCCCTCAAGGCTCGGATGGCAAAGGTGGGCTGCAGGGAGAGGCCCCACCGGGGCCCCGGCCAGGAGGGAATGCAGGGCGCATTTGTCTGAACCTCTGTTCCTTATTGTCAAGTGCCCCGCTGACCGCACTTCTCGAGGAATTAGGTTGCAGTGGGGCGGTGGGCAGAACGGGCACTCAGCTGCAAGTCATGGTAGTGATGGTGATTAGTCTGTGAACACATTCTGTGCCTCAGTTTCCTCATTTGTGTGTGTGTGGTTTTGTTTTTTGAGACAAGGTCTCGGTATGTAGCGCAGGCTGGCCTGAAACTCATGGCGATCATCCTGCCTCAGCCTCCCGAGTGCTGGGATGGCAAGCATGTGCCTCCATCCTGGCTTCAGTTTCCTCATTTGTACAGCAAGTCCACTACCCCTGTGGGATGGTGGGGAGCATAAAGTAGACTTAAAGGTCTACTCTAAAGGGAGATCGTGTTCAAATCCTGACACTGCTCTTGGCTGCCTAAATGACCCCAGGCAAATTACCTTCGGGCCCAGGCCTCAGTTTCTTCATCTGTAAAATGGGGCTGAAGCATGTCTCTTCCACTAAGCATCATCCTGAGGGGCAGTGAGATGACAGACCCAGCCTGGCGCTGGCTGGTGGCTAGCGTCTCCTGTAGGGTCATCCCACTGACAGCAAGAGCGGGGATCCCCTGAGAGCCTTGCCTGTCACAGCTGGAAAGGACACGCACTTGGCTCTCATGAAACAAGAATCACTTTTTTAAGAGCATTTTAGGGGCTGGGGATTTAGCTCAGTGGTTCTGCCACCTGCCTCGTAAGTGCAAGGTCCGGAGTTCCATCCCTGGTACCAAAAAAAAAAAAGAACATTTTAAGCAGGGTGTGGGGGCGCATGCCTGTGATCCCAGCACCTTGGAGGCGGAGACAGGAGGATCGCCAGTGAGTTCAAGGCCAGCCTGGGCTACATATCGAGACCCTGTCTCAAAAAAAAAAAAAAAATTAACGTACAATGGTAAACGATGCTGTATCCTCTTATAAAGGACCTCATGGCAGGCCAAGAAAGCCCATAAAGGGCTCTCTGGGTCAAGGAAGAAAGGCGTCCTAATCCTGTTGTTTCTTTTTTCTTGTCTTCACACCAGAGTCATGATGTTTGAAGGCAAAGCCAGTGACAGTGGCCCCAAGCCGGCCGGGCCCCCTCCAGAGAGAGACATTGCAAGCCTGCCCTGAGGACCCTACTGCCCGCCTCCACCCCTCTGTGCCCCCTCACCTCGCTGCCCTTCTTTCCTGACTCCTTGGGATTTGTCGTACTCCTTTGGCCACCGTGGGTCTGCGTGTTTTCTTCTTAATCTCTTTGTAAAGCACAAATGATCTGCCTTAAAGGGCTCTGGGTTGGGGACTCCTGAGCCCTGGGTTCCCCCTATTCCTGTCTTTCTGCCTTGCCCAGCCCTGTGGAGCAGGGCTGATACCAAACCAAAAATGAGAGGGCAGGGGTGCCAGAAGCACGCAGCCCTTGCTGAGAGGCCCCACCTCCCCCTTCTGGAATGCGTGTGAGCCCAGGGCCCTGTCCCAAGAGCCTGGAGGAGGGACAAGGCTGCGGGGCCTCTTCCGGGTTCCCCTGTATAGCTCCATGCTTGTGGCCTGGATGTGGCCGCTCGGTGCCCCCACCCCAACGTTACCCCCTGGCCCTCTGCTCATCCCCTCCCTGAGCGCATGGCACAGGTGGAAGAAAGAGAGCTGGGTGACCTGAGACCTTCAAGAAGGAACCAGGGGCTGGAGATTCAGCTCAGTGGTTCCACTACCTGCCTCGAAAGCACAAGGACCTGAGTTTGATCTCTGGTACCAAAAAAAAAAAAAAAAGGAACCGGAAGGAGCCCTCTGGCCTTGCTCCCCCGCCACACCTTTATAGGCAGTGCAGAGGGACAGTACAGCCCACTGTTGCCTGGTAGAGAAGCAAAGGGCTTCAGAGGCAGAGATGAAGCCAGGGAGCTAAGGGAGGGTTGGCCAGGAAGTCCCACCTTGCACGGAGGACACAGAGGGCACAAGCATGGGAGACAGGAAAATGCTTGTGTAAAAGCCAGCACCCCTGGTACACCAGGAGCGAGGAGCAGGTTGTCTTTCTGATCACAGTCGCTTGCAGCCTGACTGGTTCCTCCATTTCCCTTCCTACCCTCCTTGCACTGTTCATTCATTCATGCATTCATTCAGCATATTTATTGAGCACCTACTATAAGCTTGAAGTCGTCCCACCTTGCCCTGACCTTGGCTGTGTCCACTGTCTCTCTAACTCACCTCTCCCTTTCCAAGTTGCTCAAAACCTTGAGCCTTGGGATTGGACTGGGCCACCTGTGTCCTTTTTTTAGGAACTCACAGGATTGCAGAGCCCTCATTGCCCTGTAGGTGAGCCGGGCCCAGAGGGTAACTGCCTTGCCCAAGGTCAGGGCTTAATCTGGAGATGGAAGACCCTTCCTATGCTTCCCTCTGCTCTGGGTGCCTCGGTCAGTGTTGCAAGCAGGGAAGGGGGCTGAGGGCCGGCCTCCCGGGCCAATACTCAGAAGGCTTCTCTCACCCTAAAGGCTGTGGGCTTCCAGGTCAGCATCGGGGCTGCTCTGTGGTTCCCCATTCCTATAGCTCCTAGCCCTGCCTCAGGGAACCCCTTCTCAGAACCCACGAAGGAAAGTGTGGGTCCCGACTCCACCTGTGTTCTGGGTCCTTTACCTGGGCCCTCAGGACACGGATGCAATCATTCATTGAATGGATTTATTAAGCTCTGCTAGAGGCCAAGAGCTCAGAACCCAGCAGTGACACAGCTCATGGAATTGACTGTCCAGTGGGGGAACAAAGACCCAATGACAGAGACGAATGTTAGGAAGTGAGGGGCCTGAGGGTGACTGCCTTGGACAGGGACAAGAGTCCTGGAGAAACCTTTGCAAAACCCTACGGATAGGGCAACCCACTGGGACCCCTCCTGTCTCAGGAGCTATTCCTAATCCCCAATAAAATTTCCTACTCTTAAAAAAAAAAAAAAGTTACAGCCTGGGGGCTGTTAGAGCCATTTCGGGTTTCTTGTGGCTCCTTTAGACCCATATCAAGGGCCCAGCGCGTTGCCCCAGGAGCAGCTTACGGGAGGAGTAAAGCAGGAGGGCTTAGAGACATGTCCAAGTCACATTAATCCTCTGGTCTCAGCCAGTTCAGGTGCATGATCATTTATCTTCAGTCTGATGAGCTGCACAGGCCTAGTTGAAGTTTAAACCCCAGAAAAACATTCCTCCCTGTAAATATAAAATCCTACCTACCCCCTCCACTCTACCTTTGTGGAGTTTTTGGTTTTGGTTTTTTCTGAGATTAGCAACTACCTGTCCCTACCCCTTGCCCCACCCTGCTTTTTCCTGGAGGAAGATAAAGCTTTTTTTTGATTCCCCATCCCATTCAGTGTGGCTGTTCCTCACTCAGAGAGGAAGGCAGAACCAACCAGCCTTATTTCAGCAGGTTCAGCAGTTTGAGACTACAGGAAGGAGAGCAAGGGAGCCTCATCAGTCTCTTCACTGGTCCCCGGGGTTCAGCCCTGGGAGACAGGGTCAGCTGTGTGGACCCTGGACAAGGGGATCTGCCTGTATTTCAGGTCCTAGCTGCTGGCTCCAGGTCTCATTTCTCTAGCTAAGGGCTCAGCTTCTTGGAATTTCAACTATCTTCTTTCTGAAAGAGACCAAATCTAACCTAACGAGCAATGTGGGGACTGCTAAGTATGGCTTTGTCCCGTAAAAGGAAAGTTTGTCTGGCAAATTCAGGTACTGAAGTTGCGTGTGCACGTGTCAGTGGGACTGTGTGGGGGTGTGGTTTCATCTCTGCAGATTGGAATAAACCAGACAAACTTGACCTGTGGCTTTCTTGGTTTATCTTGGGGATGGTTCTGGGCTCGGCAAATTCAGAAGAGCTAGCTAGGGCAGCAGTTCATGGGATGAGGGTGTCTGGGCCCAAGACATCTGAACATCACTCCTCACATCCCCACGAGACAGGCTCTATTACATCATTCGTGTTTTACATGAGAAGCAGGCTTGAAAAGCAGCACAGTAAATTGCTGAAAACCAACAGCAAGAGGCAGAAGGCACCCCCCCCCATGGGTTCCAAGTAAAGAACCTCTCTCCTAGAGCATTTCTAATTCCACTACACCAATGTGCTCTACATAGGACTTTGCAATAGTCAGATGATCTGAATTCTGTGTAGTCCAGGCTGGCCTCTAACTCGTGGCAATCCTCCTGCCTCAGCTTCTCCAGTGCTAGGATTATTAGGCATGGGCCACCACGCCCAGTAAATGTTCTTAACATTTCTCTGCTCCCCTTTTTTCATCAAATGTTAATAAACTCCTGGGTGAGTAGGAAGTATTGAAGGTTAAACAAGATAACATCTAGTGTTTGGTGCAAAACTCAGCAGTCTTTTGGATCCAGAAGTGGACACGGCCCTTGCCCTGGAAATGACTGCTTTGAAAGGAGTAAACAAAGCTGGTCTTTGGTGTCTCAGCTTCCTCACTTTCAGCCTGTACTGAGACACGTGAGGCCTCCGGTGGTGAGGACCTACTCTACCCATTTTCTGAAGAGTCCCTCCCTGCCTTCTGCAAAACCCAAAGCCTCTCCCCAAAGCTGTCCAGTGAAAATATTTAAGTTCCTAACATCTCTGAGTTGGAAGCCACTAATAGCACTGCATCTAAGAGATACATTACTGCGAGGCTTCCAGGCAATGAGTGAGGAGCGTTTACGCAAGCACGGCGAAATGAATGAAACCTGCCTGAATCCCGCCCAGCTGGATGACTCCAGGGTATTTCAGAGCGCAGGCGCGGGCCCTGAGGCCACGCCCCCTTTCTCTGGGGCGGGCCGATGGGGGTCCGCCGCCAGGAGAGCGCACAACTTCAGAAGGCCTGGAGGCTTGCCTCCACTACTCGCCGAATGGGGCGCCAGACGTCACCAAAGCGCGCCGGAAGTGCGTATCGGCCATGCGCGGCTGCTGCCTAGAGGAGGAAATTGGCTTCGGAGCGGCCTGGCTTCTGGGGCAAGGCCGCGGTGGCAGCGGCCTCTGCTTCTATAAACTGAGGGCGGCGCGATGGGAGACGAGATGGATGCCATGATCCCGGAGCGAGAGATGAAGGTCAGAGACTGGCTGGGCCTCCCTCCCTACCTTAGACCTGGCGTCCCGCCTCCGAGTCCTGCGGAACGGCGGAGCGCGGGTAGCAGCTGCCCCGCCTCTTTCTTGAACCATTTACCGCGTAGAGTTGTGGCTGGCGCAGCCCTCCGCCGTGCTCCTGCCGGGAACGCGTCCCCAAATGTCGTTTCCCTGCCCCTTGGTGTCTCGGGCGCGCCTCGAGTTATCCCAGCTCCCTGCCTATGGTGGCCAAAAAGTGATAACTGAGCGTGTATTGTGTGGCAGGCACTGGCGATCATCACAGCGACCCTAGGAAGTGGTCGTTAATAGGAGCAAGTCGAAGTTCCGAAAGTAATTCACCCAGAGTCGCATTTAACGGGAGGTCTAGGAGTCTGGTTCGTATGAGACTTTATATTTCTCATCCGGACTGTACTACTTCTGTAATGTGGTCTAGACTCACCCAAAGCAGAACCAGGAAGGGTCATCCGTCATACAAAACTTTTAGCTGACTGGACTAGGAACATGATTTTCGCTCCGGAAATCAGTCTAAAGTCAGGAAACTGAAGGGAAGACCACTGGGCTAACTCTCAGAATGGCACGTTTACTAGTTTTTTGGGGGTTTTTTGGTACCGGGGATCGAACTCGGGTCCTTGCGCTTGCGCAACAGGCGACGGAAACCACTGAGCTAAATCCCCGGCCCATGTTTAATAGTTCTTACGTACGTTGTGACAGAATGAAGGTACAGAGAACGAGCTATGCTAAGCATAAAAGCTGAAAGTGAAGTAAGTTGCTGGAAGATCTTAAGCATTTGCGTGAATAACAAATCACTGAAGTGTGCTTGAGGGGATAGTAAGCCTTACCATATTTAGTACAGTGATTCTTACTACCTGTTTTGAGCCGCCTAATGGGCGTGCATCCTGTTCCTCAGATGCACTGGGGTAGAAGGAAAGGCTTAAGGACCATACACCAAAGCTGATAGATAGTCTCCTTTGAGACACTTATAGGAAGGACTCCTTTGTGTCTCTTCATCCTACTGACCCTCTGCACCCATTTGACCAACACCAAATAGGGCAGAGTTGAGATTATCTTGATAAGACTTGTAAAAGACAGAAGCGCCCCTCTCCCCCCAGCATGGTGGGTCATGCCCAGCACTCAGAAGGCTGAGACAGGAGGATCACCACTAGCTTGAGGCCTTCCTGGGCTACATATTGAGTTCAAGGCCAGCCTGAACTACAGAGCTGGGCCCTGTCTCAAAATACCTAAATAAATAAATAAATAAATAAATAAATATAAATAAAAGACTGAAGGCAAGTGTGGTGATGTATGTCTGTAATCTCAGCACACTGGGAGGCTGAGGCAGGAGGATTGCAAGTTTGAGCCTAGCTTGGGTGATTTAGTGAGACCCTGTCTCAAAATAGAAAAAGGACTGGGGATGTAGCTCAGTTTGAAGGCCTTGGGTTTAATTCTCTGTACCAAAAAAAGGTGTGGGGGGACTAAAATTTTTATTCTGTTTCTCTATGAAACCATAGTATGTTCTTACCCGGAAAGCTGTGTGAGGTGTGCGTGTGTGCGTGTGTGTGTCTTTCTTTGTTCGTTCCTGGGGATTGTATCCAGTGAGTGCTGAGCCATATCTCTGTTCTTTTTACTTTAGTTTTGTTTTGTTTTTTGAGACAGGATCTCCCAGGCTGACCTCAAACTTGTGATCCTCCTACCTCAGTCTTAGTTGGGGTCACGTGCATGTGCCACCATTCCCAGCAAGCTTTATGAATCTACCCACCACAGTCAGTTGTAATTGAGAGTATTTCAGCTGATGTGTTAGGGAATCCCATACGAAACCATGCAACTCTAGTGTACAAAAATGAAAGCCAAAAACAGCTGTGCTTCTCTTTTTTACACTTTTGGAATGGAAGCACAGAGCAGATTCACATTCTTTTCCTAAAACCTTGACCTGAAGATAGGTTGAAAAAGAAGAAGAAAAAAGATGACAGCCATATCCATAGTACAGTTTAACAAAGTAATGGGTAAACTTAGGGAGCTTTTCTCCCAGGAGGTGGTAAACAGTGAAAATAGTCTTTGAAAACATGCGGCTACGTTTGTGGAAGACTGAGGGAGTGGCACTGACAGAAGGCCAGGGAAAGCTTACGGGCCACTCGTGTCTAACAGGAGCATGAAAGTTAAAGGGCATGAAAGCAAAATAGGGGCAAGGCTGGCCGCGGCTGTGGCGGAGACGGTGGCCCACTGTGAAAAGGAAGCGGGATGTGGTGAGGGAGGCTGCAGAACAGACGGGGAAGCCATGCCTGGCCTTGTTGCCTCTCCTGAGGGGCTTGACCTGTGTTTTATTTATTTGTAGGCGTACCTCAGGTCACAAACTTAATTCTTTCCCCGATTCTGGTCACAAACCAAATCAAATTTCCCCATAAAGTCAACATTGAACCTAACCGTTGAATTTGACGTCAGGAAATGATTTCATAACTCCACCTGCTCCGAGGTACCACTGTTACTTGTTTGTCTGAGACAAGGTCTCACTATGTGGTGGGTTTTTTTTGGTACCAGGGATTGAACTTGGGACCTTGCGCTTGTGAGGCAGGTGCTGGAACCACTGAGCTAAATCCCCGGCCCAAGGTCTCACTCACCATGTAGCCCAGGCTGGCCTTGAACTTGCTCACAGTCCTGCCTCAGCTTCCAGAGTGTTGGGATCACAGGTGTGCACTGCCACATCCAGCAGACTTGTATTTTAGGTGTGCTCTTAGCATCTAGTTTTTGTTTATAGGTCTTGAGTGCCCAGGTTTGACAGAATCCTTTTCTGTGATGGGATTGATTGCTTGATTGTACCGGGAATTGAACTCAGGACCTCGCGGTGCCCCTGAGTTCTGTGATGGAATTTTAAGTGGCTGATAGAAGGAAGCCAGGTCTTGGTATTCGGTCATCTTTCCCGTGGTTGTTTCAGTATGTATTTGCTGAGCACCGCACTAGAAGTCAGAACTTGCAATGCAGTTGGGTGATGCTATCAGTATTTAACAGTAATTTATTAAGCACTACACTGGTTCATGACATAGGAAAGATTAATATCGCGTAGGAACTGGGGATTTAGCTCAGTGGTTCCACCGCCTGGCTCGCAAGTGCAAGGTCCCAATTTTGATCCCCGGTACCTGAAAAAAAACAAAACACATAGCTGTGTGGTGGTTCAGACCATACAACTAGAAATTCAGAAAAGAACAGTGTGAGCTGGATTATCCAGGATGGTCTTCATAGATTTCTTTTCCCATTTATTTCATTGAGTAAATATTAATGAGTGCTGTGACAGGCACTACATAAATACAGAAAGTCTCAGACAACTGAGGCAGTCATTGACCTCAAGGTAATAAATTTGTTCTTCTGCAATTAGGTCTACTGGAATATAGCAACAGACATAATTTACTCTTTTCTTCAAACTGATCTTGCAAAACAGGATTTTCAGTTTAGAGCACTGAAGAAAGTGAGACTCTTCGACTCCCCTGAGGAGCTGCCCAAGGAACGCTCGAACCTGCTTGCCATATCCAACAAGTATGGGCTGCTCTTTGCTGGTGGAGCCAGTGGGCTGCAGGTTTTCTCTACGAAAAACCTGCTTGTTCAAAACAAACTTGGAGATGATCCCAATAAAATAGGTGAGTCCTTGCTTTGTGTGGCAGAGCGGAGAGAGCTGTGCGAGTTGTGTCCTCCTGAGGAAGTCACTCTGATGTTGAAATGAAAACTGTCTGGGCCCCAACATGGACCCCAGGAGACCAAGCTCCAGGCAGTGCTGAAAGCCTTTCCAGGTTTCCTCTTTGGCCCTTTATATTTCTCTTAGGGGCTGCTCCTCTGAGCACAGAGGAGGGAGCTTCTGTTTCTGCTCAGTTGAGCTTGGGCTGTGGCTGTCTAGAAGAAAAGTTTTGTTATATGAATTTTTTGTTGGCTCAGCAGTGCCTTCCAAACAAATGTGTACTGTTTGGCGCATTACAGCAAAAGTGTTTTCAGCAGGGGCAGCAGCCACAGTTTGTTTGCCCTGGTGGTGTGGGGAGCAGTCCCTGAGGTCGTTGCAAACCTATAATGCACCCTTGCGTATCTGTAAGAAAGTTAAGATTTACTAGCATAGTTGTGTTTATATAGATTCAAAAACGATTTCACCTAGTCCTGGTTAAAGGAGTTTGGCTTGGTGCATGCAGCATGCCATTTTCTGCTTTGTCTTTTTTCCCTGTGTTTTCGTAGTGGACAAGGTCGAGAGCTTGCTCGTCCCTATGAAATTCCCAGTGCATCACCTGGCCCTGAGCTGCGACAACCTCACGCTGTCTGTGTGCATGATGTCCGGGGAATATGGCTCCATCATCGCTTTCTTTGATGTCCGGACGTTCTCAAATGAGGTGACCACTGACAGACCACATCAGTGTGGGAACCTGCGGAGAGTTCCTCATGTGGAGTTACTCCTGGAGGCCTCTTCGCTTGACCCTTGAAGGCTTTTTTCTAGATTAAAATGTGGGCTAAAAAAGAGTCCTTAAACTATAGACTCCTAGATCTTTGAGGTAGAGAGGACTTCAGGAACAAGTTCCTAACCACACCTGGCCCAGGGTGTGTTTCATTTGTACAAAGGACAGCAGGAGGCTTAGGTGGCCTGCCAGGTCTGAGGACTAAAGTGCAGTGTCAGAGCCCCACATTTTCCTTCTCTGGCCTCCAGGGGCAGTGTTCTCCCTTCCATTCCGTAGTTTCAGAATGAGAATAGTCAATTATATTGAGTGTTTTTATGTCTGTCCTTGCTCATGCCTCGCATAGCCTCACATAGTAGATGCGACTTCCTTCACTGTATAGTTGGAAAGACAGACTTCAAGTGTTAAGTGATTGCCAGAGGTCCCAACACTATTAAGAAGCAGAACGAAGATTTTCATGTGCTGCCACATGATTATCTTGATTATCTTGCGTTTATGCATTCCCCTGCCAGGAGCCCCTGTGAGCAGCTAGAATAATTGCTTGCCATTTTCATTGAAATCATCTGTAACAAATAGATTGCTGTATAGAGCCAGATCTCTTTTTCATGGTTCTGGGAGAGTGAACTCTGATTTAAGAGTTGTGTCTTTGCTGATTTCCTTTGGCTACTAAATGTCTGTGTGTTTATTAATTATCTTGCTCTTATGTATTTATTTTAAAAGGCTAAACAGCAGAAACGCCCATTTGCCTATCACAAGCTTTCGAGAGATGCGGGCGGCATGGTGATCGATATGAAGTGGAACCCCGCCGTCCCCTCCATGGTGGCAGTTTGTCTGGCTGATGGCAGTATTGCTGTCCTGCAAGTCACAGACGTGGTGAAAGTGTGTGCCACTCTTCCTCCCACGGTGGCAGTAACGTCCGGTGGGTAATAAGGCTTTCACTCTGTAACGTACAGTAATGGTAATCTATTTAAAAATTCATCTCTGCAAGTAAAAGTGGATGGCTTTTGTTCTGTGTGGGGGTTTTTTAAACTTGAAAATGGAGAGTATTCTTTATTTCCACAGTGAATATCCTCGAAGTCAAACAGCATACATTAATTAATTTGAATGTGCCTGGGTTATCTCGGGAGAGAAATATTTTGGTACAGTGGATTAGATATGTGTTTTTGAGAATAATTGCTTTTGGACAAAAGAGTTATCATCTTAAAGTCTTTTGTGCCTTCATGGGAAAAGCATTAGAAATAACAAATAGGAGCAGGAGAATGATTTCTTGATAGTTGAAAACTGTCTCCGTCTTCCTCCTCTAAAGACTGGTTTCTGCTCTTTGTGGCTCTGGGAAGCTCTCTGTGTCCTGGAGAAGCATGCTTGGCCCAGTTCAGCAGCCCAGGGGGAGTCTTGGCTGCCTTACATGATCAAAGTAGTTTTGCTGTTTTTTGCCCTGTGGCCTGGGTGACCCTAAGCCCCTCTGTGGACTGACAGAGAAGCAACCTCGGTGACTATGGAGCTGTTCCGTGGTCCCCCTTGTTGGTGGCCCTGTGCCCCCAGATTCTAATTGGCAGTGTTCTCTTCTTGCCCAGTGTGCTGGAGCCCCAAGGGGAAGCAGCTGGCGGTGGGAAAGCAGAATGGAACTGTGGTCCAGTACCTTCCTGTAAGTTCTTGTCTCGGCTTTCAGAACTTCTCTTACTGAAGTTACCCACTGATTTGGGCAGTGGCTTGGCAGCATCTTTTCCGTTGCTCTTTTCTGTTAAAAAGTAGTTTAGCTGAGGACTTAGCTCAGTGGCAGGGCACCTGCCTTGCAAGCACAAGGTCCTAAGTTTGATCCCCAGTACCCCCCCCAAAATTTTGGGGCCAGGGATTTAGCTCAGTGGTTCCGCTGCCTGCCTCGCAAGCACAGGGTATCGAGTTCAATCCCCGGTACCAAAAAAAAAAAGAGTTGTTTTATCTGTTAGGCACGGTGATGCACACCTGTGATCCCAGGACTCAGGAGGCTGTGGCAGGAGGATCGCTGTGAGTTCAGGGCTGGCCTGAACTACATAGCAAGAGAGACGATCTCAAAACAACAAAACAAGAAGTAGCTTATCTGAGTTCACTTCCTGGTACTGTCTGAAAAAAATAAATAATTATCCTCAGTGTAACCAATCCACCAGCAAATGGAGAAGAGAGAGGAAGTCTTCCTTCATTCCTGGGTCCTCCTTCTCGGGGTGCCCACTACATTCTCCAGTGGGGTCCCTTCCGGACTTTTCTCAACACTTATACAAATAGTCTGTGTCTTATTTTTGTTTTGCTTTTTACAATGGGATCACATTCTACACACTGGATCCTCAACTTCATATTTCTGGTCCATTCTGTGGAAGCAGAGCTCAAAGGGAAGAGAAGTTACGGAGGAAGCTGTTCGCGTAATGCAGACTCGCTCTGCGTCAAACCCTGGCGTCTGAGCCTGCCTTCCAAGGGTCACTCCTGCCACTGTGGGTGACAGGCCAGACGGCCCTGTTGCTGCGGCCCTGTTGCTGCGAGTGTGCTCAGTGGTCCTGTGCCGGTGATGTCGAAGATAACATTCACAAATGCTCCGCAGTGTAAATCGACTCCCAAGGAATCCGCATGACTGGCCAAGGAGCAGCTCACAGCCCTTCAGGGCCATGCTATGCTTTCCCCCTCCAGATTGCTCTTTGAGGAGTTGTATGACAAATGGGGTGATGCAGGTGTGAGGTTAAAGCTTTGTTTCTTATTTATCACATTTAAAAAAAATTTTGTGTGAGACAGGTAGTGTATGTTACCTGGGTTAGCCTTCATTCAGCTCCTGGGCTCAGACGATCTTCCTGCCTCAGCCTCCTCAGCGCCTGGGGCCACAGGCACCACCAAATCTAGCTTGCTTTCTTGTTTTGCCCCAATGTGGTACATTCTCTCTTAGGGAAGATTAGTCTCTAAAAAGATGCAATTGGCTTAATTGTACTGCTTTTCTGGTTGCATATATGTATGTATGTATGTATATGTGTGTGTGTATATATATATATATATATATATATATATATATATATAACTTAGACCACTGAGGTTTTTTTCCAATCATTACATATTCGTTCTCTTCAGAGCGGTATAGTAGGCCACTGTGTGGATATGCCACAGTTGATCTATTTCATTAGTGCTAGGAGTTTTGTTGCTGTGGGCGCTATTGAATGGAACACCCTTGGGAACACAGTCGTGTATTTCTCTGGGAAAGACCCCTGCGGGTAGACAGGATTTTCTTTTGGTTCAGTCTCTGACAGGGAGGTGGAACAGGTAGCTTTAAGGGGAACAGATTGGAATTGACAGAGTCTTACTGATTTAGGGGTTGTTTCACTGACACTTTTCTTTTCAAATCTTTCAGACTTTACAGGAAAAAAAAGTGATTCCTTGCCCTCCATTTTATGAGGCGGATCACCCCGTGAGAGGTAATGCTGCTTTTGTTTTTGTTTTGTTTTGTTTTGTTTTGTTTTTTTGAGACAGCGTCTTGCTTTATAGTTTAGGCTTGCAATGAACTCACTATGTAGCTCAGGCAGGCCTGGAACTCACAATGATCCTCCTGCTTCTGCCTCCCGAGTGCTGGGATTACAGGCGTGCACTACCACGCCTGGCTCAACGTTGCTTTTCTTACTCAAGAGGAACCTCTGCACCAGCAGTGTGCTAATCTGCTAGCATATAGTGGCCAGGCTGACATGAGCTGCTTTCTGCTGACTTGGTTGCGTGGCCTGACTCCTACTGAGCAGGTGCTTGTGTGCTTTCAGTGCTGGATGTGCTGTGGATTGGGACCTATATCTTCACCATCGTCTATGCTGCTGCAGATGGCACTTTGGAGACGTCTCCAGAGGTGGTGATGGCACTGCTTCCGGTACGCTGGCCAAGAGGAAGGGGTGTATTGTTTGTTGGGAACTGGAGCAGTGAGCGAGTATGGTTAGAGACCTAGGTTCTGGCTCCTCACTTAGTGGCAGTGGCAGTGCAGGTTCAGGTGTAAGGTTTCAGCGCTGCACTGTGGGCCTGAGGACTTAAATTGGGGTGTCCACTTGTGACATACTCAGATGTGTAGTTACCAGGTAAAAGAATATTATAAAACTTGCTTTTCCGCAAACTGTAAAGTGACTGAATCCTGGTTGACTTGGTAAGAAACTTCAGAAAAGGAAGAGATTATCTTGATTTCTAAAATTATTTCTTTATTGAAATGCATATGGTGTGTGAGGCCTTGCTTTACAGCTGGGAATGGAGAGGTGACCAAGCAGAGTCCCTGCTTTCCCACCTGGTGGCTGGGTGAGGTGTGATCTGCCCCCTAGAGAGAAGGGCAGGTGGGCGGTCAGAGAAGCCTCTCAGGAGAAGCCTTGGAGCAGAGGAGCCAAGTGGAGAGAGGAGGGAGTCGTTTTGAAGATAAGGGAAGAACATTAATAATGAAGTCTACAGAGTGTTACTAAGTTGCAGTCGCATTTTGGAAAGCAAAGGAGGCAGAGGTTTTCAGATCAGAATTATTTTTTGAAGACCACAACAACATTTAAAAATACTTATCAGTAAAAAGACCCAAGATGGGTGTGATAGCGCACACCTGTAGTCCCAGTACTTGGGAGGCTGAGGCAGGAGGATCGCTGAGAGTTTGAGGCCAACCTGGACCACGTGAGACAAAAAAACAAAACGAAAAAGACCTATCAAAAAGCCATCTTTTTTTTGGTACCAGGCATCAGGCTCAGGACCTTGTACTTGCAAGGAAGGTGCAGTGCCACTGAGCTAAATCCCTGGCCCCCCAAATCCATCTTTTAAAATCAGTTTAATTCTACCATCTAGACATGACTTGTTACTTTAGTATATGTATTTCCAGGATTCTTTTTTATTTATTTATTTTGGTACTGGGGATTGTACCCAGCACCTTCACTCTGAGCTGCATCCCCAGCTCTTTTTTATTTTGAGACAAGGTCTGACCAAGTCACCAAATTGCCCAGGCTGGGCTCGGACTTGTGATCCTCCTGCCTCAGCCTCCTGAGTAGCTGCGATTACAGGCTTACACCACCACACCTGGCTGAGGATAATATTAGCACTAGCATGGAGCTTTCTGGAGAGATGCAGAATATGTATCATTTTGTTTCACATTCAGAACAGACTCCTTGTACACTGAGAAAACTGAGTAGTGGGGAGGATGAGTAATCTGGCCACGAGTGTTCCTTGGTCCCACAGTGACAGAATGGAGTTTGAATTGGCTCAGTTGGTGGCCTGCATTTCTGTACCTTGCACTCTTCCATCCCACCTTTATGTCTTGACTTGGACTGAATTTTTTCCTAAAAGTTAAATGGCCATTCTTTGAGATTGTTAACTGCAGGATTCAAGAAAAATTGCACATGAGAAAATTTTCTTGCTCTGCTCATGGTAGAAAAAGGAAGAGAAGCACCCGGAAATCTTTGTGAACTTCATGGAGCCCTGCTACGGCAGCTGTGCAGAGAGGCAGCACCATTACTACCTCAGCTACGTGGAGGAGTGGTGAGCAGCACGCTTTCCTGTCACCATGGGTCACCCCTCTGGCACTGGTCATAGTGGGGACTTTTTCTCTTCCCCCAGTCTTGAGATGTTTAGGTTAGATGTGTATGCACTAATCTAAAAAATCCAGTTTTCTCAATAAGCCCGGTGATGACTCATGAAGATACTGATGTTTACAAAGCAAATTAAGACTCTGAAGCATGTCTGTAATCTCAGCGGGAGGCTGAGGCAGGAGATCACTGTGAGTTTCAGGCCATTTTCCCTTTGAAAGCTGGATTACCTGAAGCAGCCACTCCTAAGGAGGCTTCTGTGCTTGCAGTGGTGCCCAGATGCTGGCGGGGCTGTCTTCTTCACTGAGCTAGGCAGTGGGCAGGCTCTCCAGGGCTTCACTGGAACTTTGGAGCCAAGCTGGACGTTAGACCCCTCCTCTTTCGAGCTTGGTGGGGCGGCTGGTCCTGGCCAATAGAGGAAGTCCACACAGATGTCACCCTGGGCTGTGCCAGGTCAGAGCTGTCACCAGGTCAGAGCTGTCAGTGCATTCGGTCTCACGGGCTTCGGCTCTCATTCCTAGGGATCTGGTGCTGGCAGCATCTGCAGCTTCCACAGAAGTCAGTATCCTCGCTCGGCAAAGTGACCAGGTACACTTCCCTTGTCTTTTTATGCCATGAGGTATGTATTTCAGAGACAGTTTCGGGAGGGAATTAGCTGTGGCGAAGATTAAGAGGGGGACAAATTGTGATCCCTTCTGTTTCATTTCTGCTGAGAGCAAAGTCCTGCGGGCCCAATGGCCTGGGCGTTGCCCTGGAGAGGCTGGAGTGTGCCTGAGTGTGCGTGCGTGTGTGCGTGTGCATGCAGTAGAACTGGTGACGTGTACCGGGCGTGTGGGACGCCTTTCCCACGGTTTCTGTGGGACTGTCTGTAGTTTTTCCTTTTGTGTTACTGGCTCCTTCTGCACAGTTAACTGTAGCCCGCCCTCAGTTCTGGAAGGGAAACGCGCAGACCCTGACAGTGTGACTCATCGGACATACAGACGCTCCCCACTTGGAATGAGGATGGGGATCCACCCAGCACACTTGCAGGAAGGTGGAAGTACCCTAAGTCAGACGTGCGTTTAAAGCACTCAACCTGCGCGCTGCCACAGGTCGGGCAGAGTGCGCTGTAGAGGATGGTGTCACCCTGTGGCCATCTGGCTGGCTAAGCGGTGGCCTGCTGTCCCCGGCCAGCATGGTGAGAGTATCAGGTTCCTGGTGTGATGTGTGCCTTCCACCAAAGGCAGGCAGGCGCCTCCTCCTCCTCCTCCTCCATCTTAACGCTGGAAAATCTCCAGCTCAACCATGATTAGTGAGTGACCATCTGCATTTTCTGTTTGACCTTGAAAACCCACAGAGAGAGACAAGTGCCTAGGCACAGGTGCCAGCTGCACGGTACCTTCTGCAGGGACACCTTCTGCAGGGACACCTTCTGCAGGGACAGGGTGGGCTGAGAGGAGGGCCTGTGAAAGGGAAGTGTATTCTTTTTAAAGCTCTGCTTTGGATTTCAGAGTTTGTTTGTTTGTTTGTTTGTTTGTCTGTTTGTTTTTCTTTTGGTACTGGAATGAACTCGGGACCTTGCACTTGTGAGGCAGGCTGCCCCACCACTGAGCTAAATCCCCAGGCCTAAATTTCAGTTTTGTGTGCCCTTAAGTATAAGGACCAAGTACTTTTCCTCCCTGTGTATAGGTACTTTGTGCCCCTTCAGCCTCCCAGCACTTGCCCATTGTCATCTGGGTGGCAGTGGCCCCCTGGGTGTCTGGGATGGGCCACTTTGCAGTCAGTGGCTAGAGGTTGGCAGACTTTTTTTTATTAGCTTAAAATTAATTTATTTAACAAATGTAGTAACTATTTTTTTTGGTACTGGGGATCGAACTTGGGACCTTGGCGCTTGTGAGGCAGGCAGCAGAACCACTGAGCTAAATCCCCAGCCTATTTAACAAATATAGCTGTAATATAAATGATAATAAAATTTCAAATATACAATATATTACATAGTACACACAGTCCCTTCCAAAGGGATGTTTGAGAACCATGAAAATGTACTGTTGAGGTCGGCAGTCTTGATTTGCTACTGTAGAGCTATCTTAGATCAGCGTCACTAACCATAATCTCTTATTAGCACAAGCGTTTTATGTATTCACACATTAAAGTGGACTTTTATTTTTATTTCTTGTCAAAATAATGTATGTACATACATTAAAAAAACAAATAGGGAAGGCCTTATAAAAAACAGTCATCCACCCTCCATCCTGCCCCAGTCCATGGCGGGGACTGTTTTTATTTTGTACATGTTTCCTTGCACTGGCCACCAGTTTGTCCCTGAAGAATAATTTCAGCCTGCCATGGTGGTGCACCCCTGGGATCCCAGCCCTCTGGGAGGCCAAGGCAGGAAGATGGCCTGGGCTATTGAACAACTTTGTGAGGCTCTACCTCAGAAATAAAAAATAGGCCTGCTACATAGCCCTGGGCTCAATCCCCAGTGCTGCAGAAAAACAAAAACAAAACAAAACAAAAGAGCAGTCTCCTTTATCACTAGTGATTATCAGTTTAGACCTATGGACTGTGGCAGGTGTGCATCTAGCTCACATCTAGGCCCAGATGCCGGATTTCATAGCTTCATAACTTTGTAACCCTTAAGTGATTTTTTGCCATCATTTTGGTGGCATCTCTTGATCTTCCAGTTCCTGTAGCTCCTTCCGCTGTTCTTCCCCTGTCTGAAATGCCAGGCTGCAGCCACCTGCACACTCTGCTGTAATGGCTGTGTCCTCTTTGTGCTTCTCTGGAGTCTTTCAAAGCAAACCTGTCTTGCTTGTGCCACTGTGACTTTGTGTCTCACTTGCTCCTTGGCTAAGCCAGGTAGCATGAGTGCACCCCATTGACTGAGCAGCTTTTCTCTTGCTTTTAGTACCAGAGATCGAACTCAGGACCTTGCGCTTTCGAGGCAGGCGGCGGAACTTCTCTTGCTTTTTTAATTCCCTGCACCATTTCCCTGGGATTCAAATTACCTGGTTCTGCTCAACACAGAAAGCCAGTCAGAGCATTAGTGGTTTTAAAACTCAGGACTCATAGAAGGAAAAGAGCCCAGCCCTGCAGACTTGAGCACAGGGGGAGAAACTGCAGACTGCGGGCTTCTCATGGGATGTGGGCAGGGAGCTGAGCATTCTGGGGACAGGAAAGACAGCACTGAGGTCCTCGCTGTCCTTTTGGACAAACGAGCTCACTCAGGGAGCATGGCTCGGTGTGACTATCAGATGTGACCCCCATTCGGGAATTAGCTGTGGTGGGGAAGTGGGTGTGATAGGAATTGTTCACAAGGCAGGGCCTGCCATCACCAGGCAGAGGTAGAGGAATTGGTTTGGAAAGTGAGTCACTTTCTTGCTGAGGTTCCCATGGCTTTTAATCTAGCTTCTCGTGTACCGGAGCTTCGCAGTGAACACACAGAGCCAAATGCCCTGAGGTGCCTTTCTCTTTGCTGCTGGGAGGAACTGACCCAGAGCTCTAACCAACATCCATTTTGTCCCCCTTACCTTTTTTTTTTTTTTGCAGATTAATTGGGAATCTTGGCTCCTGGAGGACTCCAGTCGAGCTGAGCTGCCGGTGACAGACAAAAGCGATGACTCCCTCCCTATGGGAGTGGCCATCGACTATACCAACCAGGTGGAGGTCGCCATCAGTGAGTGTTGCCAGTTCTGGGTGCAGGAAGTGTACCAAGGGCTGATCAGACCCTAAGCTACCTTTGGGGGGGGGGGGCAACGAGGAATAAAAAGAGACATAATTTTCAAGATATAAAGGGGCGCCTGGGAGGAAACCTGCCTGTAGCAGACAGACTCCAATAAAACTCCGCAGTTGGCCCACTTTTATTAGTCAGTGAGACACGCAGGGGGAGGGGTAGCATGCGCTTCTTGGAACACCATATAGAGAACTATATAGAACATACAGAACAACTGTAGAGAATGGGTGCCTATGGTTAAGTTCATGAGGAACCAGATTTTCTCTACACCCAAATGCCTACATACTGACAACTGTCCTCAGCAGAGGCCATCTGGCCTCAGGAGTGCTGAGTTATGGGCACTCCACCCACAGCCAGGGGGCATGCGGCCTTCCACCTGCTTCCCTGTTCCCAAGGCCACATAACTCCAGCCTCCAGACTAAGAGAGATCTGGATTGGGAGGCCTGCTCCCTAACAGGAACGGCCCTCTTCCTGCTGGTGGTTGTGTTGAGAAGCCAGTCAGAGGAGTTGGGGTGGGCTCCTCCGCGGGGCACATCACACTGAGCGAAGCAGGGCAGCACTGTGACGGCTGACACTAAGCAGCTGTGAACGGGCACTCACTCGTGAGCCTGATGCCTGACCCTGTGTGCACACGCGCACATGCACAGGGGCCTGTGCTGGCTTTGGAATCTCATCGAAGTAGAACATTTGGATTTCAGAGTGTGGTTTCTTCGCCCATTCAGGTCCACATGATCCCTCGGGGCACAGTTACCCTAATCTGGCACTGCACATGATGCTTGGGTGGGCAAGGGTTAGGAATTGGAGACTTTGACGCCGTGGGTTGCACGTGGGCCTGGCTGTGTGCGCTGAGTGTCTTCCCCCTGCTGGGAGCAGGGCAGCGCTGTTGTCAGGGAGCCACGAGAGTGCAGCAGAAGGAAGTTTGCCCACGGGTGAGTCTCTGCAGAGCGCTGGCCCCCAGGGCACCCTGAAGTCCCTCGGACTTGCCCTGGTCAGGCGAGCATGTTTGGTCTCTGCAGCTCATTTCCTGTGATTCTCTTGAATCTCCATGGACAAAGTCCATACTTAGGACTGAGTTGCGAATGTACATGAGGAAGCTGAGTTAGCTGTCTGTCCTGATGTGTGTTTTCCAGTAGCGTGGCCTGTCTCCTTTCCACCGCACCCTCTGCTTCTCAGAGCCCTGTCTTTTCAGGGAGCTGCCAGCCCTGCCTCCTGGACACAGAGACTGTGAACACAGGGAGCCCGGGGAGAGGTGGGGTGCATATGGCAGGGCGCAGGGCCCTGCAGGTGGGGGCCATCTGTAGTGGCCCGAGCTCTGGTTGAGTGACTGGTGCATGGAAGGCTGCTGTTGAGAGACCAGCCGGGGTCCTCGTGGTCTGGGGCCGTCTCTCTGCCCGGCCCAGGCCCTTCGCCTGATGTGGCTGTGCTCACCTTTGCTTTCTTTTTTCACAGACGAAGAGAAGACTCTTCCTCCTGCCCCAGTTCTCCTGTTACTTTCAACAGATGGTGTGCTTTGTCCATTTTACATGATCAATCAGAACCCCGGGGCTAGGCCTGTCATCAGGACCCCGGAGTGGTTGTCACCAGAAGGCGAGCGACAGCCCAAGTCTTCAGGTATGAGTCTCGCTGGCTTACACAGGACAGTCACTGAGGACATGGTGACTGTGACCCTCACCCGGCTGGTCTGCCCGCCCGAGCATGGGCTCGCCTGTGTGGTCCTTTTTATAGGAAAAATATGTGCAGAAAGAAAATACTAGAGAGATGGACGTTAAACAGTAGATAATGGTTGTTTCTTTCTATTTCATTTTCTCTTTTTTCCTTTCTCCTTGAGAATATTTCCTCAGTAACATGTTAGTGAAGAAGAGTTAGAAAAGCCCTCCACAGAGCCCCGGGAGGCTCATGACCCATTAGCGTAGCCGCTCAGCCTTTGGGACGTGCAGTACTGGGACCCAGGACACCAATCCTCAAGCTGTCTCAGGGATACTGTGTCACTCGTGAGAGGAAGATAGCAAACTTGTTAAAGGAGCTCTTCTCAGTAATGGAATTTCGGCAATATTTCTCTTGAAATTCTGTGTGTAACTGATAAGGATTCTTTTCTGCTAGTAGGGCTCAGAGCCCATCGTGTGACCCTGGCCCTAATGGGTGTGCGTTCTCACTGCTCCAGATGTGGAGCGAGGCGCACACACATCTAGAGCTGCTCAGGAGCTGGTGCATGGCCAGCTGCAGCGGGGCCCCAAGTAGCAGAGCAGGTGGCTGGCTGGGCGCTGCGGGTGTCGTGCGGGGACGTCTGTAGAGTGCTCGCTTTGGGGTGTCTCTCCCTCCCCTCAGTGGCTGCTTCCCGTGAGCCTCCCCGGCCCCTCACACTGGAGCGGAGGGAAGAGCCGGGTGAGATGAGGTCGAGTGAGCCAGAAAGGGGAGATGTCTGCCCCGGTGTTTGCTAGGTCGACGGAGGCCTGGGTCATGGGTTTAGAACACAATGATTCTGTTCCTCTCCAATACCGCTTCAAGGTATTGAATGACTAGTAGTAGCAGAGGAAGATGGTTTTCAGGTGTTCAGTTCTATTTTCAGGAGCATAAATGCCTCCAATCTCTTTAGCTTATATTCTTTGTGTTGACCTACCTAATATGCACAGACATTATTTACAACTCTATGTTTGTGTCTTCAAAGAACTTAGCATTAGCTGGGTATAGTGGTGCACGCCTGTAATTCCAGCATTCTGGGAAGCTGAGGCAGGAGGATTGCAAGTTTGAGCCTAGCTTGAACAACTTAGCAAGAACTTATCTCAACAAAAATTTTAAAAAGGCCAGGTGTGGTGGCGCATGCCTGTGATACCAGCGTTCAGGAGGCTGAGGCAGAGGGATCACTGTGAGTTTGAGGCCAGCTTTGGCTACATAGTGAGACCCTATTTCAAAAAAATAAAATAAAAAGGGCTGGAGATGTATCTCAGTGTGAAGGCCCTGAGTTTAATCCCTAGTACCACCCAAAAAAGAAAAAGAAAGAAACTGTTCCTGGTTCTCTATCTATAGTGTAAGAGAAGTATTATTGGCAGAATAGGTTTGTTTGCAGTATTATACTCAGACAGCAGTGATGACAGCGGTCCTTGTTTTCAGAAGGTGATATTTTCACACTCCTGTCCTGCAGACTTCATTGCTTTAGGCAGCATCTTTCATGAGATGAGCTGTTGATTTCAGTCAGTTGAGAAGAACCGGGCCCATTAACATAAATAGGAAGTCTTTGGGTTGTGGTGCTAGGGATTGAACCTAGGAACTAGTGCACGGTAGAATTGAAAATGTATTCATTTGAAATATTCCTTACTTCTTTATAGTTATTTCTCTTAGAATATGTGCTGCCAAAGCGAGCACAAGTTATTTCACTTCAAGAATACATTTACCTTACAGAAAATTTGTGAACTGGGACAAGTTTTAAACCTACCTTTTGGGGCATTCTTGGCATCTCTCTTGGTTGTAATCATAGTTTGTCACTCTTTCACATGCTGGTTTTAAATTTAAGTTGGAAGCACTTTTTCAATTCTTAGATTATCTTCATGGTTTATTTAAGAGTGCTTACTTAGGATTTCATTGACCTTTTTATCATTTATATTGTGCTAATGTCTTTTTCTTATTTTAAATTGTCTAATAGGCTTTATTCTTAAGAAAGGGACTATTGGATCCATTTTTTATGGCTTTTGAGACATACTCCCAGAGTTTTCTAAAAAACCATGCTAAATTTATCCAATCATAGAGAATTATACATATTTAAATTTTGATAATTTACAGGACAATCAAAAACATACATTTCTTTGGAGAAATTAAATATATTTTCTTTTTGTGAATTAGGTTCCCAGTTTAGTTTTTAAATTTTTAAATACCAATTTATATGTGTTTATGAACCAAGTGATTTGCCATTTGTTACAGGTTTTTAAATCATTTCACCTTTCAGTTATTTTATCGTACCTAAATACTGTATTTTTATACAATCAAATCTAAGCTTTTAGTGTGTTTTTTTTTTCCACTTCCAAACTTTGTCAAGTTGCTAGACTCAGGCCTCCCTCCCCTGGGTCAGGCCACTGGCCCCTTGAGACCCACGTAGACAAGTGCTTTCGGTGGGTATTGGAGGGGGACATCGGAGCCCACTTCTCTGGTTGCCAGTGACCTGAGGGCGGTGACTGCCCTGTTCAGGACACCACTGGGGACACTGGGGAGGGTGTCGTTCCTTTATTACCCAGCGGCGCCCATGAAGGCCCGTCAGCAGGGTGTCTTTCCCGTGCCTGTCCCTTGAGTCTCCCATTCCTTCATGGACTGCTTGCCATGGAAGGTCCAACACCTGCTCTGGCCTAGCTTTTTGTTGGCTTCTTAAATTAGTATTGTTTCCAGCTTGATTCTATTACAGGCCCTTTGTTTTATTTTATTTGAGCCTGTAGTTCAGGCTGCCCTTGTACTCACTATGTAGCCTAGGTTGGCCTCGAACTTGCAGCCGTCCTCCTGCCTCAGCCTCAGGAATGCTGGGATTACAGGCGTGCGCCCCCGGGCCCAGCCATCACAGACCCTCCTCGCTTGCTTTTCGCCCTGTGGACCTCCAGTGGCACAGTGTTAACTTCTTTCTTCCTTTGTCTCCTTGACTTTCTTTGCAGGAAGCACTCCCACCACCCCGGTCTCCTCTCAGTCCCTGCCCAAACCGGATGGCTCAGGGGCAGCAGCCCCTGCCTCCCTTCCCCCAGTGGCCCCTGCTGCTCCCGGTGCCACCTTTGCTCTGCCCTCTGCTGGGGTGACCTCGGCTGTGTTCGCCTTTGGCTCCTCGTCTGTGAAGCCCTCTGCGCCTGTCCCCGGGGAGCCCCCTCCATATCCCAGCGGCTCTGATGGCCCCAAAGCAGTCCTGGGTGCCACCGCCCCCACCTTCTCCTTGGCGGCTCCCTCCAAGGGCTCCCTGGCCGCCACGCCTGCAGCTTCGCCTGTCACCCCATCTGCTGCTTCCTTCTTCGGCTCCTCGGGTTTCAAGCCTGCCCTGGAGAGCACCCCGATGGCCAGTGCATCTGCGCCGCACTCAGGAGTGAAGCCCATCTTCCCACCCTCAGCTGCAGTGGTCAAGGTGAACCTGAGTGAAAAGTAAGTGGCCTGCTCATTGTGCTCCTCTGAGGAGAGGAGACGCCCCAAGCACTGCGGCTGCTCTGAGTGCAGTCAATGAACGGGCTTTCTTTTCCTGAACTCATACTTGAGGTGGCTAAAATTCAGCCCACATAGAGCTCTTTATGTTTTTAACTAGACGTCATCGTGCTTTTGCAGACTACACAGGGAAGAGTTAGCCCATGTTCAAAACTAGGCAGCACCCAGCGTGTGCCCTGAGAGCAGCTTCCTGTTCGTGCCCACCCTCAGCCTCAGCTGCATTCCTCACAGCCACCACAGTGAGCTGTGCAGTTGTGGACATGTGAGGCAACATTCTTGCCCGGCGATCCCTTCTCCACAGTCCAGTCCTGCCGCGCATGCTCCTGCTGCCCTCGGACCACATTGCTGCTCCCTGGTAAACTGCAAGCATCCTGAGGGCTGGGTGCCCCTGAGCCCTGCAGCATTGCAGCTGCTGCCTGCTTGCCTGTCCTCGTCCCTGTTGCAGGGCCACACTGTCACTGTAAAGTCGCACACAGCTGCTCTCTAACCATCCATCGGTGCGCTGCCGTGGTTTATATGGGCAGGTTTCTCGTGGGCAGGTTTCTCATGGGCGTGCTTAGGTTGTTTGCAGGACTCTGCTCCCGAGAGGGCGAGGTGACACCACATCCCCCTGATGGTGGAGCATCCCAAAGATGGTGACTGCCCTCCTCTTCCAGTTTCCTTCCCCACAGGGGCCGGTCATCCCCAGATGAGTCCTCATTGGGCCCCTCACCCTTTGTACCCCACTTGATAGGGAATAAGTTTTTCACGTCGTGATCAACACTGAATTTTCATGCCAAGTGCCCAACTGGTATTTTAGTTGAATCATTCCTTCCTAAATAAGCAGGTGGCCAGTGTTTCCTAGCACCTCTGAGCTTGCTTAGGCAGTAGCTAAGCACTTCTGTTCCCTACGGCCTGAGGGACGGCTACTGAGTGTTCCTCAATACCGTGCAGGGGTCTTTAGCCTGCTCTTCTGACACAATGTCCCTGCCATTGCAGGTTCACTGCTGTGGCCACCTCTGCTCCTGTTCTCAGCTCTCCGAGTGCACCATCCATGCTGCCCTTCTCGTGTGCATCCAAGCCAGCTTCTCCTGGACTGCTCAGCCACCCCACACCTCTCTCAGTGCCGTCCAGCTCCACGTCTCTGAAGCCCATGGTGGCTCTTGCACCCTCAGGTGTGACTCACACATGAGCCCCTGCTAATGCAGTTGAACGCGATTTCGACATCTCACTTCCCGAGCCCCTCACCAGCACACTGAGGCCTCTTCTGTGAGCTGGGAGGGGGCATAGCTCTGTGCCACCTGGCTTCTCTTGACCTCGTGGAAAGGCACAGGGCATCTTCTCTCATGCAGCTGCCCACTGTGAAGGGCAGGGCAGAGCAGGCCAGAGCGGCTCCCTAGCTCGCACAGAGGAGAAAGCCCCAGTGACGCAGGCTTATCGGCCCTGGTGACCATCAGCTATGCCCTCGGCATGCTTATTACTTAAAGATTTTTAGTGATTATAACTATAAACAAGTTGGAAGTGTGTTACAAAACTGGGCAAAGGCACCTGGCCTATCTTTTTTTCCTTTAAAAGCTACAGAGAGATTTCAAAAATTGTATAATGAGCACTGTGCCTGTCATTGAGATTCAGCCTTGCTGACATTTGTACTGTGGGCTTTCTGTCTTTCATGTCAGTTCTTCAGAAACATTTGAGGGTTAACTGTAGACATCATGAAATGCTTCACCCCTGTACCCTTCTGTACTTATCTCCTGAAAACAAGGCCATACACAGTACATTGTCAGACCCAAGAGATTTAACAGTCTGGTCTAGACTTCATATTCATCTTTCCACAGTTATCCCAATGTTTTTTGGTTTTTCTTTCTTTTTGAGACAGGGTCTCACTATGTAACCCTCAAACTTACAGTACTCCTCCTGCCTCAGCCTCCCAAGTGCTGGGACTACAGGCATGCACCACACCCAGCCCCAGTAATGTTTTTTATGACTTTCTTTGCTCCTTCCAGCCAGGAGCCAATGAAAGATCATATGCTGCGTTGTGTCCCTTCTGTATCAGCCTCACGTAGGTTACAGACGTTTTTGTACCACTGCAGTAAAATTTGCAGAGTTCAGGCCAGTGGTTTGCGGCCCACCCCCCGATTTGGATTTGATTGTCTCCACATGATGAGACCCAAGGTGATGGTTTTGGGCAGGAATTGCACACAGGCACCCCACATCCCATGATGTCTTCTCTTTGTCCTGGTCGAGTTGAGTTCAGCCAGCTCACGTGGGGAAGGCTGTTTGCCAGCTTGTCCCAGTTGTGAAGTTGCTTATTTTCACGGGTTCTGGCGTGATACCCACCCAGGCATGGTGGGGCCATCACTTGGATTTTGGCCGTTAGGACCCTTTTATTTTGGTAACTAGTGAGCAGACACTGAGCTGTGAAATTCGTGAGCTCGCTGCTCCTTCCCCTTGCTCAGGAGAAGGCTGCTGGGCGGAGTTGGCCAGAGTGGCTGAGTCCAGGGCTTGACGGCAGATTCTGAAAGTCATCTGCCTATGCCCAGCAGCACTAAGCCTGTGTTGGCCTTGCCCCACCTCTTCATACTTAGGGAGGGAAAACTTGAGCCATCCCTCTCTCTTTCCCCTGCTAACTGCTCAGATCTCTCCCCACACTGGGAGCGTTGTTTAAAGATGGAGGGCCCCAGATGGCTGGGTCTTAGTCCCAGCTGCGCATTAGGGTTACCAGGGATCTGCCCCAACCTTTAACCAGAGTTTGGCGAGGCCCGGGTATGGGTTTGTGCTGTGTGTTTCAAAGCTCCCTAGGCAATGCCACAGGGTGAGGCATGTCCTGAGGCTTCCCAGGGGCTCTTGAGGGTTCCATGCATTCTCACTGGGTGACAGGAATCTCACTCAGTCTGCTGGGTTTTAAACTTTGACCCCATTCCCAGCAGTGCATGTGGACCCTCTGGGGCTTCAGGGTGAGCCAGGTGGCCAGCTCCTGGGCGGGGCACTGGAAAAGTAAACCCAAAGCCGAGCATGGTCGTGCACACCTGTGATCCCAGCACTCGGGAGGCTGAGCCGGGAGGATCACCACGAAGTCAAGGCCAGCCTGGGCTACATAATGAGTTCAAGGCCAGCGTGCACTACATGGTGAGACTTTGTCTCAAGAAACAAAAGGGCCAGGGTTTTAGCTCAGTGGTTCTGCCACCTGCCTCACAAGCACAAGGACCTGAATTCGATCCCGGTACCACAAAAACAAAAGAAACAAGAAACAGAAAGAAAGAAAGTAAACCCAGGGTTTCATGCATGCTAGATAAGCGCTTTACCCCTAAGCTACACGCCTGTCCATTTTCTACTTATTTGTTTGTTTGTTTATTTTCGCAGCACTGGGGATTAAACCCAGGGCCTTTGCACAGAGCTGCACCCCTCCCCTCCCAGCCCTTTCTTATGTTTTATTTTGAGAAAGGGTTTCACTAGGTTGCCCAGGCCAGGCTTGAATTTGTGATCCTCCTGCCTCAGCCCTCCAGAGTAATGGGATTATAAGCATGCAGCACCATGCCTGGCTCTTTCATTTTATTTTATTTTGAGACAGGGTTTTACTAAATTGCCCAAACTGGCCTTGAACTTGTAATCCTCTTGTCTCTGCCTCCTGTGCGGCTGGTGTTATAAGGATGTGCTGTCACAGCCGACTGTACTCGTTTCCTGTGACATATTTATTTATTTATTTATTTATTGGTACTGGGGATCGAACTCAGGACCTTGCGCTTCGGAGGCAGGCAGTGGAACCACTGAGCTACATCCCCGGCCCTCCCGTGACTTATAAAGTGTTTCTTAGCCAGCCAGGGGTGCAGTCCAGTAGGAGAGTGCTTGTCTGTCATTCACAAGGGCCTGTTGCACATCCACAATTATGCACATGTCTTCTTATCTTAGATCAGAATCAGTCATCACTGTCACTGCTTGCTTGGTGTTACTGGGGCTGTAACAAAGGTCATGAAAGCAGGGCAGGCCACCGTGCAGCAGTTACTTTCTCGGTTGTGAAGGGAGATCCTGGGCGCCCTGCCCATCTGACTGTTTCTTGTGCCGACAGTGCGATCCGCTCAGAGCAGCCCGGGTCCCACGCCCTCTATGGTGCAGAAGTCGCCCAGGGTCACCCCGCCAGTGACGAAGGCCGGCTCTCTGCAGGTGCGTTCAGCTCAGCTTACGGGTTGTGTGTGTTGAGTCTCGCCTCAGGCATGTGTGTTAATGAAATGAGTTTTCATGTTTTAGAATTCAGAGCTTGGAAATAATCATTAGGACTGTGTGAGAGGAAATACCAAAGTATGTGACTTCACTGTTTATAATGTGTACTCATAAAAAATTTATGCTTTTTTTTTTTCTCCCTCGGTACCAGGGATTGAACTCAGGACCTTGTGCTTGCCAGGCAGGTGCAGCACCACTGAGCCAGATCCCCAGCCCAATTTATACATCTTAATGTTTGATTGATTGATTGATTCATCGATTAATTGAAGCAGAACATTTCTTGGTACATTTTAGATACATATAATGATGACATTCATCGTAGGGAATTTGTGCCTGTATATGATGTATCTTGCTGTTGGTTTTTTTCCCATTCTGCCCTCTTTAACCCCTCTTCCCCTCTTTATATACAAAAGCTTTGTTTCCATTTTTTCCTTCTATTTTCTCTTTTTGTTGTCCTTTCTTTCCCCTGTTCCCCTTCTCATTTGGAACATTTTCTTCCCGCTTCCCAATATCTATTACACATTTTAGTCCTTTTTTCCACTTTCAGTTTCTCACACCAGCAATGAGATATTTAAACATGTGTGTCGGATTTATTTCACTTAAGAGTATGGCCTCAAGGTGCATCCATTTAGCTAGAAATGTCTCGACCTCATCCTTCCTTACAGCAGAGTAGTACTCCATTGTATATTTTGTTTTATTTTTTTTTTTTGGTACCGGGGATCGAACTCGGGTCCTTGCACGCAGCAGGCGGCGAAACCACTGAGCTAAATCCCCTGCTGTTTTGGTTTTTTAAGATAGGGTCTTGCTATGTAGCCCAGGTTGGCCTTGAACTTGGGGTGATCCTACTGCCTCACCCTCCCAAGTGCTGGGATTACAAGCGTGTGCCACAACACCCAGCTTCCATTGTATAAAAAAAACTACGTCTTCTTTATTTCTTACTATTTAAACTAATATATAATTTATATAGAAAAACTACATGTAATGTCTGTACAGTTGAGTGAGTTGTTGCCAGTTAAACACACTTTGGTAACTACACCCAGATTGACCAACAGCTTTACCAGGGACCCTGGCATTCTCCTCACGTGTCCCCTTCAAGTCTCTAGCCTTGCCCAAGAGCACCTGCCATCTTCTTTTCTAACAGCAGATTAGCTTAGCTGGTTTGTGCCTAAATGGAATCTTATCACAGGTATGGTGTGATCAAAAATTACAATGAACACTTAAGTTTAAAAACCTTTTTACCATAAAGGACACATTGCCAGTAGTCCTCCTCATGTCCTCCTCCTCAGTTTGAACATTCATCCCATCATTCATGCCACTTTCCGAAGCAGCTCTTGAGTCCTCTTTCATGAGTGCCATTAGTTGCCCTGTCCTGGTTAACTCTATGTCTTTTTTTTATTTTTTGGTCCCGGGGATCGAAGTCAGGACCTTGTGCTTGGGAGGCAGGCGGCGGCACCACTGAGCCAAATCCCCGGGCCACCTCCATATCTTGAATTGATTCGAAACCTTTTCCTCCTGGTCATTTTGACCCTGGGGAGGAGCCAGAGTTGCATGGCACCGGAATGGAGTGAGGGAGGCGGATGAGGATGCACCACCATGTTGGTATTCACTGTATTTCAGTGCAGTTAATGGAAATGTGTCTTTTATGGTAATAAATTCTTACGTTGCTGGCATCACACTGTTTTGCTGTGTTCCCCTCACTGACCCCACACACACCTGTACAGGAGGGCGCTTAGCGGAAGCCAGGCACAGTCCTAGGCCTGCTGCATCCTTCTTGTTAAATAAATGCTGCTGTTTTATAATGGCCGCTTGTGCCGTCCAGTGCTACTCTAGTGTTCATTGCTCTGTGTATTGAGAAGTTGAAAAGACACCTCAGGAGCCGGGGATTTAGCTCAGTGGTTTCGCCGCCTGCTGTGCGAGTGCACAGACCCGAGTTCGATCCCCGGTACCAAAAAAAAAAAAGAAAGGACACCTCAATTTTGACATCTCGAAAACAGAACTCTCGCTTCCTGGCCCCCCAAGGACGTCTTCCCCTCCTAGCGTTCCCACCTCCATAAGTAGCACTAACAGGCCAAGACCTGGAAGAATTCCTGGTCCTTCTCCACACTGACCAGGGCCCCATGCGCTGTGCCCTCTGCGCATCCCCGACCCTAGCCCACAGCTCTGTTCCTGTGATCTTACGTCAGGCTGGGGCTGGGGCTGCCTCCACCCGGTCAGCCCTGCCTGCTCTCCCAGTTTTAGCTCCTACCTCTCGCTGCCATCCCTGCTCTGGAGTGGCAAGCGTGACCTTTGAGATCTAAGTCATCCTCTAAACACTCCTAAGACACCAGTAGTAGCTTTTACACACAGTGAGAGATGAGCCCTGCCTTCCTGGTGTGGCCTTAACGACCTGTCCTGCTGCCTCGCTGAGCATGTCCTTGTCCTGCCCAGCCCATCAGACTGGGTGGAGGCCGTGTGAAGCGCCCCCGGACCTCTCCTATGTCCAGGTGCCCTGGCGGCAGCTTCAGGGCAGGCTTTCTCCACTCTCCCTTGTCCGCGCTTCTTCCTCTTGCTGTTTTCCTGCTTCCTTACCGTGTCACCTTTACCCAACGTGGTTGCCTCCTCTTGTCCACCTTGTGTAGCAGAAGGTGACTCCCGTGAGAGGAGGGACCCCACTTGCCCTGCTCCCTGGTTCTCCACCCGCTGAATCTGGCTGATGAATGCCAGTGACGGAGGGGGCTCTGCATGAGGGACTCTCCATTCTCTGCGCCAGACATGATGCTGTGGCTTCCTGACGCCTCAGCTTGTAGCATTTTTAAGCCTTTTGCTTTCCGTTTCAGCCAAAGTCACTTCAGCCTCCTGTCTCAGAAAAACAGGGACATCAGTGGAAAGACTCAGACCCTGTGATGGCTGGGATTGGAGAAGAGGTAAGCTGTTCCTAAGGCTTTTGCCAAGCGGCCCTGTGTGTGGCCTCCTTTGTAACCAGGGCTCCTACCGGTGGTCCCTGGCCCGTGAGTCAGCACAGGGCCACCGCTGGCATCACCGTGCCACTCATGTGGAGTCCTCCCTGTTTGTGGCTTCTGCAGATTGCACACTTCCAGAAGGAGCTGGAGGAGCTGAAAGCCCGGACTTCCAAAGCCTGCTTCCAGGTGGGCACCCCGGAGGAGATGCAGATGCTGCGGACAGAGTCGGCCGACCTGCACACCTTCCTTCTGGAGATTAAAGAGACCACAGAGGTGCGCATGCGCGGTGCTGGGCCCGAGTGGGTCTGGGCTCAGAGTCGCTCTCACCTTACTGCATGGTGGGCTTCAGCTCCTCCAGAACCACCGGTGTAGCTGTTTGTGTGCTGAGTAGTTTACCTGGCATAGCCTGAATTCACATCCTACCTGCAGGACCTAACTCATTTATGCTGAAGGTTGCAGTATTTTGAATGTCTGTGAAATTCTTGTCTGACTAGGCAAGTTAACCCAGCTGCTCCGTGTTTCAGTTTTCTCATCTGTAAGATGGGGCGGCTGTTCCTACCCTTTAGACACATTCTCAGCGCCCCATAGAAGTTTATCACGGTTGTTAACTGAAGTGTGTTGGAAATGTTATTCTCTTTGGTACTGTTGGGTTAAAGGAGCAGAATATTTCAGGGCATATACGGTAAAGATGTGCAGCGTCTGTTGTTAGCCGTCCTCTGCACAGGGGCTCTTCCTGTTGGTCCTCCCTGTGAGCAGCCCTTGTGCTGAGCACTGTGCCTGGGTCACTTCACTGAGCCCTCGCCTCGAAAGCCAATGAGTGGAGGCTGACCAGGGCGAGCACATTTTTGCAAGTTCCTGTTCAGTGAGTGACAGTGCCGGGGTCCCGCTGTGCGCTGTCTCCGCGTTCTGCTCTGAGTGCCATGCTGGGAAGGAAGTTCCAGGTTGTCCTCAGGTAGCAGGGTCCATCCTCAGTACTCTCCCTGCTCTCCACTCATCATCATCCGAACCTGTATTTTATGTGTTAGGACAAAAATTAATTTTTTTAAGAACCAGCATTAGTGTGTGTTTTCCCGCCAGTACAGCCCCCCTCCTAGGTGAATGTGAGGTTGAGTAGATCTCTGAGTAAGATGTTCCTCATGTTCATGTTTTCATGTTTGAAAACCCCACCTTCCTTGATCCAGACACAGGTTTTACCTCCTGTAAATGCAGTGTTCATCTCAATCCATCCCTGGTCCTTTTCTAGTCTCTTCACGGAGACATAAGCACCCTGAAGACGACCCTGCTTGAGGGCTTTGCCGGTGTGGAAGAAGCCAGAGAGCAGGACGGGAGAAACCATGACTCTGGGTATCTCCATCTGCTCTACAAGAGGCCGCTGGACCCCAGGAGTGAAGCTCAGCTGCAGGTGGGAGAAGTGCTGCTGTTCCAGGGAGGTTTTCAGAAGCCCAGGCAGCTCCTGCTGTCTGCTGGCTGTGAGTTTAGCTCGTGGTCCTTATCAAGTTGTTGATATTCTGCCAATAATGTGCTGTACTTCTTATATACAGAAAAGAAAATGGCACTTTTACCTTCAGGTGTTTTTTTTTTTTAAGTAAACTTCCTAATTAAACTTTAAGCATGGTAGAGAACACTGTTGGAACAGATCTTTTCAAATCAAATCACAAATAAAATTAAAGTAGTAACTTTCTTGAATGCCAGCTCGTCTGCTATGTGTTTTTGTGCATCATTTCTAGTCTTCAAAACCAACTGCCCCACAAGGGAAGTTATTGATCCCTTGTACAAAGAGAAACGGAGCCTCCAAGGCTGAGTCGGTCATGCTGCCCAGGGCTGTGAGGGCCAGTCGGTGAGGCCGGAATTGGAACCTCGGTCTCGCTCCACCAGGCTTGCTCTTGTGTGCCGTAGTTGAGTACAGATGCTCTCTCGCTAGTGGTTAATTCATTTCTCTTCAGTCACTGGAGTCTGTTTTTGGTCTTGTTGTTCACCCAGTCGCCGTGGTTCGAGGCTCCTCTTCCCTGGCCCACGGGTGCCTTGCCTCCCCGCAGAGGTGTACAGGCAGCACTGGGCTTCCTCAGCTGGGGCGCGGGTCTCGGGGCTGTCTGTCTCTCCTGCTTCTCTGTGAACCTGCCAGCCAGTGGGGAAACAGGGATGTGAGCCCTCCTCCCGGAGGGGCCTCTTTGGTCACAGCCCTGTGTTCGCGCTGGGCCTGCATCCTGCCTCCCTGCGCTCATCAGACCCCCGGCCCCGCGCTGCACTCCTTCCTCACCTGCTCCCTATGGACCTTTTCTCTGGGGCTTTGTTCCCAGACCAAGGCAAGCACAGTGCTGCGGAGCACGCCTAGTGCATAAGGGAGTAATTGTCTTTCGTCACGGTGCTGAGTAGGTAGTAGTAGGTGGCATATTGAGTGCTCACTGTGTACAGAGCAAAGACAAGGAAACTAAGGTGCTGAAACTGCCCAGATTTCCTCACTTGACTCCTCAGCCCTCGACCTGGGCAGCTGACTCAAAGCCTGTGTTCTTGGCCACTGCAGCAAGGCAGAGTCCCAGCAGCTGGGTGAGCACAGCCAGAGATGGACGTAGAGCTCTAATGCAAGGTGTACTGCTATGGGACTGCAGGGGAGTGCACAGCTAAGCCAAGACTAGAAGGGGCTGTGGTAACTCAGTAGCAGAGTTGGTTTGTGCTGGTCTGTGACAGTGGGAGGGCGTGCAGGAGAAGCACTAGTGTTGCCGGCACAGGGACAGCTACATCTGAAGGGTCAAGGGACAGAGCCTTCTGTGTTCATCAGGTATTGAGCTGAAGTTTCATTTGCTGCTAAGATTCTTGCCACATTCCTTGAATCAGCTTGGCTCTTTTTAAATGGCATTTTCTATTTTTCAGTTGGGGCATATGCCTTTATCCAGGAATAATTTTGAAAATACATTTCAGCATAATTAAATCTTTGCCCACACGTAAAGAGCTTTTCCCAGGATCTGGCATGTGGTCTCCATTGGTAAACTTAATGCTTCATCTTGATTTTCAATTTTCAAGAGTGGAGTGGCATAGCTATGAACGTTAACAGTGGCCCAAGCTATTGCAGGCCTTCAGTAGGTTAAATAGGTGGGAATTTTAATAAAGGTAGATTAATTTTTCTGGTGCTGACACTGTTCCTTGTTTTGGAGAAGTGAATTCTCCTTGGCTGGCGAGATGACTTCTGTGTTCACTGCTATGAATAGATAGGCGCAGAGTTATTTTCAGCTTTGTTTTGTGGGGTAATTTCATCTGTATTACAGTTAATTTCCTGAGTGGGAGAGCAAAGCTAAATGGGTGTACTGTCTGTGCAGTGAGTGCGATGGAGAAGCCCCAGACCTCGCTGAGAGGCCCGTGCAGGGCTGGCGAGCAGGGCAGAGAACACTTGTCCCCAGGCCCCTCGGACACTGCGCTCTCCCCTCTCTTTGTGCCTCCTCTGTCCCTGCTACAGGAGCTGGCTTTCTGTTCCTCATTCTAATTATGAGCTTTAATGGCTGTATTAAACCTATTAGGGTTTTCTTGTTCGTTATGGTTCCTAGTATAGAATACTTAAATTATTATGACTATTTTGAAACCCCGTCCCCCCAAGCTACTACAAAAACGAGTCATTTGTCTTAATGTTTTTCATGCAGGAAATTCGGCGCCTCCATCAGTACGTGAAGTTTGCTGTCCAGGATGTGAATGACGTCTTGGACTTGGAGTGGGATCGGCATCTGGAGCAAAAGAAAAAACAAAAGTGAGCGAGATCTCAGCCACTGCCATCTAGTGGACATTGCCGCTTTTTACAAACATGATGTAGGAGCATCATAGTTACTTTCGCTCATCATGAGACATAGTGCCGACACCACAGCTGTTAAGGAGGAGAGGTTTATTTGGCTCACGGTTTGTAGCGCTTTCAGCCCATAGTCGGCAGGCTCCAAGGCAGGGTGGCCCGGCAGAGGGCATCGCAGGGGAGAAACAGCTCACAGCGTGGTGCTGGGAGGCAGGGAAACAGAGACCGAGGGAGGGGTGGGGCCCCTCTTCTGAGCACGCCACACTGCACATAGTGCACTGGGCTGTAGGCTCATCGTGAACTCACCAGCATCACGGCCGTGTGAGTCACTCCCCTGCAGCCTGCCTGTGAGCATCAGCAGGTTCAGGGCAGGGGACACTGAGATAGAAACCATAACAAGGGCATTCTTTTTGACATGTCATTTCATTGGTAAAAATTTTGTTACAGAAGTAATGTACAATGTTCACAATAATTTACACGACAGAATTTATATTGCAGCACAATTTCTAATGGTAGTAAAAACTTAATTCAGCCTAATTATTCAAAATAGAGGCATGCTCTGATAATGTGGTCACATACTCTTACTACAAAATACCATATAACCATTGAGTTATTGCATGAAATGTGTTTTATGGTACACAAGATGTATAATTACGTCACTATTTATTAGACTCAATAGGTAAAACATAAGATCAGGTGAGGTAAAATAAACCAGCATTCTGAGTGATCACAAGGCAGAGGTGCAGACCTGGAGAGGAGATTGAAAGTCCATCTCAGTCCATTCACAGTTGAATCTGCAGTGTGAGCTCAGGAGAAATTTTTCCTCTGTACTTTTCTGTATATTCTGAGTTGTCTTTTTGAGAAAACATCAGTGTAGATAATGAAAGATATATGAGGAGGGATGGCGAAGAAGTAAGGAAACCTTGGAGCCTCATCTCCTAGTCCTGGGTGTTTGGTTTTATGTGTGTTTTCCGGGAGGAATAAAAGGAGCTACACTGAGGGCAGGAAGTCCCCGTAAGGAGCTTAAGAAACACGAAGGCCCTGAAAAATCCTTGCCTTCTGAACACCTGCGCTTGATTGGCCTCATTGGAAACCACCCAAAGCCCGGTCTGTTTGCCCATTTACAGAGTTACGGTGCATGGGGCTCCTCGGGGCCAGCCCGCAGCGTGCTCACAGCTAGCGTGGGAAGCAGAACTGGGGAAGTGGCACCGTGCTGCTTGCAGAAGGTGGAAAAGCCCCAGCCCCTCTGTCCTAGTGTGGACGTGGGGCACAGAGATCTGCCCACTGTCCAGGGCAGGGTTCTGGGGCCTGGGTACCGGGCCCTGTTATCGATGGCCGAGCACCCTCCCAGGGCTCTGACCCTGCTCGCCTGTGTGTTGCTTTTCCACGAGCCCGAGCATGGCCTGGCCCACCATGGACTCTGCTCTGCTGCCGGTCCTGTTTCTCTTTGCTCATTAAGATCTGGGCTTCTCGTGGGCTGGGGATTTAGCTTAGTGGTTACTGCGCCTGCCTCACAAGCACAAGGACCCGAGTTTGATCCCAAAAAAAAAAAAAAAAAAAAAAAAGATCTGGGCTTCTTAAAAAGTGCATGAGGCTGACCCGAGAAGCCAGGCTTTGCTTCCCTATTATGGCTCCGCAGGCTTCCTACTCACCATGCTTCCTGGAGACTGCTTTCTGCGGGTTCAGATTCTTAAATGGTCCAGTTTTCTATTTCTGTAGCAGGCAGGCCTCTGTTCTCGACCTGTCTCTAAATATTACCTGGTATCTGTGGAAAGCTTGTATCTGTAAAAACTTGTGCTGTTCTCCCATCCCCAGAGATGGTCACTCAGCTGGCTCTCAACTCCCTGAGGAGATAATGGGAGAGGAAATAAACCAGAAGTTTCTGTTCTCCCTAAGCATTTTGCTTTCCATGAGTACTATGGATATTCAACAGCAGAGAACTGTGGGTCTGTCACTGTGAGGACCACTCCTTCTGTTTGTCTTTGTGTATTTTTCCTCGAGTTAATAGAAAAAAACTTCTAAACATTCTAAAGGGTTTATCATGAACAGCAGAAATGCCTAGACCTCCCTGTCCACCTGCACACTGGCCTCGGCTGTCTGCAGCAGCTCCTGTCTGCCTGTCTCTGACCAGGTCTCTGGTGCAGAGACCCCCTGACACCAGCTCTAGTGCAGTGTCACTGCTTCTGAAGAAAGTCTTCAGAAGTCTGAAGAAAGAACCCCCTCCCCTATCCCTCCAGGGAGCCTTTTGTTCTCCTTGCCCCCTTCCCCCCGTAACCTACAACAAGCAAAGTGTACCCTTCGAGTACAGCTGGGCAGCTAGGCCCCGTCCTAGATTCCCACCTGCCTCCCCGAGGCTGTGGCTAACATAAACTCTCCTGTGCTACAGCCCTGGCCATCCTAGGCTGCTTTGCCCTTGTACCAGCTTAGCCTCAGTAGGCCTTCACTCCCCTTTTATTTTCTCATAACTTCTTGTCTGTTGGTGGTTCGTCATCTTACCATTTTCACTCACAATTGTAGGCTTATTGGGGGTGGGGGTCCCTTTACTTAAACCATTCATATTTAATTTTTCTCATGGCTGCCCACAGGCGCCTGCTTGTGCCAGAGCGAGAGACGCTGTTCAACACCCTGGCCAACAACCGGGAGATCATCAACCAGCAAAGGAAACGGCTGAACCACCTGGTGGACAGTCTGCAGCAGCTGCGCCTCTACAACCAGACGTTCCAGTGGAGCCTGCCCTTGGCTGCGCCAGCCCAGAGCAGCACTCACAGGTGTGCACAGTCGGGGGGCTGAGAGAGGGCATGACTGATACCTTGGGAGGGGCAGGATGTTCTTAGGGTGGTTCTGATGTGGGTTTGAAACTGACTGCTCTCACAATCTGTGTGATCCAGGGCAGGTACCCCGCCTTCTCTGATCCCTGGCTCCCTTGCCTGATGAGTGGAGAGGACATACCTGACTTTTGGGGGTGTTGGAAATGAAACACTGTGCCTAATGAAACAGGCGTTTGTGGACCAGGGTGTCACTCAGTGGTAGAACACGTGTCTGGTGTGCATGAGGCCCGGGCTACATCCCCAGCACAGGGAGAGAGGAGAGAGAGAAACAAATTCAAAAGAAAAGATGCTCAGAGCCAGGCATGGTGGTGCACACCTGTCATCCCAGCACCGGGGAGTGAGCGCAGGAGGATCTCAGAGAGTTTGAGGCGAGTCTGGGCTACGTGGTGAGATCCTGTCTCAAAAAACTAAAAAAAAGAAAAGATACTTGGGAAACTGAGGCAGGAGTTCAAGGCCAGACTGGGCAACGTAATGAGAACTGTGAAAAAACAGGAAAGGGCCTGGGGGTGTGGCTCAGTGATAGAGCATCCCTGGGTTCAATCCCCAGTACTAGAAGGAAAAAGAAAAGGAAAGAAACAGGTATTCTGTAGGGTTCAGTAGCTGTCTTTCTGAAAATTAACTGATGGGATTCAGCGGACTGCTTGAGTGTGCAGACTGCGACTTGCACTTAGACAGTTCACCCGGAAGTCACCAAGGCAGCTCTGTGCTGTGTTTAGGCCCCGTGTGCGGGGTTGCTGCCCTTTCTGCTGAGGCCAAGGCACTGTGGAGCTGTTTGTCGGGGACGGGACACAGTGTTGCGAGTGCTGTCCCGCCTAGATTGATGACATCCCTCCATCAGCTGGCGTGCTCACACGTCCTGAGTGTGCTAGTCTCGCGTTTGTGTGTAGGAGGCCATGGGCCCCGCGGAGCCTCAGCTTCCCAGCCCTGGCTGGTTTGTGTGTAACTCTGTCCCCGTTCAGCTTTGACAGCGACCTGGAAAGCCTGAGCAACGCTTTGTTAAAAACCACCATCGACTCTCACACCAAGCCCTTGCCCAGGGTGCCAGGTAAAGTATCCTTCCTGCCCTTTCAGCTGTTTGTCCTCTTCCAGCTGCTGGCATCTGAAAAACTGAATCGATTTCTTGCAGGTAAACTGTCGCCGGTGAAACAGACACAGCTGAGAAACTTCCTGGCCAAGAGGAAGACGCCGCCAGTGAGATCCACTGCTCCAGGTAAAGGGACTGGTCCTGAGCCTGTCAGCATGCACCAGGCAGTGTGTGCGTGCGTGCGTGTGTGTGTGTGTGTCTGTGTATGTGTCTGTTTTTATTTGTTAATAGGCCATCAATAAAATATCCCCAGAGTCTGTTGTCAGTCTGAAAGTGGAATGAGCAGCAGCTTGTGTATACCTGATGAAGGAGCTCAAGGTAGTCTGGCTTTTGCACTAGACGAATGCAGTCCCTACGCCATTCACAAGGTCCCGGAGGCCCCACTGAGCTGGGTCCTGGCCTTGTAACTTTTCTGGTTTTGCCTTAACACTGCATTGAGGAAAAAGGCTTCTTTGCTTAAGAAAGGAGGAAAAAGGGCAGCCCACTTTCTGGGTCCTCTCCTGCTTCTCAGGAGCTGTCTCTCCTTCAATAAATTTCCTACTCTTAACCTCAAAAAAGAAAGAAAGAAGGAAAAGCCACTGATTAGCAGTGATGATTAAAATGTTTTACTGGAGGGCCGGGGATTTAGCTCAGCGACATTGTGCCTGCCTTGCAAGTGCAAGGTCCTGAGTTTGATCCGAGGTACCAAAAAGAAAAAATATTTTACTGGAAAGAAGCTGAGCCTTGTGGCACACACTTGTAATCCTAGCACTTTGGGAGGCTAAGACAGTAGAATCAAAGGTTCAAGTCCCACCTGGGCAATTTAGTGAGCCCCTGTCTCAAATTAAAAAATAAAAGCACTGGGGTATAACTTAGTGGTAGAGCGCCCCAGTTTCATCCTTAGTACCGCCAAAAAATAAAAAGAACTGACAAAAATATTTTGCTGAAAAGAAGCCATGTAATGATTTTTTTAAAATGTTGCCATTATCTAGATAATTGCCTTATTTTTTTAAAAAAGCATTTGCTATAACCTGCTTTACTTTAGTGCACACATTTGCATTTTTCACTGAAATTCTGAGTTCATTTTTTATGCCAACAGCAAATGCCTTTTGGTAAAATCTATTAAAATAGCTGCAATTTAATTATTGTATCATGATTTCTTTTTTCCTGTAATCGTGTAGAGCTAAATTAGGTAAGTAATGGTCACAGACAAGCTAATTTTGAACTTTTTCTTAACGTATTTTTTTGGTAGCTAATTGAGGAAAATTATGAAAAACTAAGAACAGTAAAAATTACTTTTTATCTCTCAAGTCATGTATGGCCTCAACTGTGACATTTGGTTCACTCCCTTTTTTCCTTTGCATATGTAAATCTGATATTTTGAACATGATCTGGGAATTATAAAAACATTTACAGTTTTGTGCTCTGAGTTTTTAAATTAAAAATTCATGAGCCCTTATTTAAAAAATAGAGAAAGTTAAGATTGGTGCAGATATGAAGAAATCAGAGCCCTGCGCTGTCGGTGCAAATGCAAACTGGTGCAGCCTCTGGAAGACTGTGGCAGGCTCCTCCGAAAACTAGAAACAGCAAGCCCTTGTCCCAGTGGACAGAAAATTAGCAGTAGGATTGCTCGATCCAGGCATTCCACTTCCTGGGAAATACTCCCGAGTTTAAGCCAGGGCTTCACAGGGGCAGCTCTGCAGGTGCGTGCGAGGCAGGGTTTTCCCAGAGCAGCAAGAAGGGACAGTGTCTGGGCGGACACACAGGTCTGTCCATGAGGAAGGAAGCCTGGGCCGTGCTGTGGGCTCTATGAGCACAAGGCCATGAGGGGTGCAGGGTGCTGGTCACAGGGGAGGAAGCCCCGGCCCGCCCGCAGGGCTGCTCCCTGGGAGCAGGTCAGCCATGTGCTTTCCGTCCTGCGAGACCGGAGTGGTTCTAGAGGTCCAGGCAGCGGTCTGGATGCACCCGGTGGTACCAGTGGGTAGGCCGGGAAAGGAGGGTGTTGGGAGCCTTCTGCCCTTGGCCACCTTGTCGCGCATGCTTACATTGCCCTTGTGCCAGAGCCGGTCACTTCCTCAGCAGCCCCAGCACTAAGTTCCCATCTGGCTGCCAAGAGCGCCTCGCTCCCAGACCTGAGCCACATCCCATTCGCACTGCATGGTGATCCCTTAGGGGTGACTTGGGGTCCCTCTGCCCCTTCACTGCCCCCGTAGCCGGCCCTGCTGTGCATCCCTGACCACAGGACACCTCCCACGAGGCGCACGCTGTCCTCACTTCATGGTAGGCTGCATCTTAGGAAGAATACCTCAGCACGCCAGCATTTTTCATTTTCCACAGAAAAGTACACAAACCAAAAACGTTCCTGTGTAACCTGCAGCCGGTTCAGAAACAGCATCGCTGGCTTTTTTAGTTGGTCTGTTTTCTGAGACAGGGTCTCACTGTGTAGCCAGGGCTGACCTCAGTCAGACTCATGGTGATCCTTCTGCCTCAGCCTCCTGAGTGCTAGGATTACAGGTGTGGGCCACCATGACCCGCTGGTTATTTTTTAATTTATTGTTTTGGAAAAATTGAAACCTCCCGTTGTGAAGCACAGTGAGCACCACTTAGCCTTTACCTGCACAAGACAGCCCAGGGCTTCACACTGCTTCGACCTCCACATGCAACCAACCGTCCACTTCTCAGTCAGTCCAGCGTTCGGTGAGCGACATGGGGCAGTCAGCACCTTATCCTACGCGGTCTCTGAGTTAGAGGATGTCCCGGCAGCGGGCTAATCTAAGTGTCCACGCGCTACAGCAGGGCTGGATAAGCCGCAGTGTCTGGTGGCCTCGGCATCCTAAGTGCATTTCTGACTTAAGACGTCTTTGTCCTTACAGTGGGTCTGCTCGAGCATGGCCATGTCATCGGCCAGCACCTGCTTTATTACCAATTCATGTTTGCCAGGGTTGCTTCCTTCCTCCCCCACATAACGTCGTCATCATTGCTTTTAATTGATTTACATGGTGAGCTAGTGCTCTACCACTGAACTAACCCTGTCCATCCGCCCATCTATTCATGCATTCATTTAGACATTGGGCATTAAACCCAGGGCCTTTGCACAGGGATGCATCCCCAGTCCTTTTTTATTTTCAGACCAGTTGCCCAGCCTGGGCTAGAATTGGCAGTTCTCCTGCCACAGCCTCCTGGAGTGATGAGATTATAGCTGTGCACCACCATGCCAGCTCTTACTATTTTTGTTGAAGTATTTCAGAATGAGTTTTAGATAAGAGTCTTTACTCCTAAATAGTTCAGCAAGTATCCTCTGAGACAAGGCCATTCTCTTACAAAACCATAATACAGTTAACAGGTTGGGAAATTTGACATGGATCAAATACTGGTATCTAATAAGCCAAACTCAGATTTTGCCCACTGTCCTATTTGTGGCCTCCGTGTTAACTTAAAAAAAAAATTGAGGTTCCAATGCAGGAGTCTCCCATTGCATGAAGATACCTTCTCTCGTCTCTTTTCCCCTTGTGTTGCTTCGCAGTTTTACTGTTGGCACGCACCTCCCACACCTATTCAGGTTTGCCTGTTTCTCAGTCTTTGTCTGCTGCAGAAGTCCCTTCCTGCACTCTCTGGGTGGGCGTCTCGAGTCCCTCAGGTGTGTACGAGGCACCATGCCCTTGCCTACAGCCGTTCCTCATCTCTGACTGGCATCCCGCCCTGTGAACGCCACTCACGCAAACCCATTCTTCCATGGGGCACGCACTGTTCAGGTCACAGCTGTTGCGGGACGAGTTCTGATTGTCATGTGCGGGTCTCTTAGAGTGCACTGAGCCCTTTTGGTATAGGCTGTGGCTGGGGGAATGCGTTGCTGGCTGGCACCCGCACCCTGTCCCTGTGCTCAACCTGCAGTTGCACCGGTTCCGAGGCCATCAGACCAATGCGCACCTGACCGTTTATGTGTGGAGGTCCGGTGGCTCCACATTGCTGCCAGCCTTGATACCTGTCTGTCTGCTGTCTTTACTGTCATAGTAGAGCCAGCCCTTCTATGCAGCAGGTTTTATTAACTATCTGGCTGTCATCTGGGAAGTGCTCACCTAAGGCAGGCTCACCTAGCTAGTGGGTAGTCCACTCGTTTGTAGGTTTGTAGTAATTCTGGTTCTGGTCCTTTGTTGGTGGTGTGGGTTTGACCCTCTTATTCATGTGCTTTGGAGAACAGAAGTTCTTTGAAACAGATTTATTAGTCGTCTCTTTTATAGTTAGTACTTGTGTTCTGTTTAAGAATCGCTGTGGGGCCGAGGATTTAGCTCAGTGGTTTCACCGCTTGCTGTGCAAGCGCAAGGACCTGAGTTCGATCCCCAGTACCAAAAAAAAAAAAAAAAAAAAGAATTGCTGTGTCTGGGTAGTGAGGGTGTACGTGTCTATTATCTCCTGAAAACCTGAATGTTTGCCTTTCACAACTACCTCGCTGGAACTGACGTCTTAAAATGACTCTATTGAACTAACACTTGCATATAAAAATCCACATGGCGTCCCTCAGAAACTTCCCCCAGGTTCTTTGCAGTTGGTCTTATCTGTCCCAGCACCCACTGCCCTGTGTTCCTCCTCCGCCTTCTGTAGAGATTCTGTAGATCTGGAGGCATGTATATCTTTCGGGTCACAGATGACTGGTAACTTGGTTTAGTAGTTCCTTCCTTTTTATTGTTGAGTAGCGCTTTGTTGTATGAATGCAACATTGTGGTTTTCCATCTGGAACTGATTTTTGTGTCTGATATAAACTTTGGCTCCTATGTTGTCTGATTGTCCCAGCACTGTTATTAAAAACATTTTCCTCCCCGCCCATCCCTGGCACCTTTGTTGCAGATGAGTCTCCCATACCTGTGTACATCTGTTGTTCTTGTATTCAGACTGACTTAAAAGCACTACCTTCTGGACCGGGGATTTAGCTTAGTGGTTCCACTGCCTGCCTCGCAAGCACAAGGTCCCGAGTTTGATCCCCGGTACCAAAAAAAAAAATTGTGTTGGATCCGGGTTACAGAAGTGCATTTTATTTTTGCATATTGACTTTGGCCAGCAGCCTTTCAAAACTCATTTGTTCTAGTAAAGTCTGTACTGTAGCTCTTCCTTAGACTTGTAGCTATAGAAATAATTACATCGTCCATGGATTCCGACACTTTTGTTTTTGTCCTTCCAATCTTCTGATTTCTTTTTGTGACGTTATTGTACTGCTTAGTTTTGGGGGTTTTGTTTTGGGGGCTTTTTTTGTTTGTTTTTTTTGGTACCAGGGATTGAACTCAGGACCTTGCACTTGCGAGGCAGGCGGCAGAACCACTGAGCTGAATCCCCGGCCCTGTTTTGGTTTTTTGAGATAGGGTTTCATATGTATTTTAGGTTGGCCACAAAGTCAGTGATCCTCCTGTCTCAGCCTCCTGAGGACTGAGGTAACAGATGTGTACCACCACACCCAGCCACCACTGTCAGAAGCTTCAGCAGAGTAGGATTCTCTGCATGTCCATGGGGCCCCCGTGCAGTGCTGGAAGTGGCTGCGTCTCGATTACGGCAGGGAGCAAAACCCATCTGCTGGGCAAGTGAACTGTCCAGGGTCTGCGGCTTTCCACCAGCAGGCTCACTGCCCCCGAAGGCGCTGAAAGGCTTAACAACCACAGCGAACCCCTTATGGAGCAGATCTCAGGAGTCCTAGAGGTGGGCCAGTGCTTCTTTCCACTAGCTCCTGGCTAGAAAGCCTTGTCCTTCCCAACCCCCAGGAGCTTGGCTTTTAGAGAAACGGTGGTGGACGGGCAGCCCCAGGGAGCGTGCGGTCTGCGTGCGTTTCTGCTGGGTGCTCTGACACATTCTCCCAGTCTCTGGCCTCAGGCAGCATCTGCTGTCCCATGGCTCTTGGACGGAAGTCTAGACTGGGGCAGGTGAGCTGGCGGGGTTTGGGGAAGCTGCCGCTCAGGCTCATGGAGGGCGTCAGTGGAGCGCAGGTCCCTGCAGCTCGGGATGGGGTGCTCATCTCCCCGGATGTGCTCCTCGCGCCTTTGGCCTGTGAGCCAGCACCGCGCAGGTCCCTTTGCTGTTTCCCTGGCCATCCACCACATCTCTCCACTGTCCTCTTCTACTGTTTTTCTGCCCCTAAAGGGCTCTTGAGATTTTCCTGAGCCAAGGCCTGCTGGGTCATCCAGGAGAGCCTCTCTATTTTAAGGTCATTGGTTAGTAGCCTGAATTATCCCCACAGAATCCTTTTTGCCACCTCACATAACCATGTGTGTGGCACTAGGGGATGGAGGTCATTGGCTGGCATAGCCTGAGGTCTTCTGTAGCATCGTGAAGATCAGGTCTGAGACATCAGGTGTGCCACTCACCAACTTGATGCCTCTGAGTAAGGTGCTTACCCTTTCTAAGCATGAGCTGCAGATTCAGGCAACAGCAGTTTCTAGCTTAGAGGAAGACCTGAAGGACTGAATTGGATGATGGCATCAAGCAGGCCCTCAGGAGGCTTCGCCTGCAATCCCACTGGTGACAGGTGGGCATGGACGGAGTACTGATGGCTCTGCTGCACTCCTACGTGCCTCAGGATCCTTCAGCATACAGAATTTTCTGCAGATGACCTAAATGCTTTGTATCTGTGCCGCCCAGCACAGTAGCCACTCGTCACACATGGCCACTGACCAGGTAAAATGTGGCTAGTGCCACCAAGGAATAGAAATTGTTATTTATTTACCTCTAATTGCTTTACATTTAAATAGCTGCAGACAACTAGAAGCTACCAACTAGGGCAGCGCAGGCCTGGCACAGCATCGGTTTCCAGGTGTTGCGCTTACAGTGTGATGTGAAACTCTTGGAGGGATGCTTGTGGCACAGACAGGTCAGTCTGTTTGCTTCAGGTAGCTTGGGAAGGGGAAGGCCTAGGCATTGTCTTTGGGTTTTGTTTTTTCCAGTATATAGGCAGTGATACACACTCTGAAATTCATGGAAGAAAGTATACAGCTTTACTTCATAATTTAAAGAAGGAATAAAAGCTAAGAAAGCCAGGATTGGGGGTGTGTGTGTGTGTGTGTGTGTGTGTGTGTGTGTGTGTGTGTCTGTATGTAAACCTGATAGTCTGATCCAAAAGAACTGTCAGGTTTATCTGGAAGTGTTTTCGACGCTCACCCCAGGCCATTCTGTCCTCCAGCTGACTCAGGCTGTCTCAAAGTCTGTCGTTGGGGAGTGACAGAGACTGCGACTATTCCCCCTGCCCTGGAGCTCGGGGTTGACTTTTCTGATAGACAGTTTTCCTGCTGGTGGGAAGTTCTGGCGAGGGCTCCAGTTTTTGCTTTTCTACCAGTTCTGTCTCTCGCTGTTTCATACTCTTGACAGCTGAGATGTCCTTGTCTTACACAGCTCGGTTTGTCAAACCACCCCCCCCTTTTTTTTTTTTGGTACCATGGATCAAACTCGGGACCTTGCCCTTGCGAGGCAGGTGGCGGAACCACTGAGCTAAATCCCTGGCTGTCAAAGCCCCATTTGAGGGCCGGGGATTTAGCTCAGTGGTTTCGCTGCCTGCTGCACAAGCACGAAGACCTAAGTTTGATCCCCAGTACCAAACAGAAAAAAAAAAAAGCCCCATTTGAGCATAAACCCCAAGCCATCTTTGTTCACATTCAACAACAGCTGCTGCCTCTTAAACACATAATAATTAGATGGATTGACCAATTTGGGGTCCCCCCGACCCGCTCGCTCCCAGGCGTGCTGTGAGTTGTCTAACTGCTTTGTTGGGCCTCACAGCCAGCCTGTCCCGGTCGGCCTTCCTGTCGCAGAGATACTACGAGGACTTGGATGAAGCCAGCTCTACGTCGTCCATCTCCCAGTCTCTGGAGGGGGAAGAGGTGCGGGTGTCCTGCAGAGATGACGAGGTGGTCCAGGTGCCCCGGCATGCACCTGTGGTCCGCACACCCTCTGTTCAGCCAGGCCTCCTGCCCCAAGCGATGCCTTTTGCCAAATCTCACCTGATCCATGGCTCTTCGCCTTCCCCCGTGGGAGTATCACGTAAGTCAGCAGTGAGGAGGGAAGGTCTGTCCCCTGTCAGCCTCCAACCAGTGAAGTCCAAGTGTCTGAGCTTTAGAGGAGGACCCCATCAGGGTACAGCACGTGTCTGCCACTCTTCTAGAAATTAGGAGTTCAAAGGAGCAGTGGGTAGGGCACAGGGAGCAAGAGCCTCCGAGGGTTCCACCCTGTGACAGCGTTGGTGTGGCCTCTGGCTCATGGTTACCAGGGAGGGACGGCTGCAGCCTCGCCTGGAGTGTGTCCGCCTCTGTCCTTCAGTGCAGTGTCGGGGCTCTGTGTCTGGGTGACTTAGAGCAGAGAACGTGTGTGCGTGTGCATGCGTGCGGGCCAGGCGAGTGATTTCCTGAGCTGGGTCAGGGGTTGATCTAACTGGTTTCCTGGGCACCACTCCATCGGGATGAGAGGAGGTGGCTGTATAGTGCTGTGACTCTTGTCAGGGATGGGCATGTGAGAAGGTGCGGCTGCTGGCCTCTCAGGTTGCTGGTAGTTTTCTGTGTTAATGCTCAGGAATGTTTAATTCCAGCCTCTTCCCTGCAGCCTGACATGAGGAGTGGACCATGGGGGCTGTTGGGGGTTCCTTTCTCTGGCCTGTTTCCTCACGTCACCTTTCTTTTCCCCTCAGTGTCTACATCTGCTAGCAAAGTTGTTCCTCAGGGGGCCGACAGCACAATGCTGGCGACAAAAACCGTGAAACACGGTGCTCCTGGGCCCTCCCACCCTATCGCCGCCCCACAGGCGGCCGCAGCTGCAGCCCTGAGACGGCAGATGGCCAGTCAGTCACCAGGTGAGTGCTGGCCATGGAGCTGCAGGTGTTGGGAAATACGGGCTGGCTTTGCCTCCCCTTCAGGAGGGAAGGCCGTGGTGTCCTCGCCCCAGAAGGCAGAGGCTGGCTGAACGTTTTCTTTTCAAGGGGAGCTGTTACAGCTGCCATGTTTCAGTCACCTGGGAAGTCAGTGGTGTTCTGGGCTCATATTGGTGATCCCCACTTGTGACTGATGTTTGCTGTGAGCCCTAAAATTAATCTTTGCAGCCAGATGATCTAGTGATATTAGAGACATCTCGTAGTCCTAAGGTTCCCGTCAACCCTGAGAACTTTGCTCATTTTGCGTTTCCATAGTGGAAGATTAATTAGAAGTAAAAGTTACCCAAAGAGTAAGTGGCAGAGCCCAGCCCCCACCCTGTGCTCTTTCTGCCTCGGAGCAGCTTTTGCTTTGCTTCGCACATTTGGCCTTATAAACGGAAACTCGGAGCAAATGAGCACTAACGTTGTGTCAGTGGTTTGTGGCTCTACAAGTTTTTCTTTTTTCTTTTTTGGTACCAGGGATGGAACTCAGGACCTCACACTTGGCAGGCAGGCGCGGTGCTGCTGAGCTGCATCCCCGGCCCTGTACAAGTTTTTGTATGCTAGGGTTTAGTAGCGCAGATAGTTGGCCTCCGGGGCGTCAGTTATCATGAGTTATCGATTTTCCAAGTCGGTGCTACTCAGCTTCCCTCTGCTTCTCCTGAAATAGTGGGCAGTGTTGCTGGCATTCAGCGGATGGGATCTGTGAGTGCTCAGACACATCTTAGGGTACTCAGGACAGCCTCACAGCGAGGGGGACCCCACATCACGATCGTGATTAAACCAAGTGTCTTCACTTCAAGAAGACTGGAGAGACATGAGGACTTGATTTAGGCAAAACAGAATTACCATGAAACAGTGATAAAAGATTTTTAAGAAGAGTTCAGATATTAAAATCCCTTTAAGGCATCTGAAATACATACTGGAAAGGAAAGACCACTGTATATGTTGCTCTGAGCCTTCAGAGAATGTAATTCTTTGGTGGTCTCTTCATTCTGTGGACCAAGCAGAGTCTTGCATCATGCCACCAGTCAGGCCCCACATCCAGGTGATCATTTGTAAATTTAGAAACCTCCCAGGGTTTAGGGATATTCCGCTCTCAGCAGAGGTGATGTGATCTCCATTATCATAGCGGAAACAGAACTTGCCAAGGTGCAGGCTCCTCTGAGCACGCAAGGAGCTGCGCGCTCTTGTCGCCTCTGAAGGAGGAGATAAGAGTTGCCCCAGAGTTGCCACTCTGCCCGGGACACAGCTTTCACCTTTGCCACGGCAGAGAGCCCCGAGCGCCCAGCAGGCTTTCTTAGTCGCTCCTGACAATGCCCTTGAGACTTTGGACACGGTCTGAAGTGCTGAGGCACAGAGAGAAGTGGAACTGGGGAGAGGAGTAGGCCTCTCACACACGCCTATTGCCATTGCTTAGCAGCCTTGCCCTCATCGCCACCCTTGTCCATGCTCTCCCCCACCTTTACTCCAGTGCCCGTCTGTCTGTCTGTCTGTCTCACTGAGCCCTGAGCTCCATTAAGGAGGAAACGACACTTTAGACAGCTTTGGTGTTCTCAGCACTGCACAGAACCTGGCGCATACTGAGCCATGGGAAGGGGGCAGATGAATGGGTGGAAAGACCCGAGCCTGAGGCTGCTTGTCCTCGGGCATTTGCTGCCCTCTCCGGGATGCACAGAAGTGCAGCAGGTGCCTCCTCCCAGCTGCAGAAAGCTGTGTTTCACAGCCTCACTCTGACTTGGCGGAGGCACAGAGCAGGTGCAGGCCGACTTCCTGCGTGGTAAGGCTGCAGCCTGCTGCAGCTCATGCCCTGGCCCTTCATTGCTGCACGGCTGGAAGTTAGGTTTCTTACTTAATGTGATTTTCACTCCTCTGTCTCGTAGCTGTCAGCACTTTGACCGAATCGACTCTGAAAAACGTGCCTCAGGTGGTCAACGTGCAGGAGTTGAAGAATAATCCCACAGCTCCCTCTGCAGCCATCGGGTACGTGTGGCTGTCTGTGTGTCCTTACTGGCCAGGTGTCCTCCTGCAGTGGGGAGGAGCTGCCTGCAGGGCGCAGCACTGCTGTGTCCCCAGGCCAGCTGGCCAGTGCCGCTGGGTTTTCAGGAGGCTCGCTTGAAGCTTGAAGGGTCCTGTCGGCCCCTGCGCCTTTAAAGTCTGCTTTGGAGTGGCTTCAGCTTGCTGTTTGCCATGTGAACATCTGCATGCAGAACCCGTTAGGCTTTTTGTTTGTTTCATTTTGTTTTATTTTTTCGAGACAGGGTCTCACTGTGTAGTCCAGGCTGGCCTTGAACTTACTGTGTAGCCCTGGCTGGCCTCCGACTCTTCAGTGGTCCTCCTGCCTCAGCCTCCCAAATGCTGGGATTGCAGGTGTGCATCACCACGCCCAGCTTGGTTAGGCTGTTAAGTTAGGTGTGTGGTTTGATTTCTTTTTTGGTACCAAGGGAACAACTCGGGACCTTGGGCTTTCGAGGGAGGCACCGGAACCACTGAGCTAAATCCCCGGCCCTGAATTTTTTTTTTTTTTTTTGGTATTGAGGATTGAAGTCGGGACCTTGCACTTTTGAGGGAGGCTCCAGAACCACTGAGCTAAATAAATTCCCGGCCCTGATTTTTTATTTTTGTTTTTAATGCCTCAGGGTTCCAGAGTTGACAGTTTGGGGGTCTAATGCCAGCCACTGGTTCTGAAGACTGGTGACCTCAGGATTGTCCCACCCTCACCCATCCTCTTCAGGCATTTCTGGCCTTTAATTCTCTCTTCCCTCTGTGTGAAGAAACTGGACTGCAAGGCCAGCTGTCATGTGGGCATAGGATGCAGGGTGCCACCTCCCGCACAGCTCATGGTGCCTGCCTTTGTCCTGCTGTGCTCTGGGCTCTCTTTTTTTGGAACCAGGAATGAAACTGAGGGCCTCACACTTGCCAGGCAGGTGCTGTGCCCTGAGGTATATCCCCGGCTGCTCTGTGCTTTTTTAGCTGCACAGTACTTCCCAGCCTCCCTGTGCCAGAGACGAGCAGAGGGACATGGCCTGGGTCTGAACATGCAGTGAGGAGAAGCAGGCGCTCTCGGGCCGACGGTGTCTGGGGGCTCCTCTGCTGCATGCCCTCTCTGTGCTGCCCCACAGAGCAGAACCGCTCGTGGTGCCACTTTCCCTTGGTGGGTGACTCTGCTTCACCAGCCCACTGCTCTTCATGTGGCCCAGGTTGGAGAATGTGCCGGCACTGCCTGTTGGGGGCTGTTCTAGTTATCTCGGGGCCATCCTAACAGTGACAAACAAGCCTCCCTCTCCCGTTTCCTATCTGGACGTGACCTCAGGGCCTGGAATGCTGTCTTGTGGTTGTGAACTTCTGCAAAGACAGAGCCGTGCCTTTGTGGTAGGAACCGGGGCCCATGGGCATGCGCAGCAGGACGTGCACCACAAGGCACCGCTCGAGGCATTGTCTGCCCCGCCCCTGGCCCCGTCAGAGCTGATCTCTAAGGGCTGGTCTGAGGGGCGCCTCTGGGTTTGCTCTTCTGACAAGAAAAACAGGCACACAAGTTAGAGAGGTCTCTTGAAGAACCTTCCCTTCGAGTCTGCCGAATGGGCCTGATGTAACGTGTGCCTGGCATAGTGATGAAACAGCTCCTTTTAATAAATGTTTATTCAATAATTGGCAAACTCTAAACATAAACCATCAAGGAAGATTGGGGTTTCCCGCCTCCCCTGTAGGAAAATTGGGAATGATTTGGTGTGAAGTGACTCCCTTTCGGATGCTCCATGACAACAGATTTCTAGTGTATTTGAGTATTTGCTTTGGCACCGTACTTTACCTGAGAGGTGTGGTAGGGCAGGCGCACAGGTTTCTGCCCCTGGCCTTGCTTGTCTTCGTTGGGTCAGCCCTCCTGTTGCCTGCCTGGCTTCCTGCTACAGAAGGGTGTTTACCTGGAGCAGGTGCCACTGAGGCTCTGACCCCCCTGTGGTGCTGAGGCCCCAGCTTTGCAGACTCTGGAGCCTCGGTTACAAGCACGGTGCCACCCTGGGGACCAGGGCACAGCATCGAAGGACACTTTCCAGGGCAAGGTGAGAATCCTGCACTCGAGCTGCAGCAGAAAGGTAGCCCGGAAGCCCCATCACACAGCTGCGTGGGTGCATGGAGAAGGGTGGATGCTAGGAAAGCCCAGAACAGGGCAGCCCAGCAAGTCAGAGTGCAGCGGGGTACGAAGGATCGTCAGGAGTTGCCGGGCACAGAGTGAAGAGGCGTGTTCCAGACAAGGAAGGCAGTGTGAAGGCCCAGACCCGGTGAGGAAGTAGAAAGTGGAGAGGTGGGGTCACATGAGGTCAGAAGGGGGGTTGTTTTGATTTTTGTTTGTTGTGATCGAAGCACAGCAGGTGCATCATTCCTTCTGCACGTACCCAATGAGCGTTTATTTACTGCGTGCCACCATGCTATGCTGGGTGCTGGTTATAAAGCAATTAGTGGTGTGTTAGATGGTGGATGTGGTGGAGAAATCGAAGTCGGGGAGGAAGGTGGTCTTGCTGGGGTGACTGATGCTTCTAAATGGGTGGCCAAGGAAGGTCCATTTCCCCATGACGGTGGCCTTGGCTTGGAGACCACACAGCCACAGTGCAGGCCTGGGAAGAAACTGCCAAGCCTGGGCCAGGGCGCTTTTCAGCTTCCATTTAGAGGTGGAATTGCTGGGTCACACAGTGGCTCCCTGGTTGGCTTTTTGCGCCAGCATAGCTGCAGCTGTTGGACAACGTCACTGTGCCATTTCCCAGTACCGGTGCCACTTTGTCCACGGCCTCGCCACCTCAGTCAGCCGACTTCCTGTTGGTGGCAGCCACCTCTCACTTGCTGTGGCTTCGATTTGAATTTCCCTCCGTATGCTCTTCAGCCACTTGTTTCTTTTTTGGACAAATGTCCAGTTAGATCCTTTGCCTGTGTCCTGGTTGGGTTATTTTTGTTTTTACTGCTGGTTTTTGTTTTTTTTGTTTGTTTCTTTCTTTTTTTGATACCTGAGATCGAACTCAGACCTTATGCTTGTGAAGCAGGCAACAGAACCACTAAGCTAAATCCCTGGCCCTTTTTACTGCTGGTTTTAAATGTTCTTTATCTAATCAAATTCCTGTCTTTTATTGGATATACAACTTACAAATACTCTTTCCCATTTATTGGGTTGTTTTTCACTTTCTTCGTGTGTCCTTGGACATAGAAATTTTTTCATTTTGGAATCCAGTCTTATCTGTTTTCCTCTTCTGTGCTTTAGGTGTCATGTTTAGGAAACTATTAGCTAACTTAAGGTTGTAAAATTTACATTTGTTTAAGAGTTTTAAAGTTTTAGCTCCTGTATTTAGGCATGTGACCCATTGAGTTCATCTTTGTAAATGGTGCTAGGTGCAGCGTCCTTCTTTGGAATAAAGACGCCCAGTTCTTCCAGCACCACTTCTGAAGGACTCTTTTGTCGTCCGTCCCCCCCAATTGTCCTGACAAGGATGTGTCACATCGATTGGTCCTTGAATGTTAAACCAGTCCTTGGCCCTTTTCATATATGCTTGGACTTGATTTGTTCACATTTTAAGATTTGGGCAGGGCCTGGTACTGGGGATGGGACCCGGGGCCTTGGGACTGAGCTGCAGCCTCAGCTCTGTTTATTTTTTATTTTGAGAGAGGGTCTTGCTGAGTTATCAGGCTGTGCTGGAACTTGTGACCCTCCCATCTCAGGCATCCAAAGTGCTGGGATTACAGGCATGCACCACCGTGCCAGGCAGTGATTCTCTCGCTTTTAAAGCCTGTTAGAAGTTGGAATAAATGAAGGAATGAGTAGTTGGCCCTTTTCACTCTAATAGGGTTAATATTTACCCTTTGTTTTGGTACGGGGATCGGACTCGGAACTTTGTGCTTGTGAGGAAGGCGGCAGAACCACTGAGCTAAATCCCCGGCCCTAATATTTACCTTATTAAAATAAAGTACATTGATGCCACTAAGAAAATGGCCTGTGCAACATTTTAATGCTTCACAATTTAGCAACGCCATTTTATAACTGCCGTTATACACTCTGAATTCTTTGAGTTTTGTTTTCATTGTAGAGCAGAGTGTCGAGATGAATTTCTGGTATCTCTAGGGTCCATCTTACTAGAAGGTTGTTACTCCAGCGGCCTCCAAAACACGGTGACTCTGAATCCGGTTTTCCCTCTTGTGAGCATGTCTGGCTGTTGATTTCCGTTGTTCTGGCTGTGGTGGAGCCAAGCCATTGAACATATGTACTTGGGAGTAGACTGCTCTTCTGTCTGCCCTTCTAGGTCTGGGCGGGGGTTTCTTGGATGTGGTTTATCGATGGTCTGCGTGCTGGTTGTTCTGGAGGGCATCATGGGGCCGGTGTATAGGTTCTGTGAGCCCTAATTCTGTGCTTGGGGATTTAGGATTCCCAGGAGATCTGTAGCATTATCACAGTAAATAGCACAATCATTGTACTCAATCGAATGCTTGCCTGCTTTCATTTACCACCATGTCATAACTAAATTTGGGGCATAAAAAATTATAAATGGGTACTTTTATTTCTAGTTTCCTTTTTGTCTTTGAGAAGACATAAGAGTCCATTTTCCCTTGTGATTCCTATGAGCTTTAAGCGTTTCCCCAGCAAGGCTCCTCTGTCTGCCCAGGGGCTGCCTGGGTCCCAGCAGAAGTACGTCCTCTCCTCCAGGGCCTCTCGTGGCAGCGGGGTGCCCTCCTCTGGAGAGGTGCGCCTGCACTGCTGCTTCTGGCTCTAGGAGAGACCAGCTGGGTGTGGCGTCATTGAAAATGCCTGCCTTCCTCTCCTCTCACCCTAATAAAGTCTGCTGGGAAAGCTCCTGCATTACTCCCTGGGGAGTCCTCACGCGTGCATCAAGTTGCGATAATTTTCTTCAGTGAGCCATAGGCTTGTCTTTCTCGTTTAAAGTTTTTTGTTTTTTGTCTTTAAGTTCTGGGCACAGAACTCCAGGCTCTCACCCTAGCTCTTTGTATTGTTTATTTTGAGACAGGTTCTTACTAAGTTCTGAGTTGCCCCACCGTGCTCAGACTTGATCCTCCTGCCCCAGCCTCCCAGAGTGCTAGGATTGCAGGTGTGTGCCACCCCACCACGCTCCAGGTTAATCTTTTGGTAGAAAATTATGAATAGTTCTCCCTAAATTAGGAAAAGATATGAAAAATAAAACCCGATCCCACAGCTGTTCCTGGTGTGAATACTACAGTGTAGCTTTCCATTGAGGACAGAGCCAAGACCTTCTGTGCATGATGCAGTGACAAGCGGCTTCCCCTGTGTGAACCTCAGTTAATGAGGTCACAGTGCCGGCACCCAGTGTGCGGAGTAACGCAGATGGTCTTTCTGTTCACGGGGGTGCACTTCTCACACCGCAGCAAAGTGTGGTTAGACACGGACCGGTGGCCCGTGTGAGTCCCTGGGGCACTGACCGGGAGCCCTGGGTCTTGCCAGCCGCAAATGTGGGAGGCTGGCAGCTCTCCTTTGGGTCGTTCCGTGAGCTACGTGCAGAAGCAGACTGTGTGTCCCACAGAGCCCGCTGAGCGCTTCTTCCAGGCTGGAAAAGAGAACTAGCAGTTCCCACCTCAGCAGGACTGTGGAGAATGAAGGGAGGCACTCGCTCCAGACAAGAAAACCCCTAGTGCTGAGTACATCTTGTTCCTTACAGGAAGGAAATTAATTTTAAGGTCACCCCTTTGACTTTTGTACTAAAACCCCCAATTTTTTTTTTCTTTTGGTACTGGGGATTGAACTCAGAACCTCACGCTTGTGAGGCAGGCGGCAGAACCACTGAGCTAAATCCCCAGCCCCTATTAACCCCAAATTTTATTTAAAAATGTATTCTGCAGTCAGCAAGAGGTCAGATGAGTTTGCTTGGGGCTGCAGACATCTGTGTTGTGCTCCTATATTGCTGTCATTTATTGGACAGAAAGCTGACCTAGGGATGAACGTGCTCCTCGAGCTGCCCGCCCTGAGCGGATGCTTTGTGTTTTTCAGGTCTCCGGTGCCGTACTCCACCACCAAAGTGCCCCACCCCACGCTTGCCCCAGTGGCCACCAGCCAAGCCAAGCAGGTACCGTCGGATGGTTCCATCAGCAGTCCTGCGTGTGCCGTCTTTCAAAGTCCCTCCTGGCTTAAATGAGCCATAAGCCAAGAGAGCTGTGACCCTTTCCTCATAATTATAGTTCACTAGAGCAGTGGGTCACGCCTGACACTCTGCACCAGTCACCTCGCATTACAGCTCCTCTGTCCATTTGGAGGCGGTGTTGGGCTGAAGTTGACTTCACTGAGCACCATCTCAGCCCAGCCTTGCACCTGCCCTGTGCAGTAGGTATCTATGTCACCCTGATGACCGACGCAGGCTTACCTGGCCTGAGGCTGTTGGCTCCCGCCCGTCCCCCACTCTCCTCACTGCACTGTTCAGTGCGGCGTCTGGGGGCCGCACTGTCTGGTTCTCTCCTGCAGCCTGTCTCCCCAAGTCTGTGGATCTCATTGATGTTATGTCCGGCTTCAGGCGCTTGACTGCTAAGCAGTGTCTTCTACAAAAATAGGTCACGTTGTAAACAGTGCAGAAAAAAATAACAGGAGATAGCTGGGAGGTGGGCCGAGCGAAGTCTGAAACTTGTCCTAAGAAATCCTGGTTTCCCTGCCACCCTTCCATCTCTGCTGAGTAGCTCTAAATTGCCTGAGATCAGGGTTTGAGACTGAACGTCAGAACTCGCCCATTGTGAGTTCTTGATCGTGGCCCTGCTGTGACCTAAAATGGCATTTAGGAGGTACGATCAGTTATAGGGTGAATGTTTAAATTTTTTTTTTTAATTATTACTGTAAAAGACACATTGCCATTAATCCCCCTCAGTACACACTTATACCATCATTCTTGGCACTTTCCGAAGCACTCTAGAAGTCCTCTTTCACGTCTTGAGGAAGTGTGATCAAAAACACAGTGAACATTGCTGCTGAGCACCATCCAGGGGAAAGCTGGAGCCTTGAAAACAACGCTGTGTCCACATCCACCTTATTCATTGGATCTGGCACTGCAACTTCCAGCTCCTCCCCAAAGTCAAATGACCATGAAAGGAAATGTTTTAAATGGATACAGGACACTGAGGCAGCCAGGACAGAGCAACTAAAGAGCCTCAGGAAGGAGGGCTCCAGAGCCACTGCAGGAAGTGGCGAGGACCGTGAGATCAGTGTGCTCGAAGCAAGGAGGTTTGATAGCCATGTTTCTTTTACTGTGATTAATGTCTTTAAAAATGTGAGCATCATCATGTATTTTCAGTCACACTTCATGAGGATTTAGCACTTGCCCCTGGAGGTTTCTGGCTGCACCGTGGGGGCCCCAGGAGAAGCCTCAGTCAGGGCTGATGAGTGCAGGGACATTGGCTGAGGACGGAGAACTCGGTCATAAATTCATGGACAGCTGGAACCCTTTCCTGCCTCTGCTCCTTCACTCGTTCACCTGCCAAGTACCCAGTGCCTTTTGTGGGCCAGGCACTGTGCTAGGCACTGGGAAAACAGCCCTGAGCTGGACAGGCCTGGCAGCCTTCGCAGCATGAGCAGACTTGTCCTCTCTGTCCTCCCCGCTGATCTTGTCAGTGGTTGACTTCAATTCAGATTTGACTTGCTTTCTTCCCCTTTTTTTGTAATTTAAGCTAAATGAACATAATTATGCTTATTTAGTTTATGTTTGTACATTTACATTTCACATACTCCGTTAGTCCAAGAGATGTTCGTGGTTGACTAGAAACATCTTGTGTCCCGTTACAGGGATCTCTGATGAATTCCCTGAAGCCGTCTGGGCCCATGCCAGCATCCAGTCAGTTGTCACCTGCTGATAAAGTCCCAGGTCAGTTTGCGTTCTTGTTTTAGTGACAGAAGCACCTAATAGAGATTATTGCACTGGGCCAGTGAGGCAATCGACACAGGAAATCAAGCTCGGAGGTCCCATTGGAAAGGCCTCTGCTGATGGAGGATTTCTGAGACGTTACTGAGCCCTTTAGCGGCTTTTAAAATTTTGAGTTGAGTTTGAAAAACCTCAGAATGGCAGGGGAAAACCTTCCCTCAGGTTGTTTTCCTAGGAAGGGGCAATAGCATTGTCTTCCCCTGCCTTGTGAGGAGTATTAGGAGTGTTGCACTATTGCCTCCAAAAGGAATAAAAACACCGTGGCTCACAGTGACAGCTCAAAAGTTAGTAAGACAGAAAATGGATTTGTTAGTGTAAGGTCTCAGGGCAGGTATTATGTAATAAGTCAGGATGACAAGATTGATGACTTCACAGCCTTGCTTGGCTCTCACTCAAGCAGAATTGTCCTTAGGTAAATTAGCTTCACAGTAACTGAGCGTGGGCTCCGTTCCTGCAGCACCTCGTTCACTGCGAAGGCCTCTCGCCTGCAGCTGATGGGCATTCTCAGCAGGTCTGTGAGCAGGCTGTGTCCGAAAGCACACTGCACACAGTCACTGCTCACATCCAAATCGCTGCTCAGTCGTGCAGTGATTCCAACCCCAAGCTTTTCTCAGCAGCTGTCAGGCAACTATTCCCTGCACTCAGAGGAAAACCATTCTCGTATAAGCTCAAGCTGAATTCTAGTGTTCAGATTCATGGGGAGCCACATACAGCCCCTATTGACTTGGGCCTAAGGCTCGAATCATTTAGGATTCAAACTAAGAAATGTGTTTCTGTTTCTGCTGATAGCTTAGAAAAGTCACGTACCCTAACTTTTCAAGGCCTGCTGTGGCAAAGCCTTTTGTCCTCCTGAAGTTAAGAAGGAGACCCAGCGGACTTTGTTTGGTGCATGGCCAGGTGTAGTGGGACTCACAGAGAAGGAAGGCCACCTCCCCTGCCAGAGTTTGCACTTGCATCTGCTGGAGAATCAGAGTTTTAAAACAGAACAGTTTTGGGCCAGGGATTTAGCTCAGGGGTGCCCCGCCTGCCTCACAAGCGCAAGGTTCTGAGTTCAATCTCCGGTACCAAAAAAAAAAAACAGAACATTTTTCTTTTGGGAGGAAATCTTTCCTGAAAAATCTTGAGTTTGTAGAAAGTTTTTTTTTAAGCATTTCTAAAACCTCTGCTGAATAGTTCCTTTTATTAGTTGATGATGGAAATACTTTCATTGTTTTTCTGTTATAAAACTAGTGCGTATCAGGCAGGTGATGTACCTAGTGGTAAGAGGCTTGTGTAGCACCTGCAAGTCCTGGGTTCAATCCCTACTACTCACTGCAAAAGGAAAAGAAAGGAGGGGAAGGAGGGAGAGAAGGAGGAAGGAAAGAAAGCTATCACGTATCTGTGATGTAGAAGGTGGAAGCTCCCCTTGTAAATTCCGTATTTCTGGGATAATAACCCTTAATGTTTTTATGTGTGTCTCCAGGTTACTTCATTATTTTCTAAACAAAAATAGGCAAGTCCCATTTATACTGATTTTGTAAGCTGTTTCCCCTTAACCTGGCCCCATTACAGTAAATGTCCCGTCACCCTTCTGGGTCGGGGACAGATCTGCCTTCCCGTTTTAGTGGCCACCCAGGATGCATCTGTAGTTCCCTGTTTACCCAACTCTGCCAGTGTCTGGGATCGTTTTTCATGGCTCATGATCATGGGCACAGCTGCCTTGAGTATGCTGTCCACACTTCCTTGTATTCCAGTGGCTTTACTTTTTTTTTTTTTTTACTAATAGCCACCCCATATTCATTTAAAGAAAGCATATTTTGTCCTTAGAATTGTTTGGTTTGGTTTGATTTGGGAATTTTATTGGAGGGGCATCTTAAATACAGTTTTTCTATAGTGCCCCCCCCCATTTAAAATGGATCCACAGGAAAAATGTGGAGGATTATACCCTAAACTGAAGTTGGAGCCTGGAGGATGATGATTTGCTCTTTTAACTTTCTATACTTCTTTCAACCATAGTGATCATATATTACCTCTGTTTTTGTTTTTGTTTTTGTTTTTGGTACTGGGGATCGAACTTGGACCTTGTGCTTACAAGGCAAGTGCCAGGACCACTGAGCTAAATCCCCGGCCCTTACCTCTATAATTTAGAGAAAAGAAGAAAACTATTTTGTTGAATTAAAAACATGTGAAAACACAGTATAAAGAAATAAGTATGACATGGTCCATTGAGAAGTCACTACTCAGAAATGTTTAGCCTATTAACCTGTTTATTTTTGGATTTTTTTCCCTTCAGTGTGTGTTAATTTTAGCTGATGTAAAGCCTCGCTGTACATACACATATGTGTGTGTCTTTATATCAATTGGTTTTGAATGATAAGTACTTTCCCACAACATAAAAACAACTTGCACTGTACTGGCATCATTGTGATGCCTTTCCTGGAAAGGAGAGCGTGCCATGCCTCTGATGGGGATGAAGTCTGGCGAGCAGGAGAGAAGCTCAGCACCTGGAGCCTCAGCCCTCTGCACACCTGCTCCCAGGGTACCCATGGGGTCACAAGTGCTGGGTGCAGGCTCTCAACTGCATTGTGCGCTCTGGGCTGCAGGGAATTCCGAACCGGAACAGCACTTGTAACAGACTTTCTCCCTCCTTTCAGGGCCAGGGACGGCCAAGGTGGAAGCAGCTGTGACCCCGACTCCATCTGCCGTGGGGCAGGGCAGCAAGCCCTTCTCGTTCGCACCGTCAGGGTCAGTACTGAGTGAGTCTCGGGCTCCTCCCATTGGCAGGCCTGCGTGTGTGCTGATGAAGGGTGTGGCCGGGGCTCTTCCCCTGCAGTGACATGGCTGCTTGGCGGTGGCCGTAGCTGGGCCTTCTGATGTCAGTCAGACTTGGCACCTCAGAGTTATCTGCTCCTTGGTGACCTAAGCCTATGGTCTCTGTGGTACGTTTTATAGGCCATCTGCTTTATCACACTGGAACAGTTGCATCTTGAGGCCTCTTGGAGCCCAGATGTGACACTCGGATTGGCTTTATTGCACCGAGAGCACAATGGAAGAAATAACTGTTTGAAATTGTGGTTTTTGCAGGGATATAGGGGGATCTATTTCTTTTTCATGTTTTTTAAAGATAATTATGGCCATATGGGTACAGTTGAGTCATCTTACAAAATGAGTTTCTTCTACACCTCAAGTTCCCGGGTCACACGCACACACTCGTGTCGAAAGGGCTGCGCATACCTGGGGTCCCCATTCCTGCGCTGCTGCAGCCTGTGGCTGAGGCTGGACCCTGTCTGCTGCTCTGCCCTCGTGGCCGGCTGAGTGCGCGTGTCCTCACCACGGTCATCCTCACCGCCGTCCCTTTCCCTGCCACTGTTGTCTTTCTCCTTCACCAAACATGCAGTGAAAAGAGGGCACTCGGCCTGGACAGAGGAAGCTGGATGTGTTCACATGGGTCTTTCCTGGTTGTGCATCTAGTTTTCTACTTCCCAAAGGTGATTTGGAGCAAACCCTAAGGCGCAGGTCAGTGCCAAGGACAGCCGCCGCCTTTGCACGGCTGGCTAGGAAGGCGCGGGCCTCGCCCTCCCTGAAGTGTCACTCCTCGCCACTGTAAATGTGCTGGAAGGTTGCGGGCTGGCGCGCCCTGGTTAGGTAAATTTCCTCATCATGTTGAGGTCTGCCAACCATGAAAGCCTGTTCCCTTCGTGGGATAAAATGCTTGGCACATCTTGAAGAGGGCACCAGTGGGTACTGTATCTGTTATACTTCGCCCTCTTCTGTTTTAAAACTTACTTAGTCTAAGGTCTGCTCTTTGAGCTTTTGTTACAGTGAATCACCTACCCTGGCCCACTTGCACCGAGTTTCCTCCTTTGGCTATGAGGTCTGTCCCTAGTGTGTAGAGAACATGTCCGGGAAGAACGGAGATGGTGAAAGGAGCGGGAAAGTTCTGAACAGTCTCCCAGCTGGAGTGCCGGGCTCCATCTCGGCACAGGCAGGGCTTCTGGCCCCCAGTGCTCTCTGCAGTGGCGTGGGGCTCCTGCTGTGTCCTTAGCCTCGGTGGGGCCTGCGCTTCCCCCAGTCCAGCTGCTCCCACTCCCCCCTCCACGAGCCAGGCCATCTACTTAGCCCCCACTCACGGTGCACACTCCAGCGTCCCCACCGCTGCCGCATTGCTTTTCTCAGGACAGCTTTCCATCCATCCAGACCTCCGCCTGCCCCTGCCCCTGCCGGAGACCTGGAGCCTAAGCACCTTGAGCTGGACACTTGCCCTCTGCTGCAGATCTCTGAGGGCACACTGTGTGAATGGCTTGTAAAGGGGAATATTGAAAGGTTGGTTCTGTGCCCTGGCTTTGTCCCTTGTTAACTTCTCTTTTTCCTTTTGCTAGGACTGGATTTAGTTTTGGGATAATCACACCAACACCATCTTCTAACTTCACTGGCACACAAGGTACAGTCTGCATTGCGTGGCATTACTTTTGTGCTCCCTCTGAACACTCGCAGGTTATTTTCGTACAGATGTGGTGACATTTTAACACTCCTGGGTCTTGCTTACGGTTTATGCTGTAATTTTGGTGTTGATAACGTACATTAACAACATGTCCAGGGGCCTGGGGGTGTAACTCAGTGGTCAGTGCATACACACAACCTTGGATTCCAACCTCAGCACTGCAAAAGAAAAAGGAGGTTTAATTTAGGAATCTGATGTGAAGAATTTCTCTCTGTTTCCCTGATTAAAGTCAGGGAAAAGACTTCTGGGAAGTCGAGGCTGTGCTTTAAATTTGAATATTAATGTGCAAATTAAAATTTCTTTCTTTTTGTCTGTAACTTAAAATGTCATCAGTTTGCAGAGTGATTCTGTAGGGTGAGACACACATAGTGACACAGTAGAAGACTGAGCTTGCTTTACCCAATAACATGGCAGCAACCTGCTGGCCATGTGTCTTGTTGAAGATCCATCAAGGAGCACATTTTTGCTCTTTAATTTATTTATACTTTGGGTTTCTCCTGTAAGCAAAACCAGGCAATATTTAAGCTGTGTGTCTGCTCATTTCACTTACATTACGGTCTCAGGGTGCTCCCATTGTCCTACAAATGACTCAACATGATCCTTCTTTAGAATTTACATGTTTTTAATGCTTACAACAATTTGAAGACATGTGAAAAACAATGCCTATTATTTTTTAAGTACCTTCCAGTTCTGTTTAATTTTTCTTTTATATTATTTCTTTTCATTTTTTGTCTGCTTTCTTTTCTAATTTTTTTAAAATTTTATTTTAAAACCAAGCTTCCTCCTGCCTCAGCCTCTGCACTAGCTGACACTGTGAGGTGCACACCCCCACACCCAGCTGACAGACATTCCCGAGGTGCTTTCTCTGCCCACCCACATGGTCGTTTCCCGGTGGCGCAGGTCTTCTCGAGTTCTGGAGGGAGACCGACCTGAGAACACAGCAGATGTTCTGACCCTGGTCTGAGCATGCTCCTTAAAACATTGGTGATTTCATGCATTTCCTTCTAGAGCAGATATTCTGAAATTTTCTTTTAACCTTTTCCCATGTAAGTGTGGCAGAATACCCTCAGCCCATCGTATCCCCATTCTCACTTTCTAGAGGGAGAATAATTCCATGACATAAAAAGATTCGAGAGGAACAAAGTCATTGTCAAAAATCATCAAGGGCCGGGGGTTTAGCTTAGTGGCGCCACACCTGCCTGGCAAGCGCAAGGTCTTGAGTTTGATTCAAGGTACTAGAAAAAAAAGTCATAGGGAGCCGGGTGTGGTGGCGCACACCTGTAATCCGAGCTACTCGGGAGACTGAGGCAGGAGCATCACAAGTTCAAAACCAGCCTGGGAGGCCAGGGATTTAGCTCAGTGGTGCCGCTGCCTACCTCACAAGTGCAAGGACCCGAGTTTGATCCCTGGTACCAAAAATACAAATTAAAAAAAGCCAACCTGGGCAACCTAGCAAGACCCTGTCCCCAAATAAAAAGAAGTCGGGATGTTGCTCAGTGTTAGAGTGCTTGTCAGTGCCACAGGAAGGAAAATAAAATAGGAATAAAATGCAATAGTAATTTTTTTGGGGTACCGGGGATCGAACTTGAGACCTTGTGCTTGCCAGGCAGGTGCCAGAACCACTGAGCTAAATCCCCAGCCCCTGCAATAGTAATTCTGTATGAACACTTTAATTGACTTTAATTTAACAGACAGCAGTCCAAAACCAGAAGGTACTCAATACAAAATTTGTGATAAATAGCTTATTTGGTAGAGCCCATGTAAGTGTGTTAAAAAAAAAAAGATTGTCTGGGGATTGACATTTTGTGCCCATAAAAAAATAAACTTGCCTCTGCAGGCAAGCCCTGCTCCCTGGGACCCAGAGGCACAGCGTGGGGACGCAGCCCTCGGATTTGTTAAATCCAACCCATTCCTGGTTTCTTTCTCACTCCAGGGGCAGCATCTCCCACCAAGGACTCAAGCCAGCTCGACACATTCCCCTTCGGTGGGGCCAGCAAACCCTTTTACGAGACGGTCCCCGAAAGCACCACTCCCTCAGGACTCACACCAGTCCCCAGCGCTGCGAGAAATGCTGCTACCTCTCTAGGGGAGCACCCCCCCTCCAGCAGCAGGCCTGGGGTACCTTCTGGAGCCCTACTGCCCACTAGCAAGCCAGAAGCCCCACCATCCAAGCTGGGAGAACTTTTGTTCCCCAGCTCCTTGGCTGGAGAGACACTGGGAAGCTTCTCAGGGCTTCGTGTGGGCCAAATGGAGGACTCTGCAAAGCCCGCCAGTAAGTCTCCCTCCCCGAGCCTGGCTGGGGCACAGCCAGCCAAGACTCTGAGCACGGCCTCCGGGTTTAACTTCAGCAGCTCTCCCATGCTCGGGAAGCCTGCAGAGCCCCCAGCAACTTCTGCTGTGGCCGCCAGCACCGAAGCGCCACTGGCCACCACCAGCACGGGGACAGGCAGCTCCTCAGCGGGGGTCTTTAGCAGCCTGCAAATCGCCAGTGCAGGACCCTCTGGCACTGTCGGTTTTGGTGGGGCATCACTAAGTGGAAGCAAGGCTGTCTTTTCCTTTGGAAGCCAGCAGACCAGTGACACTGCGCTATCACCCACCCCCCCAGTGACGACACCAGCCGTTCCCCTCCCTGCATCGTTCCCTACCTTGTCCTTCAGTGACCTCCTGAACTCAGTGCCCGCACCCTCCCTGCCCGTGTCCTCTGGGAAGAGCACAGAGGAGGCCATATCATCAGCCCCTCCTGAGAAGCCGGGCAGCAGTGAGGGCTCCACATCCACAGTTGCACTTCCTGTGCAGCCGCAGGCCACCCAGCCCCCCCAGGCTCCCCTGCAGACCTCTGACCCCGTGAAGAAGGAGCCCATTCTTGTGCAGCCTGCAGCCAGCAGCCCCAGCCCTGCAGCACCTAGTGCCAGTCTCCCAGGACCTCCTTCAGAGGCCGCTCCCACAGCCCCTGGGGTCCTTGATGTCAAGGAGGAGACAGCATCTCCTGCTCCCATCTTCACAGCACCCGGACAGGCTGCTGTCACAGCCGCCACAGCCCCAAGCATGGGCTCTGCAGCCGTGGACGCTGCTCCGACCTCCAGCCCTGCTTGCAGCAGTGCTCCTGGCCCCACTGCAGATACGGCAGTGTTTGGGACTGTCACCTCTGGCTCCTCTGTCTTTACTCAGCCACCTGCCGCCAGCGCCAGCTCAGCATTCAGCCAGCTCACGAGCAACACAGCTACGGCCCCCTCCAGCACCCCTGTGTTTGGACAGGCGGTGCCCAGCACAGCATCAAGTTTGTTTGGGCAGCAGACAGGCAGCACAGCCAGCACAGCCACCGTGGGACCACAGGTCAGCAGCTCAGGCTTCAGCAGCCCAGCCTTCGGTGCTTCAGGCCCGGCTGTCTTCGGCCAGACAGCATTTGGGCAGGCCCCAGCCTTCGGCCAGGCAACCAGCACCCCCGTAAGCAGCTTCTCCTTCAGCCAGCCCGGGTTCAGCTCTGTACCTGCCTTTGGCCAGCCTTCTGCCTCTGCCCCTGTGTCCACAAGCGGCAGCGTCTTTGGGGCCTCATCGAGCACCAGCAGCGCCATCTCCTTCTCTTTCGGACAGTCCTCTGCCGGCACCGGGGCAGGGCTGTTTGGCCAGAACAACCCTCCTGCCTTTGGCCAGAGCCCTGGCTTCGGGCAGAGTGGCTCCATGTTCGGGGGTGCCGCAGCCACCACCTCTACAGCCACGCCTTCAGGCTTTAGCTTTAGTCAAGCTTCAGGTAAGAATGCATGGACACCTTTGCTCTGTTCCTCTCTGCTCTTGGAAACATTTGCAGGAAACTTGTGTTGCTTTTGCAATTAAAGCAAAAAGCAACAAAAACTAACCTGTAAGAGGAGGAAAATGTGCGGCCTTAGGGACGTCTTTGGCCTTGTTGGCTCCGCCACCTCAGCAAGCTCTCTGCTCTGCCCGCTGCCCAGTGCCAGCACCACGGGGCAAACCAAGGCATCTTTAGCTGAGGTCGGGAGGGCCACTGGCACGTGCCCAGCAGGCACTGTGTCCATAGCCATGGAGCTTCCAGGAACCTGATCTCAGGGAGCTGGGGAGAAGCTGCTGGCCTTTTATTCTCTGTGCTGCCATCTCACCTGCTGGCAGATGCCTGATATGTGGGGAGTTGGCTCTTTTTCTGTTTTCCAGTGTTGTGATTTAGAACAACAACTTAAATTTTACTAATACTTTTGAAAGAAAAAACTTGATGGTCCACCTTTGAATCTTCAATTTTAACAGCTGCTTTTACTTCTAAAAGCTACCAATGAGAAGATCAATTTGAAAATCTTTTCTAGTAGTGGCGTTCTAACGAGTCTGTTAGGAAAGGGACTGGCTACTTGTTAGGCTCCAGGGGAAAACAAAGATCAGTGATTTGGTGGGCAAGGTTACGAATAGTTGCTAATTAATTTCTTCAGTGATGTATTTGAAAATGGCTCGTATTTTATTGGAAAGGAAATGCTTTCCTTTCCCCAGATGTTGTAATCCTACTGTAAGGTCACAGTGGCGAAAAGAGAAACACTCCAGGATCCTCTTGAGGCCTTGATTGAGTAAAAGAAACGTGGCAGGTAGGGAGAAGTCTTTGAGCTCCAGGTTCTGTGCTGGCCGTATCTGCTCTGCAGCCAGAACTTGAGGAGCATCCTCAAGCCAGTTCATCATTCTCAGAACCCCAGAGGGACTTCCATTTAGTACCTGTGCAGAAGCTGCTGGGCCAGCTCCCCGGGCTCGGCAGGGCATTGGGACATACCTGAGATCACCTGCCGCCCAGCTGCAGGAATGAGCCGGAAACGCCTGCCTGCACTCTTTGTCTTGAGCTCCCTCATTATCCTGCGCAGGTGCCCACCTCACCCTGGCCCCTGTCAGCCCGGCATCTCCACTGTGTTCCTCCTACTGGGCAGAGCAGAAGCTGCCCAGAAAGATTCTGGTGTTTGAGATGCAGGGGAAACCAGGGGCTGAGAATTCTGTGTGACCAAGAGCCTGGGAGGAGCCGCTCTGAGTGTACCAGCTCAGCTCCACCCTCTGGAGGAGAGGAGGACTCAGGCCTGGGGACTGAATCTACAGTGTTAGAAAAAGTTACTGCAGTCGGCCCTGTACCTGCAGGGCTGGCACCACTGAGAAATCCATCCTGAACATGTGTGGACTTGTGTTCTTGTCCTTAGTCCCTAAGCAGTGCAGAGCAGCAGCTGTCGGCATAGCACAGATATTGTGCCAGGTAGTGTAAGTGGCGGGTGCTCGAGAGCCAGTGGGAGTGTCGTGTAGCATCTACGGAAGAACAGTCTACGCCCTTCCGTGCCCAGGTTGGAGCCACCTCAGATGTGGTGCTCCGCTCTTGTATACACACAGCTTTCTCCGTCTCCTACATGGGGGCACAGCTTTGCTCATACGCAACTTACTGTGGAGTAACTGCACCCCTGGGTGCCATTTTTAAGCAGAGAGAAGGCTCATCCAAGTTGAACTCCTGTCTTCCTCTGTTCTCTAGGCTTTGGATCTAGTAACACCGGTTCTGTGTTTGGTCAGGCAGCCAGTGCTGGCGGAACCATCTTTGGCCAGGTAAATCTGCATGTTTGTCTCTGTCTGTGTCCACATCAGCCCGTTTCCCCCGGTGTCACATCATTACTTGGTGCTGTGTGTCCAAGCCCAGCAACCTCCTCAGCCGCCCCAAAGACACAGAGTGGCCACCTCGGTTCAGAGAGAACCGGAGGACTGTCCTGACACTTTTGTGGCAGACCTCTGGGAACGTCCTTGCCTGTCCTGTTTTCCCTTTGCCTGTTTTCTCAGGCCAGCAGCTGCCATACTAAATCCTTAGGCCTTGTTTTATTTAAAGTTCTTGAAAAAGAAAAGGAAGCAGAGAGTGCAGCGGAGAGCACGTGCGTACATGTGGCACCTCGCTGAACTCTCCAGGTCAGGCTCCCGCTGGCAGGCTGAGCCGCTCCACTCCACTTCATGCAGCCCGTGGGCACCTGTGTGCCAGCTACACAGAGATGACAGCACCCTTCTGCCAGAGGGGTTGGTGGAATGGCAGGCACAGTGTGTCTCTCGCACGCCTTCACTAGATTTTCTTCTCAGCTCCTGTTTCCTTTGGTGGCTCCACCCTACTAGGTGATCTCTAAAAGACGGAAGTGAAACCTTTGGCTCCCAGTTCCTGGTGAGGGGAGCCTGGGTCCTTCAAAGCTAGTTGTCTGCCAAAGACAGCAAAAACCACTAGGTGAAACATGGACAGCCCTGATAAGCCAGGAGGTATTCTACCAAGCCAAAGTGAACGGAAGATGGGAGCCTGGGAGAAAGGGTAGCACAGTCCTGCCTTCAGGACCTTTACTGACATGAGAAAATCTGAGTTTTTGTATTTAATAGCCCCAAGAACAGAGGGACAAGACCACTAAAATGTGCAGCAAGTGAGAAATCCAAAGGAGAGACTTCCCGTAGTGAGCTGGGACTCGACTCACAGGGCTGGGCCCCTGCGTGTGGCCTCGCGTGGTCCCGGGGCACTGGTCCCTGCAGCACAGCCCCCTGGAAAGCAAAGGGACTTTTCCCAGGCCACATGTCATTCTTACAGCTGATCGTTAAAACCTCAGTTCCCACACTTCCGTTTCTATACCCACGCAGGGAAATGGACCTGTGAGCACAAGCCAGAATAAAACTCAGAAGTACACCCGCAGAACACTGTGGCTTACATGCTGATAGAAATAAAAGACAAACTTGAAAATGCCAATTAGGATTAGGAAATCACAAAGTGGTGTAGCAGCTTTGAAAAAAAAATCAAGTATCACAGCTAGGAAAAAAGTTAATGGGCCGGGGATTTAGCTCAGTGATTCCGCCACCTGCCTCGCAAGCGCAAGGTCCCAAGTTCGATCCCCGGTACCAAAAAAAAAAAAGCTAATAATTTAAAACTTCAGACTGAAGGTGTCATGGATGTGTTGTAAGGGCAGTCGAGACCTGGCTGAGCAGAGCAAGTGCAGCAAGCCGTGAGGGCTGTGTGTCCGGCACAAGAGCAGTCACGCAGCTGACAGCGAAAAGGCCTGGGTTTGTGCCAGTGAAGCGTTATTTACAAACGGATTTAGTCCCTGAACTTTGCTGACCCTTGAATTAGAAGTTAGGTTATCTGATGTGCATGATGGAGAGCAAAAAGCACAGAAAATAAAACAGAACAGAAATCCTCTAAGAGAAAATCTGACACATATTTAACCAGTGTTCAGTAGAAGAAGAAGAGAATGTGGTAGCACTATTAGAAGAGAAAAAGACAAATTTTCAAACCAAAGATAAAACTAACCCATAGATTCAGAAGACCAACAGCTGCCAAACAGCACAGACAAACAAAAGGAAAATTTTACCCCACCAAAGTTATGGTTTTCTTAGTTTTAGGGTAAAACAAGCTGTGCATTAGGAAAATTGTAGCCTACCTAACCAGCAGAGTAATTGTATTCAAAATATGTAAAGAATCCTACATATCAAAAAGAGGAAGGGACCTACACCTACACCAAAATGGTTAACGATAAAAGGGCAGACAGCACCATGGAATGGGGAATCTGGAAACTCATGTCGCACGTTAGTTCCCCTGACGTCCTTGGGAAGCCATCCAGCAGTCTCAAAACTGAGTATACACAGAAATGAGTGCCTCTCTTCACCAAAAGATACGGAAACAGTGCTCATAGCAATGTACTCGTAACAGCTAAAATAGGAAACAACCTAAATCTTTGTAAGATGAATGTACAAATAAAGAGTGCCATGTTCACATAGCAAAAAACACAAGGCAAGGAAGTAAAACGTGCTGCTCCTGTTCAGAACCCAGTGGAGGAATCCTCCATACTTAGTATCGGATGAACGGAGCCTGCCGCCAAAGCACTAGCTGTGGAGTCCTTACTGCTTTTCCCCTCAGGGCAGGGAAGCGCCGGGCCTGCGGGAGCCTTGTGTGGCCCTGAGAGCCCTGAGAACGTTGGGTAGCTTGGGCACTGAACCACATGGCACACAGTTGGAACCCCATGGCAGGATCCGTCGGCCCCCGGTTTATTACATTTATTACATAATAGGATGAAAACAGGCAGAGACAATTCCTAACAACACTATGTGTGTCATTGCACTGAATTGTGTACTTAAAATAGCTGAAGTGGTAATTTAGGGTTGTATATATTTTACCACAATAAAAAAATAGAGTAAGAAAACATTTAAATAGAGGATAGGCAGAGGATCAATAAATGTGAAGATGTTCAGCGTCATGAGTGATGTAAATTAAAGCTCCAAGGAGTACGTACATGTGTTTCACCACCTCGGAGAAGTTTGGTATCATCCAGTGAGAACCAGTTTCACTCTTAAGTTCTTTCAGGTATGGATGTACCAGGGTGTGTAGGTATTCATAGCAACATTGTTACAGTAGCCTAAAAGTGGAACCAACCCAAACGTTTATCAGCATTCAAGTGGGTAGATGAACTGGGTAGATGAACTTGTGTTATTCTGTAATGACGCTGAATGTTACCTAACAGGATAACATTAGGCCAAAGAGATTAAAAGTTACTACTGTGATAAATCCCATGTTGTTATCCTCCCTCCTTATTCTCCCTGCGTAGAAATTAGGTTTGTAATTTGAGGGACTAAATATTCAAACTAAAATATTTTTTATGAGGACAAGGACCCTTTCTCTTCATTGTCACGTCCCTGGTGCTTGGACTGTGACTGGCGGCAGGATAGACAGTCCTCAGAAAGCCCGACTGGCTTGGGGCCACTCCGGCCAGCAGTGGCGCACTGGGGAAACTGTGCTTGGGAGATCACAAGTTCAAAGCCAGCCCAAGCACCCTAGTGAGACCCTGTCTTAAAATTTTTTAAATGGTGGGATGTAGATCAGTGATAGAGCACTTGGCCAACATGTGTGAAGCCCACAGTTCAATCCCCAGCACCACAAGGAACAGGAAAGAAAAGCTTTGCTCCCAGTTAAATACCAAGAAAAGTGAGTATTGGAATTGTCCAGTGCTGTGTAACGTTCCATTGAGACCCTCGCAGCCCACAGAAGCTGTTTATTAGAGTCTGCAGTTCAGGGATGTGGGGGGCGGGGGGGGCTCATCTCTGTCCCCAGTAGTCTACTCCCAGCTGGGAGAACGGAGACTGGGAGCGAGCCCATCCCGGGGCCCTTGACCTGCACCCGCTGCTGTGGCCTGGCCCTTCTTCCCACAGTGCGGCTGCATTCCAGAGGAACATTCCGAGGGAGGCCTGAGCCCAGGCTGTGTAACCTCTGTAGCCGTCCCCCAAGTCCTTGCCCAGACTGTCAGGAGGAGGGGTCGAGCAGAGCAGGAGGATGAAAATTATTGCTGCACCACCTTTGGAAAACACTGCATGTCCTGTGGGACTATTGTAGAGCAGCGGAGACCCTTCCCAAACTGTATTTTGGAAAACGGAGCCCTGGCAGGGAGCAGCAGTAGAGCAGCTTCAGGAGCGAATGAATGCCAGTTCTGGGCTTGGCCAGGTGGAAGAGAGGCCTTGCCAAAGATTGAGACCCTCTGGCTGGATGGGAAGCTATCAGCAGCAGGGAGGCAAGCAAGAGGAAGGATGGTACGGTAAGCACAAGAAGAGGTGGTCCATAGCAGCGGGGCACGGTGGCACATGACTAATCCCAGCCCTTGGAGAGGCTGAGACAGGAAGATCTCAAGTTCCAGCCCAGCCTGGGCAGCTGAGAGACTTAGTAGGACCCTGTTGCAACATAAAAAATGAAGGGCTCAAGATGTAGTATGGTACAGCAACTGCCACCACCAAAAAAAGAATCAGAGCATTAAACATTAGGGAAATGAACACCAAGCCACTGTGAGATAACCCCCTCACGGCAAAAATAGCAAGTGCCGGTGAGGGTATGAAGAAATGGGAGCCCCTGCCTGCGGGTGGGAGTGTACAGTTGTGCAGCCAACAGGGAATGCAGTTTGGGGCTTTCTCAGAGCCCTGAACATAGCGCTCTTGCCATGTGGCCCAGTGACTCTACTGACTGTACCCAAAGGAATAAAAAAAGGGTCCAGCAGAGACCTGTTTGGCAGAGTCGGCCATAGCATTATCCACAGCAGTGGAGGAGTGGAGCCAGCACACCTGTCTCCCACAGACCAACGGATAAACAGATGTGATGTGTACCGTGTGGGCTATTACACAGCCAGGAAAAGGATTCCAAAGCATGCTACGTGTGCGCGGACCTTGAAAACTGTGCCGAGTGAGATGAGCGGGATGCAGAAGGGGAACAGCGAATGGCTCTGTGGGCCGCACTGTCTGGGACACATAAGTTCATTGGGACAAAGTAGACCTGTGTTCACCAGCGACTGAAAGGGGAGGAATTGGGGAGTTCTTACTCGACAGTTGCAGAATTTCACTTTGGCGTGATGAAAATGTTTTGGAAATAGATAGTGGGGATGGCTGCACGACACTGTGAATGCAGTTAATGCCACTGGATTGAACACTCCAAGATGGTTAAAATGGAAAATTCCATATCACATGTATTTTACTGTAATTTTTAGAAATTGATATACTAAAAGCCATTGAGTTTCATACTTTAAATCAGTGTGTTGTGTGTACGTGAATTATATCATTGATCAGAAAATAATCAGCTTGCTGGGCATGGAGGTGCACGCTTGTTATCCCAGCACTGAGGAGGCTGAGGCCAGCATGGGCTAGTGAGTGAACTATATACCGAGACCCTCGTCTCAGAAAAACAAAACACAAATCAGATTGGGATCTGAAAGATTTGCACATTCGGCAGGAACTTGCCTGGCATGAACACCGTCCCACCACTCTTTTGCCACTTCCCCGAGGAAGAGGAAGTAAAGGCAGCTGGGAGAGCAGGGAGAGCTTCCGGGGCCTTACATCCTCCTGCCCTCAGCTGTGGGACCCAGCTGCCGCCGCCTTGCCACACGTGCGGCCCTCACCCTCGGGCTAAGCCGCTGAGCTCGCTGCCTTCTGTCCACCCGGTCCCGGCAGTGGAGCAGTGAGTCTGAGCTCCGCCACTTGCTCCACTGGGGAGGAGAAGCCTTAGTGCTCCTCAGGCGCACTGCTCGGTGGAACCCAGGTACCTGTGTTCACACAGATACAGAGAGGGCCATAAAGACAACAGAAGTGGACAGAACCGCAAAGAAGGCCAGGGAACCGGTCCACGGTCAGATTTTTTATGTTTTTTGGGTTTTTTTGGTACCAGGGATCAAACTCAGGTCCTTCTGCCTATGAGGCAGGCGGTGGAACCACTGAGCTAAATCCCCAGCCCACGGTCAGATTTTTTTGTCAGCAAAAAATGACCTGAAGATGATCTGGATGTTGGAACTAGAGACAGAGACTAAAATGACTGGGGATTTATAGGAAAACACTGCAGGAACCACCGGACGTGGGATCTCAGCAGAGAAGATGCTGAAAAAGCAATCTCCATCTGTGAAGTTTAAATCTAGTATCTGAAGTGAAAAAGAAAATCATCAGAGAAGTTTAACAGCAGAGTGAGGACCTTAGGAGTACTGAACTTTCTGGGTATTTTTGAGGTCCTCTATAATTTTAAGTATTGCCTATTTCTAGTAAAATGAAAGGATTTCTCTGACCATTGAAGAGGCTTTGGAAACTATCAGTCACCTTCTCTGCGGACAAGTGTGTTGTCATTTCTGACCTCTCTGACAGCCAGTGTTTATCAAATCGAGTTTGTAAACTTAGGCCGAGCCACATGAGTGTGGGTCGTCACGGGGCAAGGCGGCAGTCACTAGACAGCTTCCGGTGTGTCCACTGCCAGACATCAGTTGACAACCTGGCTCTCTGCGCACACGCATTTGTTGTCACAGGGTCCCTCCTTGCAAAAGCAGCTGAACAACTATTACGTCTTTTGCTTTTATGATTGGATTTCTAGGCTTAAAAACCTCTCACTCATCAAGTAGGTGTAGTCAACTATTGTTTTTAAAGAAAAGGAAGCTGTCATGCACCTTCAGTGTAGTGCCATGCACCAAGAGTGAGTTTGCTATATTCAGGGCACGGCAGGGCAGGCCAGTGCCATGGCAGAGCAGGGTGAGGAGACATGCCTGGGAGAGGCAGGGCACTGTGGAGGCCTCACATCATCAGCGGCGGGAGTAGTGCTGTCTGACACCAGCCACTGTTGGATGGGACAGGATGAGGTGAAGCCAGGCACTGCCAAGCCAGTCCCGAGTGACGGATGGGGATTACACAGCTGCTTGGAAGAGTGCAGGTACAGAACGGGCTTGGTCATGCTCTGGTGCTGGGGTCACCACCCTGAGTAGTAGCTTTTCTGAGCACGTGATTGCGCATCTGGTTCTGTTAATTCGCTCAGCATCTGGCGGGGGGTAGTCGGTGACCCCCAGGCCCTGTGACTCCACTGGCCCTTGGCAGGAACACAGCGACCCACTTGGAAAGCCCTCTCCACATTACCATCCATGCGTGGCTTCATGGAAGAGAGTGACCTCCAGGCCTAGTCCAGGGCTGGCCATCCCAAAAGCACCGGTTTCCAGTCCCGCTCTGTGTCCCCATGCGCCCCGAGTTAGCAGCGTGCTTGAGCGCGAGACTTGCAGACTTGGCCAGAATTCAGTGGTGGTCATTATTTCAACAATGGGCTAATTTAAGCTATCTGCGGTGCTGGGAAAGTCATCATGAAATGCGAGCACCCAAATGGAGAGAGATGACAGTGAGTCACTCTCCCGCCATGGCTGATGAGTTCTGCCCAGCGCCAGAGGATATAAGTCGGAATAAGTGGTCCTCACGATGGCGTCTCATGTTCTCAAACTTTATTTGGTGGCTCATGTGTGGGGTTGGTTTCCTGCCCTGGCACTGAGGCAGGCACAGCAGGGAGCATGGCAGATAAACACTGAACATCCCCGCCTCCCACAGACTGAGCCACGGGGTGGGCGGCGGGCTGGCTGGTGGGCGGAAGGACAGGGAGGAAGCCTCTGTCAGGAACGCAGCTCCCCTGGGGCGCTGGCGAGTGCCTTCCAGAGCAGTCAGAGCGCTCTGCTTGCACCAGGCCTGTGGACAGCCGCGAGCCCCTCCTCCTGAGGATGTGGCCTGCCCTCTGACAGTGACCCCTCATCCTCTTCCACTTCCTGCCCTTTTGTTTTTCAGCAGTCATCCACCTCTGGCGGGAGCGTGTTCGGGTCTGGAAACACTGGAAGGGGCGGAGGTTTCTTCAGTGGCCTTGGAGGGAAACCCAGCCAGGATGCAGCCAACAAAAACCCATTCGGCTCGACCAGTGGGGGCTTTGGATCTTCAGCTACCCCAAGTAAGTGACAAGAGTTTCCCCAGCCCCTTGGTCACCTGGTCCCATGGTCATCTTTGTGACGTTATCCAGGCTCTGTGGACAAATATGAAGAGGGAGGCATAAGATCCAGAAGGTCCCTTTGCAATACCTGCCCCAGAGCGGTGTGATGTGGTTTGGCATTGTTTCGCTGTAGGGTTCTTTGTGAGGGGTCCAGTGAAGTCATGGGAAGACACAGGGCTGCGGCACACTGAGCGCTCCCCTCTCCTCCCGAGGCCCAGCTGCTCTGATTGTTAGCGTTGGGACGACTGGAAGCAAATTGGAGCAGAGGGGCAGAAAGGAAGGTGCAGCACACAGCTGTGCGCTTGGAGGGGAGCTCAGGACTCACTGGAGCAGCAGCATCTGAATCTGCTGTGAGACCCAGCTGCGTAGAATTGAGGCCTTAGTGTTTCTCTTCGCTTATGTTTCTGTTTTCCTCACATCTGAAGCTGTTATCTGGTAGCACTTCTCCAGCTCATTTTTGAGATTCTTTGTTGAGTATTCATGATTGGAAATGAAAGAAATCTGTTGAAATCTTTAAATATATTTTTTGAAGATATGTCTGTGCTGCGGATGGTGCTGAGCTTGGAAGGTGGACGCCCGTCATCATCTTCATCACAGTTTCTCCCTTCCCCACCCAGCCGTGGCGCTGCCCATTGATTGCGCCATATGAGATGGAATCTACTGTGCGCAGGGTTCCCTCGTCGTGGTGGGCTTTCCCTAATAGTAAGGCCTCCGCAGTTAGAAGCAGGACTTTCTACCCTTATTTACTCTTCCGGAGTCATAGGTTAAGAGTGAATTGTTTCGATGTCCCTGTCCACCCCAGTAGGACATAAAGAAAGATTGCATGTCAGAGGTCACACACCTCTCCACTGGTGCAGTTACGGAACCAGAAACTGGTTCCTCAGCTCCCCGCTGGCCAGCAGGGATTTAGACAGTGGAATGAAGGCATCTGAGAAATCAAGTCTAATAGTTTTCAAAAACTGTTTCTACAGGTAAACTCTTGGGCAGAATCCTGATAAGTCAAACAAAAGTAGATTCATGTGGAAGCAGGGGTCGAGAGCCCTGAGACCCGTGTGGGTAGTTTCCCTGCAGTCATGTAGCATGGTAGGCTATGGCATGTACTTTGACAGGGCGTCCTCCTGAATCAGAGCCAGGAAGTGGCAGACCCAGAACTAGGCTACATCAGATGTGACACACCAGCCAGCATCTGCCACAGAGCGAGCGCTTGATAACATGCTCCTCAGTAGTGGGGCTGCCCCAGTGTCGGTATTATCTTTGTGTCTTGCTGCTGGCCAGTCCTGCTATTAGCATAAGTGTGTTGTATCCCATACAAACCCTGTCTCCCCTGGCTAGTCCATCTCTGCTGCCCGGCTCTGTCCCATCAGAGTGGCCTCCAAGGGGCCGGCTGCAGCTTGCATGCACCGGCTCCCGCACCCAGCCTTGTAGTCTCCTGAGTCTTTGCAGCAGCAATCGTGTCAGGTGAGCTGAAGTTACACCTGTCCCCAGGCGGGGTCAACGCTTACTGGCCCTTCACTGTCTCTGATACCTCCTGTCTGGTTTCAAGCAAATCCTCATCTGTTCTTTTTGTTGATTTTGGTCCTGGGGATGGAGCCCAGGGCCTTGCACATGCAAGGCAAGCAAGCGCTCTACCACTGAGCTGGATCCCTGGCCCGCTTCTATTTTCTGTTTTGAGACAAGGTCTCACTAAGTTGCCAGGCTGGGCTCAAACTTGGTAGTCCTCCTGCCTCAGCCTTCTGAGTAGCTGGGATTACAGCCACATGTGCCACCATGGACAGCTCCAGCTCCAGGTTGTGTGCTGGGTGCCCTAAATGATCACTGTTCATTAGAAGCCAAAAGTTTACATTTCTGCTTACAGGAAGTATAAGTGAATTCAAAGGGGTAATGACTTTCCATTATTTTATTTAAAGAGTGTAAGGTTTGATAGTGAAAGAATACGAATCTCTTTAAGCCTAGAGCCAACACAGCTAAGGGGAAGGAGAGATGGAGGAGGATGGGGAAGTGAGGGCAGGCCCGATCCTCACCACCGCAGCGGTGCTGCTGCAGTGCCTGGTGCCAGCTGTGTCTGCTTGAGTGGCCGCAGCGCCCATGCCCGTGAGTGCCACTTCTCCTACCTCCTTCCTGCCGTCCTCCTCCACTCTTCCCCGTCTGGCTCCTGACAGTCCGCACTCCCCACACTGCCTCAGGCTCCTCCACTGGTGTCAGCAAATCCATCCCAAATCGCCCGTTAAGACTGCTTTGATTTAGCCGCTGCCCCCACTCAGTGCCCCTTCCTGTCCTGGGCCCCTCCTCATCCTGCGCCGTGCAGGGCTCACCGTGTTCCCACCTCACGGCCTCCCTGCGGGGACAGGTGGAGGCCGCATCTTTGCCTGAGCGCTCGCTTGGGCCAGCAAGCTCCCCCTCCCTGAAAACCCCGCACACTTGCTTCCCTTGTCCTGGAGCATCCCACAGAAGGGAGCAAACCCAGATTCATCTCTGGCTGTGTGCCAGCTTCTTAGTGATCACTTGTTGCAGCGGTGGCTGTCCCCATGTCCAAGAGGGAGTGTGGGCCACAGAGGTCTCAAGGCTGCTAAGAAGCCTCCCCAGGATTTAGACAGGGTCCCTCACTGAGCCCTGACCCTCTTGGTCCTGGTGGTAAAGGGACGCCTCCCAGCTGTGCATGGAACACACGCCTTGCTGGTTGAGCCCCCAGCACAGGTAGGAAACGGGCAGTTTCCTTGGTGACAGTTATGCTCCAAGCTGCCTGGCCTGAGGAGTCCTGGGAGCTATGACTGACTGAGAAGGACAAGCTGAGGGCACCGTTGCTCAAGTCAGCATGTTCTTCCCCCACCCCACTGTGTGCGGGTGTCTGTCTCCGTCGTCCCCAGGACTACCGAAACTCAGCCCCAGCGGTATTGACCCAGCATCCCTGGAACTTGTCACCCAGGGGACCTGCTGCTTTATCACATGCTGTCTCCTCAGGGCCCTGAAAGACGCATTGTGCCAGGGCCGAGGACGCCACTTGTTGACCACCTTTCAGGCCAGCCAGCCTCCCTGCAGCTGTCCCTTAGGAGGGTGTCTTAATCTTAGCCAAAAGGCCAAGAAGCGATTAGGAGGGTGTCTTGAGAGCCCCAAGTCAGTGACTGCAGTCCTGCGGAGACAGAAGCTGTCTCTGGCGCTGTCTACATCAGGTTTGACTGCCCTGTGTGTCTGAGACCCAACCAGCCCCAGTGGAGGTTGTCTTGAGGTTTGCAGACAAAAGACCGGAGCATCCGAGTCGGGGCCCAGGGCAGATGCCAGTTCTACTGTACTCGTCAGCCCCGAGGTGCCGGGCTGTGAGGACTTCCGAGCTGAGATGCTAGCTGCCAGGGTGCTCTCTTACATGTCATATTTGTAGAGGGCAGAGGCTGCTGTTTCGCCTCCACAGGAAGAACCAAACACTGGACCATGGAAATGGCGAGCAGGGCCCTGGCCCACCCAGCCTCAGAGCAGCTAGAATGAGCGGCAGGCTGCAGCCCTGGCAGCATCAGTGGGTGACCCTTGGAGCTGTAGTTTCTTATGGCCAACCTGTTCTGTGTTTTACACTGAACAAGACTGAGATGTGGGAGGAGGAGGAGCCGAGGGACCTGATAGGGAGCGGCCCTTTAGCCTCTGCCCCTGTCAGCAGGTGCTCTGCATTCGTTATCCCTGCATCTGCCAGCGGCCTCGTGGGCACAAGTGCTGTCCGTGCTGTGTCAGGAGACTGGGACACAGGAAGATTAAGTCCTTCCCAAGGTCACGCAGCTGTTAGGTAACCTAACCCAGGTCAGATTGCTAAGCTCAGTTTTGCTCAGCCACAGTGTGCTCCAGAGACTTTAGAAGACCATGTGTTGGGCCGGGGATTTAGCTCAGTGATTCCGCAGCCTGCCCTGCAAGCACAAGGACACGAGTTCAATCCCCGGTACCACCACCACCCCCCCAAAAAAAAATATTGTTCTTTTTTTCTTTAACTAATAACATTGTCTGTATTTTGGGTGTTTGGCTACATGGCCACATGGTTTGTGATAGTTAATCTTGCCTGGCTTGAGAGCTGCCTAGGCGATTAGGAAAGCACGCATGAGGGTTGGTGACTTCAGGCGCTTGACCTGGTCCTGGCCCTTCCTCTCACTGCTTTCCCTGTCTCTGACCTCCTGGCCACCCTGAGGTGAGCTGCATTCCTCCACCACGCCCTTCCACCATGCTCCGATCCCAGCTCCCATGGGCTGAACCCCCTGCAACCGTGAACCAGAACAGCCCTTTCTCCTCTGGCTGTGTCTGTCAGGTGTTTTGTCCCAGCAACAGAAAGGCTTCTGATACATTGTGTAATGTTCACAGCAGTGTAAACCTGCCTCCTTAATTTTGAAAATAATCAAAATCCTTTCTTCTAGCTGTAAAAAGACAAGCCCTACAGGCATCCTTTGTCTAGGCCCATCTCTTTGGGCTTCCACTGCATTCAGGGTTTCACAGGACACCCACCCAGGCCCGCTGGGGAATGCATGCGCGTTATCCCTGGCCTCCCGCCCAGATAACGTTAAAGAAAACGCTGGTATATGGTGTGTTGTGTGTATTGTCTGGATGATTTTACATATTATCTGATCTGGTTTGCCTTTCCCCGCAACAAACAAAAGAACTCTCCCGCGTTGGAGTTCTAGTGCCACGGCCCTCGAGGCTGAAGGGTCCACAGAGGTGGGAGATTAAGAAAGACAGAGACAGTGATAAAGCTGGGGCCAGGTGGAAGCCCCTTCTCCTGATGGGATAAAGGGCTAGCTGGCTTCCGCAGCACCTTTATTTATAGAGTAGAGGTAAGGGAAGCGCTGGGGCAGGTAAAGGGGCTGGTCTGTAACCGGAGCCAGGGGAGCAGCCGAGGTCTGCAGGACCTCATGCTTGATGGTTCTCTGGAGAATGGTGGGGAGGAAGACAGTCCTGTTCTCCCCAGGCCTTGCTCCACCGCGCCCTCTGCGCCCTCTGTCGCCTGTTCTTCTCCCCCGGGGCCCTGCCTCATCCTTGGGAGGAAGTGAACAAGATGCGTGTTCCTTGATCCACTGGGGTCCCTGCCTCACCCATAGGAGGAGGCGAGTTAGGCCTGGCCACAGTGACCTACAGCGCTGTGCTCCCAGCCTTCTAGTGATTTCCTTTTTGGGGGCATAGTTGAGGGGATGCAGTGATCTACTACATAAGCATCTGAAAAGTCAAGGGTTTCAAAAGCGAACCTCTTAGAAAGAGGAAGCAAAGCGAAAGCCCCCCTGGCTACCTGTGAATGATGTGATCCATAGATACGGTGAGTGTGTAGTGGTTGTAGGCTTTTTTTAATTACAGTAAGCACACATGCATGCATGCACACACTTCCAAGGATCCCCCTCAAATCCTCCCCTTGCTTTAACCACACTCATCCCATCACCCCTGCCACTTTCTGCAGCAGCTCTGGAGCCCTCTTTCCTGAGGGTCGTTAGTTGCGCTGTTGTGGCTGCCTCAGTGTCTGAGTCAGTTCAGAATGTTTCCCTTTCATGGTCACTTTGACTTTGGGAAGAGCCAGAAGTCACATGTGCCAGGTCTGGTGAATAAGGGGGATGGGGACACAGCGTCACATTTCACAAGCCTGCCTTCCCGTTGGGCGGCCCTCGGCTGCAGCATTCACTGCATTTTTAATCACATCTCCAAAAGACAAAAAAGGCCTGCAGGACTGCTACAGAAAGTGGCAGGAACAGTGGGAGGAGCGTGTTCAAAGTGAAGGGATTTGCGGAATGGGTTTTAATGAAGGATGGTTCTTCAACTTGAACATGCACTATGTATTCTGGCCACCCCTGTGCGTTCCACCAAGCGGCCCTCGCCCCCGTCAGAGCAGAGGTAGGAGCCGGGCCTCCTATATTGGCGCCACTCTGCAACTCTGACAGTAGCAGGCAAGTGATAGGCACCATGTGGGCTGCTTTGCTCTGACCTTGCTTCCCCCAGCCTGGCGGCGCCTGAGGCTGCTCTTCACACAGAAACTGCAGGCATTTTCTCCAGGAGCTGAGTCGCCGAGAAATCTGAGAGACCCAGGGTTTCTCCCACGGGGCAGCACCACGCCTGGAAGTCCTGTGCCCGGGTGCCACCGTGCTGACGGGCCCGGGGTCAGGGTGTGCACAGACGAGGGGGGCTCCCACATCCTGGGCTGCCTCGCACCCCATCTCCCAACACCCAGCTGCTGGGGAGCAAGGCGAGCCTGCTCCCACTGAACTCTTCACACGGGTTTTTATCCCTCCAGACACCTCTAACCTGTTTGGAAACAGTGGGGCCAAGAGCTTCGGAGGATTTGCCAGTTCATCCTTTGGGGAGCAGAAGCCTGCCGGCACTTTCAGCTCTGGAGGAGGAAGTGTGGCATCCCAAGGCTTCGGGTTTTCTGCACCTAGTAAAACAGGTACCCACACTGTTCCTATCGCTACCTTCGGATGTGCTTGCTCTCTCAGCCATCTGGGAGGAGGCAGCCTGGGGTGGTCCTGTCCAGGGGGTGGGATTGGCTGTGGAAGACCTACTCTGTTCTCAAGCGTGCTGTTACATTTACTGAGCATCTACTACACTCCTAACACTTTGCCAGGTCTTCTGACACACGCTACAAAGGACAGAGTGCATGAAATGCAGCCCCTAAGACAGAATTTGCTAGGGAAGAAATGCAGAACAACCAAAGTCAGAGAACAGTAACAAAAAGAAAGGCGAACACATCCTGAGCTTCAGATTTGTTTGGATGGTCATTAATTTCTTATGTCTGTATTATTTGGGCACCTTTCCCAAGTGCTTCTTTCGGGAGTGACTTTTGAGTGCAGCATATGTATACATGTGGTTGTACACACACTATTCACATACTGTAGCTATACAGCCCAACTAATTTTCACAATTTTCGTATCTCCAGAGCTGTAGTTTATGCCAGTGTTACTTTTAAGGACGCATGTATAAGGTGTGTGTTTTTCTGCAAGTCCTGTGTCCTGTACTTACAGCTGTATGTCTCCAGGAGCAGTCTGCATAGATACAAGAGCAGGTTCATTCTCGGATGCCCGGCTTTGTGCCTGGGTCTGAGTCAGGTCTGCACTGCAGCCCTGCTGGTGGAATCTCGTGCTGAGACTTGTGAGGGCTGGGGCACTGACTGCAGAGAAAGCAGCTCTGTGGGACACTTGGCAGACAGCTGCTCCCCAGGGGCCTGACCTGTTCAGCCGTGACCCAGGAGTGGCGAGCCTGCGGGCTCCCTGCCAGAACCGCCCATGCCCTGGCATCCATGTGCCCCAGGCCTCAGTGAGGACCTGTGGCTGAGTGGCCTGGTCTTAGGTTTCCAGCTCCTAATTCTCTTTCCTTGAGCTTAAAATGGCTCAAGAGGGATAGTGCAGCTTCATCATAGCTTCCCACACACACACCGTGATTTAAAAATGAAAGGGCAGGGCCGAGGATTCAGCTCAGTGGTGCCAAAACCTGCCTCGCAAGCACAAGGTCCCGAGTTCGATCCCTGGTACCAAAAAAACCAGAAGGGCCACAAGGCTTTTAGTCCTACTTAAAAAGCCAAGTGTGAACATTTGACTGAGAAATTGTAGGTCATTAGCCGTCAGGACCTGACGGAATTTTCTCTGCCTCTTCTGTGGTTCTGAAGTGTGGCTCCTCATCCTGGACCCGGGCATGTCCCAGCTGACCTGGGAACCTAATGCTTTTAGTTTTTCACTCTTGGAGAAATCCTGTCTCCCTGCCTGTCAGAATGTTCTTCCAGTGTGATGCCGTCCCCTCGATGAGGGCTCTGGCAGAAAGAACTGCCTGTCAGACCCTGGAGATGGGTGAAGAGCCCAGAACCGTGCACTGAGGTGGGAGCCCACGCCCGGATGCAGGAGCATGGCGGGGTCTGCTGCAGGCTGGGCAGCCTTGTGCGTGCGAGGCCTGGGGCCGGCCCAGCACCAGAGCAGACGCTGCTAGAGTTGAGCAGGAGCTCAGCCTCCTGCTCAGGCGGTGCAGGTGCCGGAAGCAGCAGGATCGGCCCTGGTGGCTAAGAGTCTCAGGGCTCTGCAGCTGGGACTGCTCTCTGAAGGGTCACGCTCCCTTCAGGGAGACAAGGCAGGCAGAGCATGGCCTGGCAGCCGGCCCAGCCCCAAATCTTCACCCCTGCTTTGTCCCAGGCTGTGGATGGAGGCAGGGCGGGGACAGAGAGGCCAGGGGTGGCTTATGTGTCACACAGACCCGCTCCAGCCCCTCTCCTACTTAGCGTCTGGCCAGAAATAGACAGGGCCTGAGAAGGGGATTAGAGGGAAGTGTCAGGAAGCAGCTCGCACCACCTCCTCCTCGGGCAGTGAGCAGAAATGTTATTAGCTAGGCATGGTGCCACGGCCTGTAATTCTAGCTCTCAAGAGGCTGAGGCAGGAGGATCGCTGGGAGTTCAAGACTAGCCTGAACTGTTATAATGAGACCCTATCTCAAAAAACAAACACGTTGTCATTTCAGATTATTGGTAAATTTGTTTCTCCTGCAGAAAGAAATCATAGAGATATAACAGCTAATAAAACCAAACTCCTCCTTGCAGTGGGAGCAAGTGCCTGGCTCTGCATGTAAGAGCAGGGGGCTGTCCTGCCCACGCCCCCTGCTGTGTGGCCCGGATGTGTCCTTCTGAGCATTTTCTGGGTGCACACGAGTGTGGCTTTGATCCCCTCTCTCCCGCTCCGTTTACTCTCTATCGCTGCGACTTCTCATTTTTCACTCCCTTCCACCAAGAAGGCCAAACAATAATGAGCACAAGCACTAGGTGAAGCGCTTCATCTCTAAGAAGAAAGCGTAACGGGAGCCACCATCAGTCTTCAATAATTCAGTTGCGGGGTTTTTAGCACTTTCTTTCCAGCCTGTTATATTTGTGACCCACCGGGCTCCGTTACCATGGCTTAGAATTTCACTCACGGCGTTGGAATGCAGTGTCTAACCCAGATACACGCCTCAGGTGTGCAAGCACTAGTAAAGCTCATGGCCAGGTGATTGAATCCCAAATGAACTTTCCGTGCCCACCTGTGACCTGTCCTGGTCGGGTAGCAGAAGCCTGCGGTGAGGTGATGTTGTAACACGAAGGCAGGTTCCTCCCTCTGACCACAGATTCTGTTTCGGAAGGAGGAGGATGGTGTTGCTGCCTCCTCAGCTGATCTTCCCCTGGGGTCACTGGGCCACTGTGACGCCCTTGGCATGTGGCTTGCAGGCCCACCCTCGCCTTAGGGGTGCTCCTTCCTCAGGGGGACCCTCTCCCGCCATCCCATGGGCCTCACTCCTTCTCCGTGGCCCTGGCAGTGGCAGTGGCTGAAGCCCCTGGAGCTCAGGCACCTTCCCAGTTGACACTAAGTTACTGGATTTCCACCTCAGACCTCCTTCACAGGAGCAGGTCAGCACTGCTTACTGAGGAGTGGAGCAGCCCGGACTGGCTCAGAGCTGGCCTCTGAACCAGGGCCCTGTGCCTGGAGTGGGGGGCGCCGGTGTGGACGTGCAGCCCCGAGGCTGTAAATAAGTAAACGGCCCTGGCCAGGCTCCCGAGCACTGCAGCTGGCCCTGCTGTGACCTAGTTTTCAGTCCCCTCCGAGAGGGGCTCAGAGCCCCAAGTTCTCTAACTCGGGTTTCCGGGTTTCGGCATGGCAATTAATAACAACACTGGGAGGGAGCTGCAGCTGGGTGCCACTGCCCAGGGAGAAGTGTGGGGCTGGCAGGGCCTTGAGACACCCTGGGCTGACCCGGCCAGCGTCTGGAAAACGTGGGGAGCCCCAGACCCCCCTGATGCTAATGGGGCGCTGGCTTGTTTTGGGGGTGGTTTGTGTTAATGAGCATCTTGTGGCAGTAGCTGTGTTGGCCTTGCCTGGAGCTGTGTGTGAATTTCTAACGTTCTGTTTTCCCTTCTCTCCTTCCTCTTTTGATTTGGTTTCTCACTGCTCAATGTCTCTCCTGTCTCCCCCTTCCTCCCTCCCCATTTCTGTTTGTTTGCCTCTGTTTTGCTCAGGTGGCTTCGGTGCTGCTCCAGTGTTTGGCAGCCCTCCTACTTTTGGGGGATCCCCTGGGTTTGGAGGGGTGCCAGCATTCGGTTCAGCCCCAGCCTTTACAAGCCCTCTGGGCTCGACGGGAGGCAAAGTGTTCGGAGAGGGCACTGCAGCTGCCAGCGCGGGAGGATTCGGGTAAGCCCCCGGGGTGGAGGGACCAGAGCCACCCCCGTGTCCCCTTCCACGGCCACAACGCAGGCCTCAGTCCCATGGCCCAGGCTGGCTCTCCTGAGGCACAGTGGGGCCGTCAAGGTTTCCATCTGCTGCCAAAACCCCAAGGAAAACAGCCTTTGCCGCACCACAAGGCCCCAGCAGAGTGTCTGTGCTGGGTGCACTGTCCTCTGTCTGCAGATGCCAGGCTCAGCAGTGCTGGGCTTGGGACAGACAGAGCTAGAGGGGCTTCGGTGGGCTGCAAGTCTTGAGCGAGCCAGCTAGTTAGTTAGTGAGTTGAAACTGGCTGTTTTCCTTACTACCTGAGAAGCATCCGCCTGCGTGGCTGTCCCATGAGAATCCTGGCGGCTGGCAGGGCTTGAGGAGGGCAGGAGCCCTGGAGAGCCAAGAGCTGGCCTGGCTGTGCTGTGAGCAAAAGAACCCTCGCCTCACCATTGAGAGGAAGTAGAATCATCAGACTCACCCGCACATACCTGCAGTCCCGGCTGCTTGGAGGCTAAAGCTGGAGGAGTCCTTGAGCCTAGGAGTTTGAGGCCAGCATGGGCAACATAGTGAGACCCTGACTCTCAGAGACAGACAGGAAGACAGGCTCGGGTACCAGAGAGGAGCTATAGACAGTGATGGAGGGAGACGCTCAGTAGGTGAGAAGTGTCAAGCACTGGCCTGCACTGAGGGCCTGATTGGTGGAGGGAGAGAACAGGAAGTACAGTGTCACCTGGCTCCCAGCAACCCGCAGTCTCCAGATGGTGGATGGAAACTTGGCCCTGGCCAGGGTGTTGTTCGTGCCTTATGCTTGTTATGTCCCTTCCTGAAGCCCAGAGGAAGGTTTGCTCGGGGCCGGAGACAGCTCTGTCACCTTCAATCATGAGCATTGTGCAGTCCAGGCTGATGACAGTGGACAGAGGTGGGCCTGCAGCAAGCCACCTGGCCCTGGTCCCTTTGGACCTCGAGGCCACCTAATCATGGTCCCTTTCTACCTGGAACCCAGGTTCGGAAGCAGTAGCAACACCACATCCTTCGGCACCCTGGCCAGTCAGAATGCTCCTACTTTCGGGTCCCTGTCCCAGCAGAACTCCAGTTTTGGGACCCAGAGTGGCGGCTTCTCTGGTTTCGGACCCAGCACAGGAGGTAGGTGCTCAGGTTCAGCACGGTGGTCCCCGCTGTCTCTTAGTACACGCTGGCTCCCCCACCAGAGTGATGAGTGAGGTCCTATGACTGCTTGGCTGGGTGTTCGAAACCTGGGAGTAAAATGTCCTTAGGTTTTTGTTTCGGGGGGTTTTTTTGGTACCGGGGATTGAACTTGACCTTGCACTTGCAAGGCAGGTGGCGGAACCACTGAGCTAAATCTCCGGCCTCCTTAGGTCTTAATTAGACCTGCATTATTGTACCATTTCTGACCACGTAAAAAAATTACTGACCTAGTCTTTTCTCTGGATTGGAAAGCTCCAGGAAATGAGAGCCTTGGGGCTTGAAAAGCCAAGCCCATAGCCTCAGGGACAGCACAGAAGCCTGGTACATTGTCTTGATGTGAGTGGCGCTCTGCTGCTCCTGGGGCAAAGTCTGCCCTGTTCAGGCCTCTCCACAAGCTCAGAAGGCGCAGCTCTTAGGTGGTCACGGTGCACAGGCAGACAGCCGGCCTGGGGACCCCACGCCTAGCTCTTGCTTCTCTGGCCCTGGAGGGTGGGGTAGAAAAAGAAAAGCTGAGCTGCGGGTTTCCCTGATGAACGAGCCCTGGGGTGAGAGGGGCCAGCCCAGAGCCCCCGCCACAGCTCGGGTGGGAGCGCTGCACCCCGGGACACGTGGAGGCGCCCCTTGAAGGTTGGAAGAGCGGCGCTCACTCACACCCCACGCGGGTGCTGCACACAGTGGGGCTGCGGGGAGCCTCCCCTGGGGCTGAGTGGGAGGAGGCCCTTGGGAACCCTTGCCTTCCATGCCTGTGCTATAATTCACCTTTCCCTGTGTTTTTCAGCCTTCAGCTTTGGATCCTCTAACTCGTAAGTAGCGTCTCCCATTGGGACCTTGACAAAGCGCTAATCGTGGCCCGGGGCTGGGCTGTGGAGTGTGTGTATGGCCGCTCTCGTCGCTTTCCCTGTTGCACAAGTTTGTCCTAGAAGCTCTGCAGCACGTGTTGGGTTTGGGGGCCCCGCAGGAAGTACCAGGCTGTGGTGTGGAGAGGGAGCTCCTAAAAGCCAGCACAAGGCGGTGCCTCTCATCTCCCCCAGTGACGCCCCATCTCCAGGCTCCGCAGCCTCAGAATCCAGGCCCCTTGCCAGGTGCAGGAGCTGACCCGGCTCTCGCTGCCTCAGGTCTGTCCAGGGCTTCGGCGGCTGGAGAAGCTGAGCTGGTGTCATGGTCCCTTCAGTTCCTGCGACCAACTGTGCCTCTCGCCAGAGGACACAGGAGCAGCTGTCAGTGGACTTTGTCACCAAAATGCACCCCCAAGAGGAAACAACGGAGACCAAAACCAGAGATGCCTGGCCACGCATCTTCCTGCCTCATGGCCCGGGTTGGTTTCCCGCTCTTACACTGTTGGTCTGCTTCCGCCCTGAGCTGCTGTGGTGTGTTCAGGCCTCGGAGACGCTCCCACTCCTGTGCTGGTGTCTGGGAGGACCATAGGGGTCACCACCTGGTCTGCATCTGCGTCTCCTCGAGTCTGTGGTCCTGTATGTCAGCCCCGCTCTGCCCGGGGCAAGCCCTGGATGGCATCACAGAGGGTTCAGCGGCAGCAGCATGGTCGGGGTTAGTGTGGCTCCTGTTCAGTGTCCGTGGCCTGGCGGAGGTGGCGGTGTAGAGACAGCTCCATAGCCACTGTGTGAGGGTGACCTTGGGAACCACACCTGGCTGGCCAACTGTGGCCAGGGTGGGGGACCCCGCTGTGCAGACTCCACTGGCAGGACAGTCGGTGACATGGTTCACTCACACAGCCTCGAGAGCCTGGTTGCAGTTTGATTAAAGTTCTGTCTTTCAGGCCTGTGTGTTTTATTCTTAGGCCTGGGAGAGCCTGGAAGTTGCCGGCTGGCAGGCAGTAGGTGTCACTTTGTTATCATCCAACCTGGAATGTGGCCACCTTTGGCCTGGGCCATTAGTGGGGAGGCCAGGAAAGGGACCGTGAGTTAGAGGGCTGTGTATTGGAAGGTTGCATGTTTCCTGTTTTAACAGAAGCTGGATGTGTGGTGTCGGTTCATCCTGGGGTGGTTTGCGTGGCTTGGAGGCCAGGGCAGTGGACGCCCTCCTGCCGCAGAGCTCCTCCTAACATCCCAGCCGCCACCTCCATCCGAGGGCCTCGTCACCAGGACCCACTGGGCTGGATGCTGGCCGAGGTTGCTCGAGCTGGCGCGAGGGGGCTCAGCACCGCCGCCGGCTCCAGAAACCCTTCCTGAGCCACCGTCAGCAGTGCCGGGACCTAGAGCTGTCCCTGGGTCTGCAGGAGGTGTCATGCGCCGTGCTGCCCTTGCCGTTGGCGGAGGGCCCTGCTGGTGAAGAGCTGGGGCCCTCAGAAGGGAAGTCTGTCACCCTTGCTTAGCTCGCAGGGCCGAGCTGGGACAGAGGGGCTTCACTCTTGACGGGCTCGGCTCACCCAGGCCCCGTGTGTGCCGGGAGCCTCCGGGTGGTGAGCACAGGCACCCGCCCAGCCCTCCTCCCCTCCTGTTGCCCCCAAAGACGCCTTTTATAAATAGAAGGTGGCCCGGCCTCATCCTGTGACCTGGCAGTCTCCCCCAGTCCCCCACCCAGGTGCCGGAACAGCTCGGTGAGACCGCGTATCGGCCTCTCTGCAGATAACGCCGCCACTCACTGACAGCCTGGTCAGATGCACCCGAGGAATGCGCGCTGGCGTCAGGGCCCCTCCACATTCCTTTCCTGGGCTGAGCCAGTGGTCAGTGGCAGAGGTCAGCTCAGCACCCTGGTCCCCTGAGCCCAGGATGCCAGGCTGAGGGGCACCAAGGCCCCACTGTGACCACTCCTGGCCTGCTGCATGGTTGTGGGGGCAGCGGCTCACTGCTCCCAGCTCGTGCAGCTGGGGACGGGTGGGAAGGAAAAGGAGCAGGAAGGTGCTGAGCCAAGTCCCGTCGTGTGTGACTTCCAGGCGTCTGTGCCACACATCCAATTTGATGCTCTCCATGGCAGTGCAGCAGGAGGGCCACAGGCGGCTTTCTCGAGGACAGGTGGCACTCAGGAGCCCACACGAGCCCTTGACAGGGGTCGAGGTGCCACTGGCCGGTGGTGTCCAGCTTTGCCTTCCCTGCAGCCCCAGGGAAAGTTTCTGGGTGAGGTCCACGGCACTACAGAGGCCATGGGCCTGTGCCCGGGCGCCCTGAGCCTCCCGGCTGTGCCTGAACAAGGCCTCCAAGTGTCCTGAGGACCTGCCCTCCACAGCGACACAGGATATGACACCTTCATGGCTAGAGATCGGCACTCAGCTCCTGGCAGGGCCAGCCCTGGTGGAGACCCGAGGCTCTGTCCTTGTGGGCCACATCTGTGTCCCTAGGCAGTGTCTAAAGGGCAGAAGCTACTAGGAGGGCAGGAGGCTTTCCTGAAATCTCTGATACGAGAGTTTAAATGTAAGCTTCTCTGGGCACCTGCCCAAAAACAAAACCCTTGGGAGCACACGTGGGCCAAGTCACCTGCTGCTGCTGAGCCCCGTGTGAAGCCCCTGACTAGCAGGCGGGGGAGACGCAGCCATGCCCTGGTCCTGCCTGACTCCCCTTTGCTGGCCTCAGGTCACGGGTGACAGCTCAGTACTCGGAGCAGGAGGCCCCAGGCCCTCCAGGGTCACCCCCAGTCTCTCCTCCCTCCTGGGTTCCCCCTTGGCTCGTCTGGCAGAGCCCTGGCCAGTGCCTGTACACGTGCGCAGCATCTTACATTTCAGCCAGGGTGGGAGCATAGGGCCGGGGGGCGAGGCTGCATCTTCCCCCAGCCTCTCCCTCTATCTTCAGAGCGCTTCCTACCAGAAGTCAGTGTCCACCCCAGCAGAAAGGGCTCTGGGATGGCATTTCACAGGTCTTTTTACTCAGGGGTGGTGTGGGCCTTTGATACGCACCTTGCCCTGTGTGTCAGTAAGATGCCATTTCCCATGTGCTTTTACCCCATACCCTTTTGCCTGGTGACGGAAGTGCCCCTAAAAGGCCTCCCCGTCCGCATGGTGGGATGCACACCGCACACTTCCTGGGAGCTGCGGCTCTGACTCCTGCGTTCCTCTTCTTCACTGGACCACAAGTTGTCTCCTCGGTGTCTGCAATGCGCCTGGGTTGCACTGTGCCGACCGTGGCATACGTAGCGCTCATCTTTCATGGGAGCGTTGAGCCCAAGAGTGGGGAACTTGCCCGTTCACCCAAGGGGTGGTGGCTGGGCCGACACCCACACTGCCTTCCTCTTCCTGTTAGGCCCCTGTTCTTTACCCTGGGGCCCTGAGATTCCTCTGCCCCAAGACATGGGGGCCTGCGTGTGCTGGGGACACTGCTGAGCCCCACCCTAGGGACGGGAGCCAGCCTTGGACCTGGGTCACAGAAGAGACCTGGCTGGTCCAGCTCCTCATCCAGCAGCCTCTGCCATTGTTTGCATTTGTGACCTGAAGGGCAGGGGCCACACAGGTGTGGCTCCAGGGTGGCAGGGGAACAGCTGGCTCCGTCCCTGCAGCTGTCTCATCACCCTTCCTCCCAGCCCCTCCCGAGGGCGGCTTTGAGGCTCTGCCTTGTTCAACCCCTCTGCTTATAAATAGAAGCATCCACTCTGCAGGCCTGGCCGGAGATTCTCCGCATTGTTTTTGGGCCTAGATTCCCAGCTGCAGAGGAAGATGAGGGTTGGGGACAGGAGGCTCAGCAGCGTGTGACAGGTCCGGCCCTTCCCCAGCCCGCACTGAAAGCCTCACCCTCTGTCCCCTTCACCCAGGGCTGCCACACACTCAGGCTCTGCCCAGATGCCCCATCACCCTGTCCCCGGGCTCTCAGGTCTCAGCTTCAAGGTCTGGGCCTCCCCTGACACTTCCGGACCACCTGCTCACTCGCAGGTGTCCTCCTGTCACGTGGCCAGGTTGTTTCGAGGCACACAGCACGATGACGACGTTATTTGTGATCTTAGTTACTTGATTCATTCACCTGCCCTGTCCTCAGCAGTGCCTGTCCTGGCCAGGAGGGTCCGAGGCCCTGTGTCCCCTGTGTCCTGGCAGGAGAGGAGGCCGTGCCCGCCCTTCCCTGAAGCCCCCAATGCCGCCTTGCCCACTTCTCCAGCTGGCCTGGCTGCCAAGCTCTGTCCCTGTTGGAGCTGATGGAAGGGGCTGTGTGCTGACAGGCAGCTCAGTTGTCACCAACGAACATTTTCAGGAGCCGAATCCTCAAATCTGGCTCTGTACTTTCCAATCACTTTCTTCTGTTTTAGTGCAGCTTGGACCCAGCAGAGGGGCAGAACAGCGGCTGTCCCTCAGGCCAGGCCCCGCCCTCTGTCCCTCCCCACCCCACCTACCCTGTCTTCTGTTCTTCCAACCGGCTAAAGACCAGGGGCCCCTTGTCATTCAGAGCCACTCTGGAAGCGGGATAAACACCCCAGACTAAACCCAAGTGGCATCAGTTCTGCCAAGAGGTGTCAGCACCACAGAGGGTGCCAGTGGCAGTCACCACCCAGAAGCACTTATCAGCATGCCCACTGCCTGTGCCGGCCCCTGCCGGCCCCCTGGGTACACAGCAGTGTCATCACAGCACTTGGGAGGCTGAGGCAGGAGGTGCCCAAGGTCAAGCCAAGCTTGGGCAATTTAGATCCTGTCTCCAAAAGTATAAAGGGCTAGAAATGCAGCTCAGTGCAGAAGGCCCTGAGTTCAACCCCCAGCACCACAGTGAGTACCTAAGCAGGTAAAAGCTGATGAGGATGTGGGGGAAAGGAACCTTCCACACTGCCTTACAGGAGTCGGTGCGGCCCCTGTGGAAGTCAGTGCAGAGGCCCCTCACAGATGGAGCGCAACCCTACCATGGGGTCCAGCTGTGCCTCACCCTGGCCCTCACCAGAGGTAAAGCCAGCTGGCTGTGGTGATCCTGCCTGCCCGTACTCACTGGCACAGTCCACGAGAGCCGCCATGTGGGGCCAGCTCATGTGCCCGTCAGCAGGTCACTGGGGTAGTGTGTTAGGTACTTTTCTCTCTTGCTGAGACAAAATACCCAGCACTGAAAGTTAAAGGCGGAAGGATTTATTTGGCTTACAATTCGTAGAGGTTTCAGCCCGAGATCGGCTGGCTCCAAGGCAGGGTGGCAGAAGGGCAACAGTGCATAGACTACTTAGGGCAGGCAGCACTCACACTCAACCCTTGTCCCCTGGGGCCTAGCGTTGCACTACTAACCAGTCACACACTAGATTCAGCCACCCTGAAACAGCCCCACCTCATTCCCATGGGGCCGTAGGGGAACCTGGACACAGCTGTACAGATAGAAGTGGTCTCTGTACACTGCGGAGTACTATTTGCCCATAAGAGGAGCACAGCTTTGTCCCTGCAGGAGGGTGGGCGGATCCAGAGGTAATCATGTTGAGCAGAATAAGCAGACTCCACGAGACACATGCAACGCGTCCTCCCCACAATGAGGGATCCGGGAAAGATGAGAAGGAAGTAGAAGGGAGGCTGTCATTAGAGAAGGGGAAAGGGAGGCCAGGGATGTAGCTCAGTGGTTCTGCCGCCTGCCTCACAAGCACAAGGTCCCCAGTACAAAAGAAAAAGTGGGCAGTAGGGGATGGATATGATCAAAATACACACTTCGAACCCCCCAAAACTGCGAAACGGGTGGAGAGACAGGGTAAAAATGACCAAAGTCCCACTGCCAGTGCAGACCTGCCCAGGTGAGATCCACACATTGTGTAACCAGTGTGACTACTAAGAAATGTGGAAAATCACACTTGTGGATGTGGAACAAAGGTGAATTGTCCTTTTCTTTTGTGTGTGTGGGGGATGGGTGGGTATCAGGGATCAAACTCAGGACTTAACTTGTGAGGCAGG